TTGTCTGCAAAAATGATGTCTTCTTTTTTCTCTTCCCTTATCTACTTTTCCCACTACTCTTTTTTTTCCATTACCTCTTGAGCGAGATGCGTTTGAATCTTCATTGATTTTTTTTCTCTCGTTCGTCCTTCTTTTTCCATGTAGACATTTACCGTGCAACGATGGTAGGATTGTTCCACTAATAGATCAGTCTGTGTCCTCTCTGTCTCAGATTGAGATTCTGGAACCCATCGGGAGCTTAAGGAGTTTATGTTATTCGTTGGTACAGAAGCCACGGTTGGGGTTGGAAAACGGGAGCAGCTCCACTGGTATCGTGGGGGCGAGGCAAGAGGAGGAGGATGTCAACTTACGGAAACTATGGGGATTGACGGGTGGGTGGGTGGATGCATGAACGGGAGAAGGATTCTCTTCAGGGCGGCAATGATTAGGAAGAGACAAGGGAGTGGGATCAAAAAGAAGAAGAAAAAAAAGAGGGCGAGGGAAAGAAGAAGAGACACGGAGTAAGAAGAGCTGAGCGGTCGGTCTTGTGGTTCTTGTTTCATTTTTCTTTTATTTCTTTTTTTGTACTTTACATTTCTCTGTTTTCTCTATCTGGAGACGTTACCCAATATCGATACCCCAGTAACTTCATTTTGGGTCTTGGGTTTATGATTTAACTGGTGTAGTACTGAGTAGATGCAGGGGTCGGGAAGTGGTATATATGTTAAGTTACTATATAGTTTGTATACTTCCGGACTGTGTGCAGGGCGGAGTTGCTGGGTTTTGGTGATGGGATACATATTTATCCTTGGGGTCTTTGCGCTTGTGTCGGAGGCTTGGGTTACAAACCTCGAGACTAAGAAGATCAAGGAACGCACTGCATCTATGGCTAAGATCGTGATTGCTCAACCCGCGCTGATGAAAAGAAATAATAAATTTCCATAACACCGACTCTGATTATTGATATAGAATGATATAAAGAGCGATGAAAAAGGGAAAAAGAACAAACACCAACAGGACTAAAACCCAACCCAAAGTTCGAGCCCATCAAGTTCCCCCCAGCCGCCTACCTCTTATTAACGCAGAACGCAGATGCGCCGCAGTGCCTAATAATCAATCCGATCCATTCCCTATGTTAGTGACAAATGAGACCTCCGGCGTCCGGCAAAAACAAGATACCTAATCAAGACGCGCTGATTCCGTGTTTGTGCGAGTGCAAGCAGGGCAAAACGAGGAAGGATTTTCTTTTTCGATCCCAGTAGAAGTAAGCAAATCGAGCACATCGAGCCAGAGTTCGAGGAAACCAGGTACAGAATCCATACTCCAAAAGCGATGGTGATGGTGATGTACAATTTCTCCCCGCAGGTTCCAGGGGATACGAGATTATCGACGAATTGACAGAAGCACGCCTCCCATGATCATGTTCAGTGTGCAGGGAAATATATAAAAAGACAGAATAGAGAAAGAGAAAGTAGGCAGTGAGTGTGGATGATATATTGTAATATGTGTGTACATAATTTGTCCGGGAAAACAAAAGAATATAGAGCTGGTTAGATTATACCGGCTGAATCTGGTCTTCGTTCAAATATTGTGTGCTGGCTCTTTATATAGAAAGAGCTCCCGTGTCCAAAATGTTTTCCCTGGGGTCATAACGACATCAATAGCGGTAGTGATGGTATTGTAAAGGGTGGGTATCTGAAACGCAGAACGATGGTGTCGGAATCGGTAGCGACGGCCTCGGAATGTCCTTGTCAATAAATTGATGGTGACTTGTGTGTGAGCTACTTGGCACGTCCCATGATGTCTTCGACATCTTGCTGATTGACGACCACGCCGCCCTCGGAACACCGAGCCTTCATGCGCAGCTCTGAGCAGAGGTTGTCGACATCGAGTTCGCCATTACGGAATTTTTCCATGGATTGCAGGCGATCCCTGGTCTGGGTTAGTATGCCTTGTTTTATGCCAGGCGATGAAAGCACATACCATATCTTGGTGCAACTCATCATCTGTGCCTTGTCTTCCCCAGGAACCACCTCATCTTCGTCCAGCTTGCTGTCGATTTCGTCAATTAAACTCCTCTTAGGCTGCTGCTGCTGCTGCTGCTGTTGTTGCTGCTGCTGTTGACCGGCCAACTCGCTGAAGTTGTGCGAAGGACTACCCAGATCCGGCAATGGGAATGCGTCGTCGAAGAAAGTGCCAAAATCTTGTGACAATATTGCGTCTTGCGGTTCGCGCCAATCTCCGAACAATACCGGGTCAAACTGCCCACCATTCTGCTGAGCCAGCATCTCAAGAGCGGGCTCGGGAGCAGTTTCTTTTGGGCCTTGCTCGGGCTGATTGGGCGTGTTCGCGACGCTGACACTGCTGTACCTGACCGCCGGGATAGGATTCTTGATGTTGCCACAAGCCATACCAAGTTGTGCGCAAAACGACTCCTCGCCGTTGATTCCAGCATAAGTACAATTACTGTGGTCAGTGTGGTGCTTGATTGCGGGCGAGTTGACAGATGGTTCAGGGGAGGTGCCGCTGGAAGATAGAAACTGGCTCTGGTGAGAGTCGGACGAGGAAGACGGAGAATCAGAATTCGAAACATCTTGTACAGACGATGCGTGCTGAGTATTGTGGGCCAATGGGAGCTTGGGTGTGGTATTCTTCGAACCTAAGCGTTCACCGTTAGACTGCGACATGGGGCTAGGCGTATTCGTCGCAGATCCATTGGTCTTGACTCCGTTCAGTGAGTCTCGGCTCAGAACACCAGGGACATGGGACTCGCTTCGTGAGTTAACGTCGTTCTTGAGCTTGTTGTTCTGTTGGTTCTTGCCCCATTGACCATTGTTGAAGATGTGAGCACCTGGAAGGTCGCCAAATTTGGGGAAGTCGAACATGAAATCATTGTTCTGAAGACCGTTGTAATTTCCCTTGGAGTAGGCTCCAGGGATAGCGTTCATAGCCGAGAGCCCGTTTGTGCTGGTAACCCAGGAGAGACGTTTCCGGTACTCCTTGAGTTCAACCTGCAGACGCTCAATCTGGGCGCGAAGCAAACCATTTTCCTGGTTTGCATCATCCGATGCCTTCTGCAATTCATCCACCTTTGTTTCAAGATCCTTCAGATGCTTCTCCTTACGCTCGCGGAATGCCCGTTGAGCTGCGCGATTCTGTGCTTTGCGCTTCTATAGAGGAATTAGTACAAGGGTGGAAGGGTAGATTACGACGAACCGCGCAGATAGAACGTACCGAAGTGGGTTCCGAGGTCAATGGCTTTCTTCCCGGCTTCTTGGCTGTCTTGTCATCACTCTCCCTTCGTTTCTTGCCAGCGCCTTCATTTTCTTCGGCAGGGCCGTCCATGTCCTTTCTCTTCTCGCCTGCTTCATGGTCGTCCGGCAGAGAAAGTCCTTCGGGCAGATCACCGATCAGATCCTCCGTCCCGTGGAAGTCAAAGTCAAGCTCTGGGTTGAAGTCAAGGAAGGGACTTTCGTCATCACCATAGCCCAAGGTACCGGAGTTGGGTTGAGCGAGGTCAAACCCAGGCGATACGTTGTAGCTGCTCGAGGATGCATTACCGGGAGTGGAGTCTGGTTCTGAAGTTGATCTTTTGATTTGGGTATTGGCTTGCTGTTTGGGCGGAGGGTTGTTGGAAGAAAGCGCGGCCAGAAGAAGGTCTTGCTGGTCGGGGGAGAGGTACAAGCTGTGTTGGTAGAGGGAGTTGTAGTCGGCCATTGTTAAAGAAGAATATGGGTTGTGCTGGAAGGATGCTTTTTCGAAGCGAGAAGATATTTGGCTAGCTGGAACGAATCGGTTATCTGATAGCTACGCTATAGCGTCTCGTATACGGAGCTGATAGGATCAAGTGTCTTGTCAGGGATCGATTCGACTTTTCGTTGAGCTATCAGGGCCGGGCTTCCCGCCCGTTCGTTGTATCGATGTTGACCCCAGAGGCTGAATGGGGTGATCGGTGGGCTCCTGGATGATAGCACCCGGAAGAGGAATGGGAGGTGCGTTTATGGTAACGAGACCGATGTCACTGAGAGCTGGACTCTGCGAGGAGATGTTCGAGAGGTATTGATGATCAAGGTGATTGAAGTGCTTCAAAAGTCCTCAGCGGAAGAGCCTTGCTGGGATGCAGAGAGGTAAGAGAAAATCAGGGACGTTCTCGACAAGGAGCCGTATCGAAGCAACTAGCAAGCGAGTGCACAAGCCGCAACAAAGGCTGACGAATGACTGAAGGTACCACCGGGGTTGGGATAGGTCAGGAGGAGAAGAGGGGCTCGGAGAAAGGGTGGAATAAGGAAAGAGAATGATGATGCAAGCCGGTGGACTGACTGACAATGAAAGGATGGAAGATGGAAGGAGAAGCGTAGAGAGGGAGGGGGTGTGGGCAAGGCAGGCGAAAGGACACTAAGGCAAAGACGGTTGCAGGATCATGGGGGAATGATTCGCTGCCTGGATCGCTGGAGGAGTCAAGGACCTAAGACGAGAACGGCGTAGTTCGGGAATTGAAGGTGAAGTGGTGAAGTAGTGAAGTCGAGAGTCTGCAAGTGAGGATGAAAGAAGAAAGATGATGGAATGGAATGGAGAGGGTGGAGGGACGGAGACTGAGAGGGGGGGGGGGCGAGTCGCTGCCTAAGGCGGCAGAAGGCGGTGAGGCTGTTTGAACGTGTTCATTGGTGCTCAGCAGAGCGGGGGAGGCACTTCGGCCAATAAAGGTAAAGTGCCCAAAAACCCTTGAGAAGGTCTCGCCTGCTTATAAATCGAGGCTGACGATCCTTTGAGTCTTTTTTCTCTCTTCGCCCATTCTGTTCCACGCGGATTGATTGGTTTCACTCACTCGGCACTGATATGAAGAACTGCCTATCGGGGATACACGCGGCTTTCTCCGTGCTTACTACCGTTGCACCGTTGCACTCAACCACATCCTAGTCACTGCAAACTACGCCCTACTAAGTAGACAATTTATTTGGTTCAACAGGAGTGACTCATCTCGCGCCACAAGAGTCTTCCCAGTCTTCCTCGTGTTGAAAGCTGCTACGGACCGTACTTATACTGTACAATAGTGGAATGCATGGATGTATCTGCGCCTTCCGATTATCGGGGCTCTCGTACCACTCGGGTGCCTCGGGACCCACGTTCTTCTATGGAGATGATTTAATGGGGCTCTGTTGCGGTGCTACCATTTTGAGAAACGCCGGGGATAGCAAGCAGCGATCGTAAGTAGATCAAAAAGAGGCCAAGATGAGGCAGCTGGGAAACTCAATCTCATTTCGCCGGAACTGCTCATCTCGGCCCAGTGCCACCCGGGCAACCGGGGTAAACCGTGGGGATGGGAGGCCAAAGATCCGCGATTCCGGCTCGAAATTCCAGACGCCGAAACAGGTTCTCCTAAGTCCACCAGCCATGGGTTGATCGATAAACCCCCAGGCACGAGCGAGGAAGAGCGGGCTGGCGTTAACACTAAGTATAGCAAAAACGCCATCTTCCAGCGACTAGACCCATCCTGCACTATCACTTTCGCTGTAGAAGATGGTCTTGAATGATTGGAGTTATTGGCGGATCCATCTTGACCCTGCAGGAGCCAATTACCCTCCCCATTGGATTGCAATGGTCCCGAAAATGAATGACGTGAGGATCGACCACCTGTGGAACGGACGCGACGCCAACTAAGCCTCGACCCATAGTGGGTTGGTTGCCCTGATAGAGTCTGGCGTTTGTGCATGGTCGCAATGGCCCCTGATGAAGCTTGGGTATCAGGTGCAGTGTTCCATAGTCCATCGGATGGAACTAGCCAGGATGGTGTTGACCGTCATGACATGACCTCGTGTTTCTGCATTCATTGACGTGTGCAGTCTGTCAGCGATAAGGAGCATGAAACGAGTCCACGTTTCCTGTCGGACTCAGCTGAGCCGACCGTCCGGTCAGTCATGTGGCGGTGTAGTTACTAACCACGTGATCAACCAGCCACAGTGGGGCTCCGCCACGCTATCTTATCCCAACGCGACTTCTTATCTGCAACTTCGCGATTCAGCCCAGCCTGTCTTGGTTTGACCATCAATAGACCGCCTCTCCTCATATTTGTTCTCTTTTCCATACCCTCTTTCCTCAGACCCACCTCATCCCCGTCAGAAATATGTCGGAAATCGCAGCCCTGGAGGCTGAGGTCAAGGAGTTCAAGCTTCAGGTACGTCCGCCGCATTTTTCCCAGACTCCACTTTATCTGACCATCATCAGCTTGAAACCGTCCAATCGAGTTTGCAGGTAGACCCAGACAACACAGAATTGCAAAGTCTCAAAACTGAGCTGGAAGAACTTATAAACCTTACCGAAACATCCATCGCCGAACTGAAACCGCCAGCGCCACCAGCAGCACCCCAACCAGCCGCGGCGAAGGATAGAGGAGCGAAGGACAGTTATGGCACACCGAGCAACTATCGCAAACCGACCGCTGAGCAGCCCGATGAACCGGCCCCATCTTACCAGTCGTCCTTTTCCGTCAACGAAAACGTTCTTGCGCGCTGGGTATCGGGCGACAACTCGTTCTATCCCGCGCGCATCACCTCCATCACCGGCTCCTCGAGCAACCCCGTCTACCTCGTTTCGTTCAAGTCGTACGGGACGGTGGAATCTTTGACCTCCAAGGACATCCGGCCAATTTCCAGCAATGACTCGCGTAAACGCAAGGCTGATGCAGGCTCAGGCAATTCTTCTTCCCAATCCCCGGCGCCCCAGCCATCCCACTCGAGCGTGATCTCTGCGGCAGCGGACATCAACCCTGCGTTGGCCAACCAGGCGCGTCAAGAGCCGACCAAGGTGAGCGAGGGATCCGCACGGCCTACCAAGGCCGCCCGCAAGGTGAAGGCCAACAAGGAGCTGGAGGCGGGCAAGATGAAATGGAAGGATTTTGCCAGCAAAGGGAAACTCGGACGTAAGAAGGATAGTATGTTCCGGACAGGAGACGGATTGAATGCTCGAGGTATGCTCTTCTCTCACTTCTGACCATGTGGAGTGCGGTTCAATGACTGACTCGGACAGTGGGATTTACGGGGTCCGGTCAACAGATGCGCAAAGATCCGACGAGATCGCGACACGTCTACCAGCAAGGCGAGGAAGAAGGATACTAGTTCTCTGAGTGTTGATCGATGGGATACATCCCGCCGTTACCTCGTGTCCTCTACCATGTATCACATCGCTAACGGGCTATGGTGACAGATCTAGTGCAAGTCGATCCTGTCGCATGAGCGGAGGAGCGATTGTCGATGTCCACATTTAATGTGGTGGGATACCATAATCATTGATAAGAAATGACTTTCTTTTTGTGATTTATTGCATTCTTATTTTATTCATCCTTACTGCCGTGAGACCGGCTTGTTGGCATCTTCTTGCGCCCAAAGCACAGCGTAGCCATTGCTATGCTTTTCCGTATCGCATCCAGTTTAATCAATGTAGCTCAACGTGTCTCTACGTATAAAGTAGGAACAAAGCATTTGAAACAAGATCTTAACAAAAATGTGCTAGGAGTCCGATAATTGTTGGGGTGGTGCTTACTGTGCAGTGCACACCACTCTAGACATCACAACCTGAAGACTCTTTGATCAATGCCTTATTCTATCTCGGTCACCAACACTTGTACTTCTTCCCCCTGAAAGAGAACCGGCCATCAGGCAATGGACGGTCTACCACAAGACCTTGAGGGTTGCAGGTGAAGCGGTGGCTCCTTCTTGTCCTACGTCTTCCAACACATGAACCTGCTCAGCAGGCTAGATCTACCGGAGGAACAATTCTAGCGTGGTTCAACCTGCACAATCAGAAGCAGAAATCCGCATCTACAAGCGCCCAGCACCGCCACGCTCTCAAGGTCACCTACTTACTTGCAAGGCTCAAGGCTGCAGTATGAACTCTTATCATCTTTTGAAGTATTGACATCGCTTCAACCCTCCATCTCACTGAGACTATCTCAGACGACTTCCACATGGTGTCTACCTCTCCTAAAATCGACAGTCCTACAAAAGTGCAACATGAGCGCTAATAGTCACGAAGATCACTCAGGCTCTCTATATCTCACTGCTGTCAAAAGTTCTGTTTGACTTGCTCATAAGACTCAGAGAACTTCTATTTTATGGATCGAATTTATGACACAGGCTGCTTGATGCAGGTGCTAACAAGCCACAGTGTGGCACAGTTGGGTCGCAGCGCGTTCACCAACACAGAACCATGTCTAGCATTCAGCGGCGCAGCCTTCTAGTGTTTGTGCGCCAGCCTTGAGCCCTCCAGGCTTTCACTTCACTAATCTTTGAGAATCTGAAGACACCCATACCAATGGATGGTCTTTCAAGAATAGCCCCAGCAGGCAACACCTGTGCCAACTGCCATAACACGGATCAACTACTGTTGCCTTGCTCTTTGAGTTCAATCAATGTTCCAAGATAAAAGATAGAAGATCGAGAGGAAGAAACCTATAAAAGCCAGGCTGATGTCGCATAGACTTCCTTCTCCTACTTCCACGCCAGTGCACTTTCTCAGGATCATCAAGTCATCCAGCAACGACCGATCAAAATCACCTACGCTCATCCGCAAACATGACTGTTGATGCCATTATTGAGTCCTTCCAAGACTTCAAGATCAATCCAACCGAGCCAGAGAACACGCAATTCAAACCGCTCTGCTTCAACCCTCCAGCTGACCTTAGAGCAACCTGCAGTTCTCTCTCAGAGACCCCAACCTATCTCTTCCGCGTGGCATCTCCCAAGACTAGCGCCCAAACAAGCAGCACGTGGGTCCGCCCCAAAAGCACCCTCCCTCATGAGGAAGACATCTTCACCAACCTGGATGAAGGCAACAAACGACGCCGCACAGCTGCCCTCCTGAACGACCATCTCTGGTGGAAAGAGCCCCTCAACGATCCCTTCGTTTCGTGGACCAGTTCCCTGCTCTTTGCCCTAGCATACATCTACTACCGCCACTGGAGCGATAGCGACGGTTCGCCTCTGGAGAAGATCAACCTCTACGTGATCGACACGACCAAGTTCCCCCGTGGAACCTTCATCCGTGATGTGGACTTGCTCAATGTCTTCATCGATTCCGATCCCCTGCCATACAGTAACGGTCTGGCTCGGTTGAAGAAGTGGCGCGAGGGGGATCTCTACTTTGGCGAGTATCTGTCGCAGGGTGCGTTGCAAATCGAGGGCAAATGCCAGGTGATCAATGCGCAGTCCCTCTTCGATAGCAACCGGCTCCGGCGCATTCAGCCCGCATTCGCGGATATTGAGGTTCCCCAGCAAAGACCGCTATGGGCGAAAGAGGTCCTTCATCTCCGCCAGGTGTTGGAGACACGCGGTGGACAACGCATGCAGATACAGCCTGCGGTACTGCGTGATGGCATGCATGCGCTCCGCGAGATTGCGGACTTGTTCGAGAACCCCGCCTGGAGACTTCCCATGGCGGTATACTTTGCAGCGTTGATGGGGGATCGTCTGGATGAGAACGTGGCGACCACTCCAACTACAACAGCAACACCGACCGCGGGGTCGGCTGCTGCTTTGCTCGAAGAATTGCGATCATTTTACCGATCTTCCGGTTCGTTTACCCGGTTCCTATTTCTTCTTCTTTCCCCTTCTTTCTCTTTGCATGTCCAAGGGTGACAACGGATGGCTGATCATGCTCGTGCCTCAGACATCGGTCTCGATTGCGACCAGCTCAAAACGAAGATCATCGCCCCCGCAGCGATGCCCGAATTGATCCAGACCGAGAAGATCTTTCGCCTTGTCCACAAAGACTACACTCTGAGAAAGGCACTTGGTGAGTTGATTTTCTTAGTAGATATTAAAGATGTATGTCTCTAAACGACATCCCCAGATACCCTAGGCAAGGCTAGGTCATTCCTCGGAAGACTCGGGTGCATCACAGGCACAGTCTCGGCGGTCGATCCGGACCGAACAGCCACGAAAGCGATCCTGTCTGAGTTGAATACGATAATTAAGGACTCGAAGTTGATAGTCATGCTGGATGCGTTGCCACAGCGGTTATCCAACTAATGTAAGGACATCCTCCAGAAGGCTGGTGAAGTGGTTCAATCTGGCGCCCGCAGTTTAGCGAGAGCTTATCGGGGGGGGGGGGGGGGTCTGGGGCTATCACTAAAGCAGTTCTCCGGTGTACTGTCCGGTGTCTATCTACTCATTGAGTTTGCAATCAGCTCGGGTTTGGGAGGTCCAGGACTCCACTATGCATGCATGTCTGCGCCTTGTTGGTCGATCTATTTTGCTTGGGAGGAGGGTCCATCATATCGATTTAAAGTTCTGGTTGGCAGGTTAGAGGTGCGATCCGGTTGAGTGGGAATTGAAGCTTGTTTTGACTTCTGATCATCGCTCTTGGGTTATCGTAGGCGTCTGAGTTCCTAGTCCTTTTGCTAAAAGTAAAGTAGTCTGCTGTTTCCATAGCTTTGTGTGCTTCATAGGAGAGTCTCGCAGACCGTCCTTCAAGCTACCGTCTCGAGCTCATGGATATCATTCCTCCCTACAACCTCTCAAGTTCTAGTTCTGAAGGCGTTAACCTGATCAGCACTGTAATCACTTATGGAATTTCCTGAAGGTAAGCCGCAGAGAGAGGCGTGCATCTGGCTCCGGCTCGTGATTTCTTTGAATGCGTGCGGGATGGTTGGTCGTGCTGTACCTGGCATAGATACCAACCAGGATTGCTGTCCGTGCAATGTAGGAAGAAGATCGATGGGATAGTCTAGAATGTCCTCTACTGGAGCGCTCTTGGCAGACTAGATGATCTGAAAGCAGATGCCTGTGTTGGGTATTGACGAAGGCGTTATTACGAATCGTCCCCTTTGCCCCCAGTTCTATCTCTCCCCTGCGCCCACGCTGTGGCGCCCCCAACAACCCCGCCATCGAGACAGTGCGAGCGACACGCTAGTTGCCAGCCGCATCCGTCCGTCTCGTGTCTCTCGTTCCTTCTACAAGCTAGGTGCATCGTAAGAACAAACAAGAACACAAGTGATCAAGGTAATCGTCATAGATTGCTGGAACTGAAATGCCTCCGGTCCATCCAAAATAAGATAAACCCCCGAACCGAACCGGACGCCACGCTCGTCAAATCAACTTGCATGAAACCCCCTTGTCAAGCCATTTCATTCCCATCAGTGTCGTGTCACGCCGCAGACAACATTTGCGCCATTGCAAATTCCAATGCTGCCGAAACCAGGAACCAGAAAGAAGACAGAAACAAGAAATGCGACCTGCAAGATCCCTCTTGGTATGGGTGTACCCCCAACAGGTCTCGAGCCTCAAATAAACATCGCGTCAATCCCAAAGCATTGCGTGGTCTCGTCAGTCCGCCGAAGCGCGCATACATAATCATACAGCACAGCAGCCGCGCATAAAGCGTAATAATACAACCCAAAAAATGCTCCATCGTGGAAAGGAAAAATCGAAATCGAAGGACAAAGGAAAAGAACGAACAAGGCTTATAATCAATCAAGGAAATCAGCGGGCGAACTCGGTCCATACCGTGGTGAGCCACCCGGTCGGAGTACTCTCGGGAGAAACTGTGGCCGGTAGTTGGTCATACTCGCACCCCTCTAGAAAGGCAAGTACGTCGTCTCCACCTAAGCTCGTCGACCACAAGCTATTAGTGTTAACAACTTCCAGTCCATCCACGGTCACAGGCGGGGAGGCACCAGGGTGGCCGACTGAGCCGGGAGGAGGCAACAATGGCAACCCATGTGACGACGCTGCCGCGTTAATCGGAGGAAGTGACTGAGAATAAGGAGGAGGTGGCTGAGTGCGATTGAGCCAAGAGTTCAACGGCTGCAGGCGGTTGGAAGATGCCCCAGGACCATTGTACTGCGAAGACGCCGGGGTTGATGTAGATGGCGGAACGCCGTATGGTCCAGGAGGTCCCAGCGAAGGAAGGTTGGGGGATGACGAATTATACAACGGTCCATCTGGATGGTGTTGCAAAGACGGAAGAGAGTAAGGGGATTGAGATTGCAGGGCGCGATTGGGAGGCAATGGAAGACTAGGCCGACGTTCGCCGTCGGGTCCAGGCAACGGCATACCAGGGCTGTTGATGGGGACCCAGGACTCACGTCTGCCCCCCGCGCCCTCTAAGGGGGGCTCTCCAGTGTCTCCAGTCTCGCTGCGGACCGCATTACTGCCTGCATCGCTGAGGATAGTAGCCCGTTCACTCGCTGCAGCAAGACCGTCATCATCAATGCCATTCTCCGGGAGTTGGTCCTCGATAATACCGAAATCAAGGAACAACTTCTCCAGGAGCTTGAACTCCTCCAGACCGCCGCCCGATCCGCCCTCACGTACAGGGCGAATGCCATTGGCGTGAGCGTCGGCCATTTCAGCCGGGTCCGATTTGCGCGATTGTCGCCGAAAGTCACGCTTGACCTTAGAGAAATAAGTGTGCAGCCGATTCAAAGTGCGGAACCAGCCACGCGCCATCTTGAGGCGAGGTCGCATCTCACGCAGGACATCAAGTGCTTTCCGAGCTTGCGCTTGCCCCTGCGTGTTCCGGTCGTTCACATTCTTCGGGGCCAGGACTCCATCTGGATCCATGTGTGGGAAATGAGCAGCGTAGATCCCGATGAAGACGGCATTGTACACTGCGAATCCCACGAGAGGGTTTTCTACCAGCACTCCGCGGTCCTGGCAAGTCACGACCAGATCCATCATTTGTCGGGCCGCGCTGAACAACGCCCGAGCACTGTCACGCCAGAACCCATCAGCAATTCCGGCCTTCTCCATCGGAAAGAGCGGCTCATCCAACGGTCCGACAGGTTCGGTGCATCGTACCGGGAGGAAGGGGATGTAGGCACGATGAAGAACAATCACCGACAGAAAGTGGACCACATGCATGACAGTGTAAGGGGCGAGAGTGTTATTTTTGTACATGATGTGGGTATCGGTGTTGCGAGGAGAGTATTGTAGGTTGCGGGACAAGCCATCCTGGAATTCGCTGAGCATTGCTCGAAGCTTCGAAAAGCGTGATTCAGGGTGCCACGGAGGCCATTGCTCGGTTCTACTAACAGTTAGAAGAGATCGTTCCAAGGGAATGAGCGCAGACATACCTTCTCCCCCCAGCACACGACCATTTGGCAATGCTGCCCCAAATGCGAATTATCCGGATGATTCGACTGTGGACGGACTCCTCAGCACCGACCTCCCAGCGGTCGATCTCATCCTCACTCGAGTCTTTCCGACGGGAGATAGGAGACCACGCTTTTGCATCTCCTGGACCAGCACTCGGCATCCGGTCGTCTCCCAAGCCTCCTAAACTTTGTCGAATGCTCGGAATTTGAACTCCCTGAGCACCGAAACTTGTGGGGCGACGCACTGCGGGCTCACTTAAGCGTGACGTCCGAACACGTTCTCCAAAAGCAAAGGCGTTATCACTGGGGAGCTGGATGGCAAGCTCCTTAACGCGAATCATGCGCGGGCGGTACTTGCCGCTGCTCAGACACCGGTCGAGAATGAAACAGGCCCAAAAGGTCCGGCGCTTCGTCTCTTGAGCGATGACATCGTCGGAAGTTTGCTCCCGTTGCTCGAGAGGACGCCTGGGGAGCCCGAAAAGATCGGCTTCCGTTTTGAGAACAGGAGATCGGGGTCCCTCGCGGAATGGCATCTCATTCTCCAGCTCAAAGGGCAGACCCATCGCTTGAGAAAGCCGAATAGCCATCCCCACGTATAGCCAAGCGCTCCTCCCACGGCACATTCCCCATTCATGCAAGGCCAGCATCAGCAAGGCTTGTACGCGCGTCAGGTCGGGCACTGCCAGACTAGCACCGTCAACGCCGGCCAGCCGGCTGCGCAACGCTGTCGCATAATATTCAGAGGCAACGAGAGGGTTGGAGGGGATTCCAGGGGACGACGGAGAGTGGTATGCGACAAGCTGAGGGTGGAAGCGTGCCGTAAGAGCGAGAACACCGAGGGGAATGAGCGGGTTGAGATCTGATTTGGTCGCGGGAGGACTCTGCGCGGAATCGCGTGTCGGATCGGCGTTGTTCGGAGGAGGAGGGTTAGAGGAGGTGGAGGAAAGCTGACGCGCTTGGCCGATGAAAGATGCGGGATGTACGAAGGGTAGCACAGTCGCGAAGTGGGATTGGAAAAGGTCGAAGACGGCATCCCAAACTTTGTTGGTGAGGATTGATGCATCCAGCACATCGGCACCAATCTTGGACGCATCTTTAGCAGCTGAGGAGGAGAGACCAACCGTCTTGCGCGAGCGTTGTCGCTTGGGACTGTCCCAATCGCCGTTGCGCTCCTCGCCCTCCGCCAGGGCGGCGAGGTCCCGTTTCGCGGCACCACCGCCCATACCGATTGCGGGGGCGGGATATACACATTCTCGGCCAGAAGACTCACACGCGCGACAAGTTGTGTCGATGCCAGCGTTCACACATTTGATCTTGCTCCGCCGGCAGCGAGCACAGGCAATACTAGAGCGCATTGTGATGAAAAGGGTGGGCACGAGAGACGGGCAAGCCGTCTCTCTGATAAGATAGGAAGGAAGGAAAGGACGGAGGGGACAACGGTGGTGGGTAAGAATGGTTGGAGGAAGGGGAGGGACGACAGCCCCAAGGACTGCAGGCACCAAGAGCGAAGAGGTAGGAGTAGTGGTGGTTTGTGTCTCCGCAGGTTGCTACAGTTCCCGTCCGCCGTATTTCTCCGGTCGATTTTCCCCGGGATTCCGAGCCAGACGCCAGACGGTCTGGGTTGCGAGGGGGGACAACAGCGATTCCCGGTCTTTTCACGGGCTGTTGTTCGTTGTTCGCTGTCAGTACCACAACCCGATTTCTGAAAGGGGGGGGTGAGGTGGTAGAGCTTTGAGGATCCACCGATGATGTCCGTGACGAAGCGTGCACTTACAGATCTTTTGAAGGATGTTTATTGGCGTAGATTCTTTGCGTTCTGATGCCGGTAGCACGCAAGGGGAGTCAGTCAGATCTGAAGCCGGGAAGTAGTCGGTCAGTTAGGAAATAGGCGTGGGAGTCGAGTGCTGGCAACGGCTATATTGAGATGTTCTCAACCAACGCAGCAAGATGCTAGCAGAAGGGAAGGTATAGGAAAGGAAGGTCAAAACAGAAAAAGAGAGGGAAAAAATAAAAAGAAGTCCAGTTGGAGTGGAGAGGGCGTGGGATGAGTACAAAAAGGAAGAGAGTGGCCGTAGGTAGTAGACGGCCGGGGAACGGGAAAAATGAAACCGAATGCGATAGGCGCGAGAATTCGGGCACACGAGAAATTAAATTAAACCCCCGATGTAAGCAAAGTGTGCGACTGGGGGAGAGAAGGTGGAGGAGGGGGGGAAAGAGTGGAGGAGATGGAAAAAAGGAAGAATCCAGATGGAGTCTGGTCGGGTAAGAAAGGGTGAGTTCGGCGAGGCTAGTGTGGGTGTAGGTGTGGGGGAGAGAATGTGAGGATGAGGAGGGAAGTGTGGATGGATGGGGGTAGAAAGGAGGCAAAGAAGAGGAAGAAGGAGGAAAAAAGACAACAGAGACAACAGAGGCATAGAGTAATGGTAAGTAAAGAAAAACCCGTCAAAAATCATGAAAATGAAAATTAAAAAAAGGTAGTCAAAGAAAAAAGCAAAATAAAAAAAAATAAGTAAGAATAATAGTACCAATGAAGAGAACAAGCAACCAAGCAACCAAGCAAGCAGGCAAGCAAATCGCCAGACTAACCGTAAAGACGGAATACGCGGAGTGTGGGGGAGAGCCCGACTCTCTTCTCGCCCAGGGTCGGGGCTCCGGTCCGGCAACGCGCGCGTGGGTTGCGCAGGGGACAATGTCTGGCAACCCTCAACTCGGGTAGATTAGGGAAAGGGAAGCTTGACGATAGACGGAGAAATTATGATTCAAGAAGCCGGGGGGGTCTAAGATTAGTGTTAGTCTCGAAATGGCCTCCTACTAAAGGTGGACTGGCCCCATCTGACAATGATGATGATATAGACGAAGAAGAAGATGAAGAAAAAGAAGCTGAGAAGTCCGGCCGAGGATTGAACAGCGTCAAGGGAATCCCAACCAGGCAAGGCGCCATCCGCATTTGCGGAGGCCCGACAAGAGTTAGTCCGGAGCGGGTCTAGTGCGGCCTGAGGATGCAAGGACGCGACCGAGCGGCCGGAGAGAATGAGAGTGTGGAGCAAGATTCCGAGTGCCGAGATGGGAAAAGACTCTGGTGAATTTCTTCGAGGGAGAAGTTGAAGATTCAGATCTCAATAGTATGATGGAACAAATAACCAGAGCCAAAGTACGGAGTACTCCGTATACTTTATTCTTTCTGCAATGGCGGAGTAAATCAACCATTGTAAAACTAACTTACGAGTACTATGTCTCCGCGTAAATAAGAAACAAAGCGCAGCACCTCCCGTTGGAAATCAGGGAAGAGTCCCGAGTCGAGTCGGGTAAATTACCTACCCTCCTAGACAACCTGCTGGTTGGGTCACGGCGTCACGCTGGGTAATAATACACGGACTCGGGTGCCAGTTGGCGGCGACAGCCGATGTTGCTTCGGTATGTTGGCTGGGCCATGCCGTCTGGTTTTCCTCCACTATTCAGGTACTACTGTACGTATGTACATACAATCACCCATGAGATCACAAGGTGGAGGAGGGATGGTGAGAATCTTGAACAGGAGGGAAAAGGAGGGGAAGAGAAGCGAGATGGATCACAAAGATCATCAGGGAAAGACTCATTTTGTCGTCATGATTGATTCTTGCATATGGAATACTGATTGATCATTCACCCCCAGGGATCTGATCTGATCTGGTCTGGTCTGGTCTGGTCTGGTACCGACCGACCGACCGAAGGACTGAGAGGCAGAGAGACAAGGACAGGATGCCGGTTAGCAGCAGCCGTGTGTGGAACGTCACTTGACCGCCATCTGGCCCATTCCATTACCTAACTTGACCTTTCCCCAGCCCTGCTCCCGGCTTATTGTCGTCGATCAATGTCAGTCCCCGAGCACTGAGTGATCAAGTACTGTACATACTCCGTGTAGGTGGATCAGTCAGAGGTTTTAGGGGAATTGTTGAAAACAATTATTGTGTTGAAATGAGGGTCTCTCTAATTGCTACAATTACAACAGTGAGACGATTAGTTGAATTGGGGTAATGGGGGTGCCAGAAGACATCCATGTTTGACACACCCCCTCCCCCCTTCCCCCAGTGAAAACCGTTACAAAGAATCCGGGGGTTGCATGACGCGAACCCCCAAAAAGACAATACCGCCGACCCGGCCACCGCGAACCCATCCTCCGCGATTCTTTCATTCATCCATCCATCCATCTATCCATCCCTTCAATCAATCCTTCTGTTCCATGTCTACATGTCTACACGACCCGACGCATTAGTCTATCACATCCAGCCCCGACCTCCACAACCATCCAACCATCCAACCATTCTTACTCGGGCACACGGCCTGGTCGCTTGGATGCTGCCACTGCCGCCAGTCACAGCCCACCGACTAACCCAGCCACAATACCCCGGAATGCAAGTCTAAACTCAACCCCAACCCCAGAACAGCAAGTGACACGGGTTAACCCCCGGTTAAGCCAGACGGGACGGTGAAGGGTAGGCAACGGAGGAATAACAACGACAAGGAGGGGCAAATAGCAACGGCAACTGATTCTCAGCCGACCACAATTCGTGGTAAACCTCGGGTATCGACGCATCTGACGGGCGAGCCAAGACCTCCAGGGCTGACATAGCCAGACGGGCTTCCCATCTCTCGTTTTCGTGCCCCGGATTTGAGTCCTCTCGTCGCGGAAGGTATTCTGTTGTCGGATGTCTCTTTTCCCACCTCCCCTGCATCGGATCTCCCCGCGGGGGAGAAGAGCGAGATGAGATCACAATCAGCCGGGGCTCCCTGCGCTGGCCGGACACCCCATGCAGCACAAGGTTGTCTCATCTCGCACTCCCCCCTCCTCTTTCTCCTCCTCTCCCTGCTCTGCTGCTGCTGCTGCTGCTTCTCTCTCAGACCAGACTGAATGAAGGGGGAAGATCGTATATCATCCTTGACGGGATTGGTTGCCGTCAGGGATATGGTACCCGATCGACAGAGTCCCGGAGAATCCTACTCGCTGACATTCAAGCCTCACAAGGCCTGTGCAGCCCGATTGTGGTCATGGACCCCAATTGGCTATGCATCCCCAGTCCATTCTTCCAAAAATGTTACCATTGTCGTCACAGGTTGATAGGTAGGTACGGTAGGTAGGTACAGTACCTACCCTAGTACCTCCACTACCTAGTAAGTATGCTGCACTTCCCATTTGGGCGAGTCAGATCATTGTACTCTGTACTGTAGTTACATCAGTCTGTACGTATGATGATTGTTCCTAAGCCGACCGATCGGAGCCAGCCCGGCAAGTCCCCGCGCCCATTTAACCGGTTATCCCGTGGCCGCTCAATCGGGCCAACCGGGGATGCTGATTGGTCTCCACCGCCACCCGAGGCATCAAGCGAACCGACCCCGCAATCACGGAGAAAGGCTGAGCAGTGAGAAGCAACTTGTTGGAATAATGGAAATTATTCATTAGTCATGCTCTCATGCCCTCATGCCCTGAATGGGGGCAGCCAACGCGCGACTGGTGACTGCACGAGGAAACCCCCATTCCCCCAACTCCCCAATTTCCCCCCCCCCAAATGCTTCCCCCTCCGGAGGTCGACCGATGTGACGACGGAGAGACACTAAGACTGAGGAAGGAAGGTCCCTTCTGCGGCCTGCCACTAAGCCACCACCTGCCCGCCTGCCTGCTGATGTTCTTTCTGCTTGCAGTAAGTTCACCCGCCGCCTGTCAAGCCGCCGGGGTTGTTGGCTCGGGAGTCTGACGACGAGACCTTACCATGGGTGAGATGAGGAGACGCTGGTCGGCAAACCAGCAAGCAACAACAATTATTCCTAGCTCTGGGAACAGATTGTCTTCGGCAGACCATCACATGCACCTCTGAAATCCGGAGAACGACGAGTCTGGTCTGCATGCCAGTGATCCGAGGATCATCGTCCCGACCCCTCCTCTCAGTCAGACGTTTAGACGGGCAGTCACAATTCTTTTCTCTTTCAGACCAGGGGAAAGAGGAACTTGGAACTTATTCATCACAGTGATGACCACACGGGAAGTGTGAAAAATCGCGAAATTACCAACCACAAAAGAAAAAACCCCAACGATCCCATGACCTGGCCCCAAGAACAAACCCAGCCAAGCCATGCCCAGCCAACCACCACGCGACCCTCTCTCCACTCCGCCCAGTCCTTTGAGAGTCTTACAACTTCAGCGAGTTGACTCCAAGGCAATTAAACCTATTGAAGCCCTCTTTCTCTCCCGCTTTCGTCATAGCTCGGCTTTTCTCCCCAGGCGTCTTCCCCCCCGAATCGGCCAGGCCCGCCAGTGCGGGCAATGAATGGTTGTCCATTCGTTGGCCTGTCCATGCCACGAGTTGCACTAATCCCGAACAAGGCTAGCCGCCTTCCGACGGACGGAGCAACTACACAGTACCTCTACCTTTCCCAGGCCTGAGGCACCCCCGATTCTTCTCCGGTTGCTTCGGGGAAAGAAAAGGTGGGGAGCGTTTGTCTAGTGGGCACAACTCTTTTCCGGGGCTGCATTTTATCCATCAATTTCCCTCACTCGCGGGTAATTACAGACGCTGAACTGACAGCTCGTCAATTTTACTTGCTGGCCATGCTGCTAGGTGCTCAGGCCTTCCGCAATCTCGTTGTAGCAATGGTTGCACCTTATCTGACTTGCACCATCTTGTCTCGGATTTAATCAGATGCACGTGGGTTGCGCCCAGCCCTAATTGTTTGCCGGGGTTGTATGGAGCGCTAATCCATCCTGCTACAGTCCAGCAACCGGATACTTGTGCGGTTGGTTCCTTCACGGTCTCCTCGTACCAACAGGTGACTTTGTGCCTTTCTTCGCTCTGTCGCAGATAAGTCCTAGACAGGCTCGGCCAGTATATGTTATCTTACCACCGAATCATTCGCTGAGACCGTCCGTCCGGCGTCGAACCCCTGAACATTGTAGCAACGGCTATGGGCTTTTCCTCGTTCCCGCCAGAATTGCACCTAGGATGCAGGATTCTGAGCGAACGCTCAGTTCCTAGCAAGCGGTCAATGAGCCTAGCTGCCTAGTAAGCTGGAGTAAAGCTCATCCAGATGCCGGGCTGTCCCGAACTCAGCCGCACCAGAATAAGAAGACTGCAGTCTCGATCTGCGTCTGAGAGACAGATTCTGATCCCGCCATTCAGCGGCTTTTTCTTAGTAACAGCTTGTCATGCGGACAGAGGATCTTAGGCGAGAACCCTCCCCAGCGGGCCTCGCCTGTGGTGGCTAAAATTGGCAGGCGACGGACACAGCCTGGAGATTCGGAATTTTGGGGTCCTTACTTTCCGACATAGGTTCAGCCTTTCTTCCGGATAGAGCAAGCCGATTTGTTTACGAGTACAATGTCATTGATGGGGGTGGGATCTTGGATTACACTATGGAGTGTGGGCACCCGTTTCGAAGGATGTGTGGCAAATCGATGCGGAGGACGAGCAATGGAGCAACCGGACCCCAGACTCTGACATGTCACGTATCACCGTGTTCCCCCATTTCGTTCCCCTCAGATCAAGTCGGTTATGCTTTCGCTTTCCCCTCTGACCCTTCTCCTCCTCCTCCTCCTCCCACCGCCGTGGGGGGCCCGGTTACCCGGGGAAGAGTGGTGGTGCTTACACGGGGATAAATAAGTCCGTAGTTCGGATGATTGTAACCTGGTCAAAGGTGACGAAAGGGATGGGGCATGGTTGACAAAGGTACAGGATACGTAGACTCCGACTGTTCTAATCCTAGAGCATGTAGGAGTAGTGTACACAGTCGAAGAATGCGGCCTTCAGAGAGGTGGAAACCTTCCCAGTGACTTGTGATGATGGCAGAGCTCGTTCCCGATCCAACCGCCCCGGGATTTTCCGTCCGTCGGCCTTCCGTCATGCATTCAAATGAAGAATTGGAGACTGACAGCCGTCGGGAACCGGATTTATCGATTGTTCTATCGTGTTTATGCTTGCGTACGACCGAGGTGAGATCGGATTGTCCTGGGCCAGAACTACTGTCTGCCGCTTCTGACTGTGATGGACTTGCCCTCGAGGTCGGGTTGATGAGCTTCCGACGTCGGCCAGATCCTGCAGTCCTCATACATGCATGCCCTCCAGTGGTGTATTGTGTTGTACAATGTCGACTGCCCTTATGCTAGCTATGCCAATGGAATCAAAGCATCCGGAGCAACGGCCGGCACTATTTCCTCCCCAAGGCTGTCTCGGATAATCTACCAGGGGTAGCATTCTTGGAGGGAGGTAGCCAGACACGATTATCTCCGATCCTATTGCCCTAGCCCCGACGTGCTCGGATTATTTCCATGTCGATGTTCGTGTAACTGGATTAAGGTGTAACTTAATGTGTAGAATTCGCATTCTATGTGCGGAAGTTATGTACAATACAGCACCTACCGCCCCAGCCGAATAGATCTCCCTTGCGGAGCCCCTCCACCGGTAGAGAGGAGAGTTTGTATTGTAGTTGTGACAGCCATGACTTGTTATATATCCTTCTCATGTGCAGCGTCTTCCAGATTATGTTTCTATGGCCTGGGCTGTGTATCCCCAACGGTAAGAGGTCTGAGTTTGGGTGAAGACTGCGTCGGAAATATATTCCCGATGGGGTTCGCATCGGACACTGAATGTAGCTGAGATGTTGTCTTTGCAATCTAGATATGGAGAATGTCTGGGTGTATCTGTTTTGGGCAGTTAAGCTATTCAGTCCGGTTATCTGGGATTGAGTTTTTGACTTGGTGGTAGCTACGACACCAGAGTAAGAGGACTTGGGAACGCGGATATTCTGTTAGACGTGTCCTATGCTTTGTCAAGGGTAAAAGATCTGTCCACGTCTACTGAATGATGTATGCGGTCCGAGTTCATTGGGTCGAATCATACGAGGGAAGGAAGGCGTAACTACCCTGTCCCATTGAACAAGGCTCTTCTTGCAGGACTCATGATCGCTTACTGCATGTGGTATGTCAATTCCCGCAAAGATATACAAGCTCGATAGCGCACCTGGCGCGTTTGATTGAAGGACAACTTGGTCCTTCGCGAATGGCTGGAAACTCAACGCTAAATAGAAAGTGATTGAAGATGACGCCTTTTTCTCCGAGACCGACATTCTCCATGAACGCCCGCATGCAACGCCGTAGATAAACACCCAAGAGCAAAAGATCGTCCAGGTAGCTCATGACAGTAAGTGCGCAAATCAATTACTGCCGGCTCTGCGTCCGCCCGAACGAGAAGAACGAGCCCCATCCTCGGTGTGTCGCGGCCGTTTCAGATGCGTCAGGCTTCTCGACCTGGCCCGCGGCCTCTTGCGCTTGAGACGCCGACCGGGTTTCAGTATCTGCGCGGGTGCCGACCCGGTTCAACTGGCTTGTCGGCGTTTTGACGATCGACGCCCGTTCGATGTCCGGGGTGATGCGCTCGGTCGAGTAGAGCGCTTCGCGCATCTGCCAGCGCCGTCTCTTGAACACGATGAAGATGGTTGTGAACGAGACTGCGCTTTCGTGGTTAGTGGGATGGTTCCAACAGGACTCTTCCCATTGGGCGATTTGTGGCGAGACCTACTTCCCACGACGATAACTAAAGCGACGATTGTGCATAGAATAATCATGCCTTTCGAGGAGACGCTCTTCGTCTCCGAGGTCGACGCGGAGTCATCCTTCTGTTGGCCATCTACCGCATCGAGCACGCTCTGCGCGCAGGCCTGCGCGATCAGCGCTGCAATGACAGCGGGCAAAGAAAGCCGCCTCGAGAGCATAACGCTGTGTTATGTGTGGGTTTATTGACGATCGGAGAAGGGAAAGATGGGTGGAAGATCTTGATCGGCGACGCACAGCGTTGTGTGACTTGAGATCTGGGCGAGAAGAGAAAGGTCAGTCAAGTGGGAAAGTAGGCGGAATTATGAGAAAAGAGCTTCTGCAGACCGGGTGACTATGCGTGGGCTTGACTCCTCTGCACGTTCACCATCTAGGGGTTGTGGTGTTTCGAGAAGAGGAGCTATCCTTGACTGTTCAGTTGTGATAGGCTCGCTGAAGACAGCCTTGACCTCTGCTGGATGGACATTGGGTCGTCAGCTGCACCCATTAGGCCTGTAGAATGGACGTTTCATTCCTTGGGTGCTTGAAACATTGTATCAAATCAGAGACGAAATGCGCTCGGAGAAGGCGTGGTGTCGGCGCCTGGAGGTGACCAATGGTTCGATTGGGTCGGGCCCGATTGTCGCTGGGGGAGAACGGTGGGTTAAGCGCCGTCTACTCCGCAGAAAGGTACTACTCAATACCTAGGTACTATGCTGCACTCTATATTAAATGACTGTCTCCCGGTCTAATATTAGGATAGCTTGTAGGGAGCTGCAAATAGCCTTGTGCAGATATCACACTCGATTTAGCAACACGATGAAGAATCGTCGATTCTGCAGAAGACCAAAAGAGTATCGCGCATCTCGGACACATTAGCGCGATGAATGACCTCTTTCACCCCCGGGTTTGTATGATGTACCCCCAAGTTTGAAGCTTAAGTAAATGCAATGTCGAAAATGTGGTGAAACCGCTCATCGCAATGAGGGAAGGCTTTTCTCACTGCTGGCAAATGGTGTGGACTGCCGAAAATGGAAGGCACTCGGCGATACCTAGTAGGTACCAGGCTACGGAAGGTACCTACCTAGTTCTATCGTGGTCACGGCAAGAATCTTTCAACTTGCCATGATTGAACCTCAGACTGTCCTTCTTCACCGTCCTTAGTTGCTGTCCTTCTTTATCGTCATTCCGTGGCCCGGACCGAGAGCTAGGTCGATATGCAGACTAGCGAGTTGTTGAAGATGGCTAACGAGACACCACCCAGCCACAGCGCCGCAACAGCCGGCACAGACAGCACGTTCAATGAGGTAGAGGAACTGTTCTTGCTCCAGATGGCGGTTGCCAACAACGAGCCTCTTTCCCCACAATTCCAGGCTGTCATGGCGACCCAAGACACTACCCCTCCAACCAACAAACCTGCGGAGAGACGTCCATCGCCATTACTTATGGAGCGACCGAGAAGTTCTGGCCTGGATATATCGGCTTTTTCCTTTGCAAAGCCTGCAGAGGGTCGCAAGCCATTCACTCTTCAGGCATCGACCAAGCCATCGTCGTCCACAGCTGCGCTGCACAATACTACCACCCAGCACGAGCATGGTACAGGCGAGCCCTTGATAGAGGCAACTAGAAGCTTACCAGGGTAAGTCGCTCTAGATGACTGGAGAGAAGGGGCTATAGTGCAGACCACTAAGTCAACCCTTCCAACTAGTGATCAACAAAGATCCGGCACGCAAAAGCCACAAACTCGGACCCCACAGATCAAGAAACAGCACTCTAGGCGGCCTTGCTCCCCGCCTCCTGACAATGGCTTGCATGGTTCGTGTTCTGAAAAGGCTGTGGTGCCTCATGCAGACGAGTTGCCTATGGATGCCGAACACGGGACCCTTGTGTTCGAATCATCGAGTAAGTGGACCAGATTTTCTGAACTCAAAGGTACATGGCTTCTGACAATGCTTGTAGAAAAAGACAACGAGATGAGGAAGACCTTTAGTCCTCCGAGCCATCATCCAATTTCTCAAGCGCCCGCAGTGAGCAGGGCCGATAATCATGGTCCTCCTTTGGGTGATGAGCACAGTGCACCAAAACCCATGCATGCAGCACAGGATCTGATTCCGCAAATGCAGATCTCAGAGGCCAGTGAGATGGCTCAAACATACCCGGTGGGCCCTGGAAGCGAGAAGTATAGGGTCTCTAAGCGCCGCCGCTCCAGCAAAATTCGTCACTCACGCAATGTCAGACCAACTCGCATACCATCAGGAGATGATGGCTCTTCCTTGTCCGAAGAGAGTCTGTTTCATTTGCTAATCGGACGGATCAAAGCTCGCGAAGAAAGTGAGGCTGCCGCGGTCGAATTGAAAGAGCAGATGGAAGCTTGCATCTCTGGCCTAGCTGACGAAAATAAAGCGCTGAAAAGTCAACTTGCAGTATCCGACAAGGTCATCCGTAAGAGGACGTTCGAATTGGGAGCTTACAAGTCTCAGGTCAATGCATGGCAGTCAAAGATATCGAACATCAAAGGCTTTGTCAATCAGCTTGGCTCTGACTTCCAGACCCTCCGTAGCGATGCAAACCGGCTCTTAGCGGCGAAGAAAAGCGCGCATGCCGAAAGGACAGATATTGACAAAAGTATTGATGATGCTAAGGCACAAGTAGCTAAAGCTTCTGAGGCTGCCAGCAAAGGACGAGAGCAGTTATTGAGGTCAGAGAGCCAGGTTGACCTATTGAAACAGGCCCTTTCTGCAACAGAGGAGAAGACGAGATACGTTCGAGGCCAGCTTTCCGATGAGAAGAAAAGAACTAGACTTCTTGAGCAATACATTCAAGAATGCTCCCGCAGTCAAGAACCAAAGCTTAGTCAAATCAGGGCTGATCAGCTAGCGATTCTGAAGCGATTCGAGGCCGTATTCCACACCTTGGGTAGCCAGCAACAGCTATCTCAAAATGCCATCCAGCAAACGATCGGTCCTAGCTTGAACAAATGTGTTACAACACTTGACAGTCTCTGTGGAAAGGTTGCAAGCAATAATTCGAGTGTAAAGGACTGCATGGACGGCGTCAAGGGTGAAATATCACGGTGAGCTCTCAAGACTTGGGAGATGCTGCCTTAGTGCTGATCATGAACGAACAGCATGGGAGGTGAATTGATTCAACTACACGACTTGACCAAGGAATGCCGCGCAAGTGATGGCGGCTGTATAACGAACCTGAACGAGCAACTCCAAAAGGTCACAAGTCAGATTGCGAGCGAATCAACGCTGGCCGAGCAAATCTCCATGCATACGGAGCATTTCGGCGGACTAAAAGAAGCCCTTGAGCGCCTGTTACCATTGACTGACCAATTGAACTGTTCTATTGATGCATTGAGGGACAATCAAGCAAGGCTTTGCGGCCAAATGGAGCAATTCGAAGCCGACCTGGGTGAGGCACGGACTCTCAAGAATGCTGAAGCTGCTGCGCTTGAACTCACGCGTCACGAGTTGGAGAAGGCTCAAATAGAGGGCAGGATGCAGAAAGTGGTGGCAGAGTCGGAGGCCATGGCAGAGAAGTTGAGAGCCAAGGATCTCGAGAACAAAGCCATTCAATCCTCCCTGCTTAAAGCCGAATCAAGAACTCAAGAGATAGAGTCCTGCGTCATAAAGCTCGAAGCAGAAGTCGTCGCCCTGAAAGATGCAGTCAACCAGGAGAGCCAAGTCCGAGAGGAGTTGGGCCGGGCCAGTGTCATCGCTCGCGAGCAGATCAAGGCCAGATACGAACAGCAACACCGCGATCTGTTGAAAGAGAAAGCTGATTTAGCACAATCAGTGGAACTTCTTCAAATGCAGCTTGACGATACTAAATCATCCTTTGTAAGATGTCCTTTCCCAGTTTCTCGATCATGCGAGCTCACAATTTACAGGATGAGTTCAAGATTTCACGAGACAAAGAATATGCCGATCGAGGTATCCTTGTGAGTGGCCTGTATGTCGACTAGCCAGACGAGTTCTGATTGTTTATAGCTTGATTCAAAGACAAAAGAAGTCGAAGAGTTGACTTGTCGTGAATCCGAGACGGTCACTAAATTAGCTGAGCAAGAGCAAGAGCTTAAAAGACTGGCGGAACAAACAGCTCTGGCCGAAGCGCGTAGTATCTGTCTCCAAGATCAAATTGAAGAAACGAAGAAGGCACTCGCCCTCGAAGACGATCTTGTCAATACCTGTGACGAGAAACACAAGATTCAGACAGAGTTGCAGCATAAGCTCGACGCTCTTTTGCAAGACAACATGGAAAAACAAGAAGAGTGTCACAGAATCCAGGAGAGGCTCACAGCTGTCCTAGCAGAACGAGCGGATCTTGAGAGCAGCAAGCTGAAGACAAAGGATGAAATCCACACACTCCTCAAGCGGGTACAAGACTCAGAAGCCTGGGTAAACAAACTCAAGGAGCTTCTCCGTCGCGCAGGTCTCGCGGCGGCTACAGACTCGCTTACGGAGATCTGGAGCAAGTTCGAGGTGACTTTGCTTTCTACGGCTGGCATTGCGGTTGAGAGTCGACATGAATGTCGGGCCAATCCTGTTGAAGAGGAGTCCTTTAGTGCGAGTAGCGGTGGCTTGCTACCCCAGGAGGATATGGAAAAGCCCCAGCACGTCAATTCTAAGTTGACAAGCGTCGCTACTACAGTACCTGACAGCCAGACGACCACTTGTCTTTCACCAGCGAGGCGAAGTGACGGAATCAGTAATGACGAGGCTTCCGTGGACTCAATGTGCTTGCTGGGGTCAGCTATCGTTCCGTTTTCCAGCATCCAGCCGCAATCTCCTCGCACTGAATGCCTGTTCTCAAGCAACGATAGCTATGACCTCGCAGCCATGTTGATAATTACCCCGGAATGTGGAGCAGTGGCAGGTAGCTCCGCCGTGGCAGAGCTAGCTGCGAACTGTTGTACAAGCTCGCCCAAGCGTACGGGACAAGACTTGATAGAAGGGCAGCAGAACTCCCCATCAAAAAGTTCTCCGAAGGCCGCAAGCGCAAAGAATGATGGCAGTCCGCGCAGAGGTGAAAGAGCACCCACGGTTCTCAAGTTAAACTTGAGTAGTGGAAACAGGAAACCTGGCGATAACAGAGCGAAGCACAGGTCGGTCACATTTGAGACGGAAGTCCCAGCCCCGCAGAAAGGGAAACGCAAATTACACGATATGGAGACTGCTCACAGCCAGGGGAGCTCAGCAGACAGCCTTGATGAGGACAATTCCATGCGGTCGCGAAGAACATACTCTAAACAGCAACAGCAGTCAACCACCCGGGTTCAGGCTAAGTCCAGAGGTCAAGTAGCAAGCGCTTCTCAAGAAGACATGGCACACGAGGTCACTGAAGCTGGAACGCCACGTTCTATCATGAACAAGAGGACTAGAGTATCCTTCGACACATTCAAGACCACATCACAGACGAAGACAGTCACTGAGTATTTCGATCGCAAATCAAGCCCTGAGAAGCTTGCCTCTGGAAGTAGCAGACCTGCGCTGAATGACAGTCAGACTGGATTCCAGAAAAAGCCGACTCGAGGTGGTAGAGGTGGAGGCCGAAAGACAAGAGGTGAGTAGAATCTGATAGTTAATCGCATGATTGTTGCTGAAGCACCAAGGTGATCGCTATAATGCTCGTTTCAGTCGAGGGAAGTAGATCCTAGCAAAATATGCGCAGGTTGAGTACTCTCCCACACTCTTCCACGCCGATAATAGTGTTGATCTGTGAAGAACGTCGATTTTGTTTGCTCGTTTTGTTGATTTATGTGGCTTAGTTGATATCCTATCCTTATGCAACGAAACTTGTGATGATGATGAGACTGATACATCTCTCATATGTGCTTTGAACCTTTCAACTGATGAAAACATTGATACCTTGCAGGCGATATTCCATTGAGGAGGAGTTGTGGAGAAATAATATGTGATATATTGAACGATGATGGACCCAGATTGTACTGCTCTAAAACGCCAGAATGCAACACAAGAAAAGCAGACAGCTTTAACATACATGGAGATGTTGAGTTCATCCCACAAGTCGAAGTCTTAGCTGTTGCGCTGTATAATATACATGATCATATCTTCGAAAGTTCGAGAGTTCGGCGACCCGCTGCATCGAGATGGTGGCCGTAACAGTTGCTCCGAGGTTCTCCGCGATTCGTTATAATGGAAGCGAGGAAATAATATCAGGGAATTGTCCAGGCCGAGATCTGACTTGGAAGTGTTGCGACGAAGACGAACCACCGTCGAAGGATGCGCGAGACGCCATTTGACGGCAGCGAAAGCTTCCGTAGAGCCGAGGTTTCCTTCTATTTATTCCGACCACCCTTGGTTGCCTCCAGGAAGAGGACCTGCTTCTTCACGACGGGGTCGTACTTGAGCATGCTGAGCGGACGGTGCGTACGGGGCCGGACCATTGTGCGGTAAAAGCCCGTCATGGCCATCGAAATGAGACGGACAGTGATGGTACGGGACTTGGCTATACACGTAGAAAAGAAAAGAAATTAGCTTTTGTTCACAAACATGTCTCTCAAGAGCTCCAAGGACAGGGAAAAATGGTGCGACGTTTTTTTTTTTCTTCTTGTGTCCGACCGGGCTAGAGGTCCCGCCAGCCGCGGGCAATTGAAACCCAAAGGGGCTAGCAACCGAGGTAGTACTCACCTTTCTTGGCCATTTTGAGCAGTTAGTGTGATGAGCGAGTTGAAGGTCTGAGGCGTAAGGTTGGTGTTGCGGGGGATCCAAGTCTTGCGTCTGCGCGATCGGGGATGCGGAGGTTGCGGCGGAGGCTTGGTGTGAAACTTTGGCGGTGCTCTTCGTGATACAGGCACGTGACCTAGGCGGTGAGAGATGTAGATTGTCTATCGCGGGCTCACAGGCTGTTTGCTGGGCTCGTTGGGTAGTTTTCCTAATTAGGATTAGTTCAGGGCGGATGGATTATGGGTCTTGGTCTGGTGGGTGCTTCTTCTCCATCTACATCTACTGTACAACTAAGTTATCTCCTACATTTATTTACATCGAGCTTCTCAGAGCGGATCTTTTTCTTCTCGACATGCTTTGATGGATTTGCAATGCCTTCATCGATTGTCTCGATTTCTACTACTCAAGCAGGCACTGCTTTCGGGATTCCCGATTCACAATGCGATTGCGTTCCAAAGTATGGGCAGCACGTGGCTTGTAGCTGCGAGACTGGAGTTGAGATCTTTGCCCTGTGGCAGCTGATCTATCGCAATAGTTGACGCTCACGCTCGATATTCACAGGCACAGAACAAGTTATTAGTTGGGCATCAAACTCATTGCTCCAGGATGGAGGGTGCGATGCCCAATACCGTTGTGATAATGAGGAAAAGAACCCGACACTTGGTGTGCTAGAGATGCGCTAACTGTTCCACCAAAGAGTACCTAGGCACTAATCTAATAGAGATTAGGGCTTATGTAGTTACATGCTGACTAAATGCTGATTCAGGTTGACAGCTACTATTCTGGAGAATCTTATATAAAATAACTAATTATTAATATCTAAAATTAAGTATTTAAGCGCTGCTTAGGTCTTTAGCCTCTAATAGGTTTTATAGTAAAAGTTCTTTATAAACTACAAGTAATCTTAATAAGAAGTATAGTATAGTTATATGTCTTTTCAGCAAATATATTCTAATTCTGGAGAGAGATAACTGGAAATCTGCTGATTATTTTTTTCCTGTTGGATACAGTCTATATTACAGTTCTTAAGCTTTTTGGGAGAATTTTCTAAATAAAAATTGCTAAAACTTACTTGGCCTGATTACAAGGTCAGGCTTGGTGATTGGCGCATGCTATTGCTGTTCAATATCACTTTCAAGTCGGTTTGATAGTCACTATATCTCTGGTGTGAGGGCGATCCCAAGGACGCAGTTGACCCAACCAGTCTCATTGACCTGACTAGCCCTGTTTGATGTGTTTGCCGCGTTTGTCTATAGAGTATATACCTGGGAATTCTAGTTAGTTTGAGATTATAACCACATTGCTCGATTACATCTTGCAAATTGACCTCTGGGCAATTTGGTCACCTCTTTGGATGTTCGGGTTTTGGATTATGTCAATGATGGACGTCATTGCCATGTCAACTGTGTGCCACAGTTCAATGGGGGACTCCGTCTGCCAATGAAGCTTACTAGTACCTGCAACCAGGCGTTTCTTTCCATCGTGACGGTGAGTCATTCATTCAGTTATCCATATCCTGGGTACCTTTCTCACTGTTACCACCAATGTGAGGCAGAGCCTCCAGCAAATACAGGAAGCGATTCAAACAGGGTACCGCACTCGCCACGAGTGCTGCGTGATGACCCGGACATGCTTCCAATTCTGACGCTCGCACGCACGATGGTCCGCCCACCTAAATAGATGTTTTACCACCGACCACGGCTCACGGCGTGCTTCCAACTCCTGAAAGATCATGACGTCAAGCTCAGGGTGCTGACCAATGAGGCGGATGTTAAATCCCGAGAGGGTGTTGTAGCGCGTGGCCTGCGGGAGGCTTTGGGGCGGCAACAGAGTGGCACCGCGCTCGAGCAGCATGCGCGAGCGCACGCGAAAGCGTTCCGACTCTCCATACAGGTCATAATGCCGGGCCACACTCTGCAGCGCGGTTGTGTAGGCGATCGTCTCATCGATGTCTAGACCGGCCTGCAGAAGGAGATCCAGAGTGGCCGCGGCGTCCTCGTCGGCCGCCTTTGTGAGTGCCGCAAGGCTCAGGAGATGGACCTTGGGCGGCGGCGACTGGGCACCTCGGACTGGCAAAAACCCTCGATCCAGCAGCCACTGCAGAGCCTCAACCTGCGCGGTCTCCGCGGCAATCCCGAGAGCTTTCTCGCAGATGGAAGGGTCCAGATGGACGGGCGAGAGCAAGGAATCCCATTTGCCGGTGTTGAGGAGAAGCTCGAGGACCGCGCGGCCGCCGCGGACGGCTTCGTGCAACAGGTTGGAGCGAGTCAAGTGGAGCGAGAGATCCAGATCCTCATCGATAAGCATCTGGACGACGACCGTCCGGCCGGATCTTAGGACATGGGCAATGACTGAGTACTTCATGCTGTCGACGGCGGTAGGGTCAGCCCCGGCGACAAGCAGGCGGCGGAAGATGCTCTCGAATGGGATGGCATGCTTCAGCGCCGGAGCTACAAGGTGATCCAAGTTGTGACTTCGATCCTGGTCGTTGGGATTTGCCCCGGCGCGCAGAAAGAGAGAGACCATGGTATCTGAACCGTGGACAATGGCCTGGATGAAAGGATTCCGGTACCCCCGTGTCTGGGCCGGCAAAACCTCAGCATCATGCGCGAGGAGTACCTCGACCACCTCGACGCGAGCTCGGGCGGCAGCCCAGCACAGAGCCGTCGGTTGTTCATCCCACCGCGTTCGAATCAGACTCAATCGAGTATTGGGATCGTACTCATGGTTCTCAAGCAGGTCCCGAATCAGGGCCGTATATCCAAGGCCCGCAGCCACGCACAGGAGTACACCCTTATCGGATGGGTGACTCGTCCTCGCTGCATAGTCCCATTTCTTTAGAAGCAGGGCGACTACCTCGTCGTGCCTTAACCATCCGCTCCACCCGAGGGGACAGATGGCCGCGTGATGCCGCGCCGACGGCCCCAAAGCGTGGCAAGTCAACCGTGTAATCACATCCTCCTCGAGCAGGCAGCGAACGCTCTCGACGTGCCCCCTCCCCGCTGCCCAGCACAGGGCAGAGCAGCCGTTCGGTTGGGTCACGGTGGGGTCAGCGCCCCGTTGCATCAAGAACTGTAGAACCCGCTGATGACCGTGCGCCGCGGCTAACATGAGCGGGGTCATTTGACTGCGATCCTGGACCTCGAGATTCGCTCCCGCCTCGAATAGCAGGTGTACGATGGCTAGATGCCCTCCTTTGGCAGCCGCCATCAACGGCGTTCCTTCATCCGGATCCGCTGGATGATCGACATGGTACGGCCGCGGGAGGTGATTCACGAAGAAGCGAACGAGGCTCTCATGACCATTCTGGGCGGCCAGCAGCAGCAGACTGCCGGGATATTTGCCATACCTCTCATGACAAGGATTCATCCATCCCCACGTGCGACGAATATTGACCCCACAGTGTTCATACAAGTACCACACAATGTCCTCGTGGCCTTCGACCACCGCCAGCGCCATCGGTCGCCATTCAATCTCGGCATCGCCGCACTTTTCTGCCGAGGCGCCGGCCTCAAAAGCTCGTTGCACGGTCGCCAGGATTCCATGTTGGACCCCCCAGCCTAACGCCGAGCCTTTCCCATGGCGCACATTGTGTCGGTACAGCATCGGGTTCCCAAAATGGTAGAAAGCCCTATGGGTACGAGCGAGAGCATTTATGTCACTCTCATATTCAAGCCAGCTCACAATGTGCTCAAAAATCTCAAGAGGTAAGATTGGAGTCATCAGAATTGTTGTTGAATCAAATTTCGAAGGGTTCGAATGGCCCGGTGGAACTGAGGCTGAAGAGCACGCCACGCCTTTGGTGCTAGAGACGCTCGGGATGGAGCGGGACGGGGTTAATTCAATACTGTTTAACATTGAAATACCGAAAGAAACTACGTGGTTAGTTGGTCGGTCGGTCGCTTGCTGACTAATGAACATTGTGCTTGTTCATCCCTGCCGAGGTTTGATTGAGGGCAGGACGTAGGAGGAGTTAGGGTTAGAATACTTGGAAAGGCTCATAGGGAAAAACACACTAGTCTCCAAATAGGATTGAATCATGTATTTGGAGACTAAATGGCCTGCTCAAGGGGATCTACTGCTTGCTAGGTCTTAAGCAGTGTGATGTATTCTCCCCTTGGTGAGCAGGATTTCTCGCTACAGTAGCATTTTAAATCACACGGCCAACACTTATGTACAGCACATACAAGAAAGAATTTTCCATGCCATTGTCAAGACCAATATCCCAGCTCCATCTGACTAGAGTCGCTGATCTTTTGTGCTTTCCTGACTTGGTCAACGTGACTAGACCCCGTGATTCGGACGAGTCAATTCTCCATGACGGACCTGTAACCTCCCCCTCCAAATATCTACCTTGCATGCCCATGTCGGTGGTGATTGCCGGCAGAGCGCTTATGCTCTCTGAGATGTTCAGCATTGATAGTGGCACCAGTTGTCTAGAAGTTAGGAACGGATCAGATTAGCAATGACCACCATGCTTCAAGCCCAAAAGACATAGAACTTACTACTGATGCCTCGTGTGATGAAACCGCCGCGTGGGATCCCGAGAGACTTGCCATGGGCGAGCTGGACGACGGATTTATCGAGACCGACGTCAGTCGGGATGCCGCTGCGTTGATCGTGGAGTTCAGGGGATCGGCATCTCCGCACACGCCGTAGGAGAAGGTCGGGTTGCTCGCGGTGGCCAGTGCGGGCCGGCGATACAGCTGGCATTCGCCGGGCTCAGTGAACAGCCATGCCTGGCAACGCTCCCACTGACTGCACCGCGTGGCACAGTCATATATCGACGGGAAGTTGTAGCCAAATGTCAGGGGAGCGCTACTGAAAAAGGCAATGGTATCGTTCTGCACATTTTGGTCGCACGAGGAGGCCGCGGCAGAGACCGTGGGGAATCCGGTCGAGAGAAGTAGCCAGACGGTGCTGATGAGAGGGAACAACATCACGCCAGTGCTGAAGAGACACAATAGGGAAGAAAGAAGGATGGCCAACAGGGGCTTTGTCTCTGATAAGTTTCGTGTGATCTCAGGGGTCAGGCTAAGGAGCTGCGAAATTCCAGTCAACACGGAAGCGATGGTCTGCTGAGGTTTGGCCCCGAAGCCGAATCGGAATCATATCCATCGGATTATTGAACACTAACTTCAGATTAATCTGTTCTTTCGAGGACTGTAAAGCATGGACGCAGGCTAAGCTTGTGAGATGTCTCAATTGCCCGATGTCCGACCAAACCACTAGCCCACCTCACGATCTCGCGTAGAGATGTGCCTCGGACCCTAAGATTGTGACGCGGAGATCAAGCCACATCCGTAACTGATGAGATGCCATTCAGAGATCCCCTGGAAGAGCGTTGGTGTGGAAAGGGCTGTTACTAAAACCGGAGAGTCGGGTAATGTCTTTGATTCTTGGAAGAGACAGAGCTGATTCAGGAGACCCTTGTGATTAGGTGAGTGGATCGAGCACAAATCAATGACTATAATCAATTAGCTTCACCCTTTTCCAAGTGAATGGTTTGCCTAAGCGAGCAAGATTCCTCCTCCTCCTCCTCCTCCTCCTCCTGCTGCTGCTTCTGCTGCTGCTGCTGTGGAGATATTCTTGATCTTCTCCTTACCTTTTCATTTCTTATTGTTCTTTTTGTTAGAGTTCAACCCTCAACTTTTGGTCGAAAGTATCTTTCGGAATATCCAGGCTTCTACTCCGTACGTGTTCCGGATAATGCAACAGATTTAGGCACCAGTTCCCTGTCAGACGCCAAATTGCTTTTCTGCCGTCGAATGGGGCCCGGGACCCTTTAGCGACGAGTCTAGTGACTACTAAGAAGCCTTGACCCATGGAAACCCTACCTAGAAGGCTAGAAAGTTATTTGAGCGACTCAAATTGGATAGGCGTTCGAATCTCATATTTCCTCTTTGAGGCTCGTTCAGCAAAAATTCCTCACTGCGGGGGGGCAACTAACCCTAAAAAGAACAGCCGCAGGTCAGTGTCCGGGCTCCGGCAGCGCCCACCGGCAAATGTCTCCTCCGCCCACTATCACAAACTCTTAGTTTCAACTTGCTGAAATATGGCGATAGTGCGCACATGTATGATTATCGACCATAGATACAGCACGATTCCTGCTCCAATAAAAGTCAACTTTGTCTTCAATTGCTCAGATCCAGTCCGTTTCTTTCAACCGATCAGGCTTCAAGTCATCCCTGCCCTTTACCCTCGCTAGTGCGGTGAATGCAGGCGGGCAAGGCGAGCAGCCTGCCAGTAAGCTAACAATCCACTTGCTGACAGAACTAATCTAGTGTTAAATAGTTGCAGCAATTTGAGCCACTCTGTCTGGTCATGTAGACTTCCCTTTGCGAAGTGGATTTGTCTCATATCCGACGTGACTAGTATGTGGGCTTTTGGCCTCGTCCCGGACATCGACCTCGATATAGCTCCAGAGGCTGTGGTAGTTTCGGACCATATGGAGTACCTGTGAGGGATATCGTTCGTTCAATTGCTTGTATCTCTGGGCTCAACGGACGAAATGGGCCCCGCGACCATCTTAGCTGGACATGTGGCCCACTAGACTGATGATCCGAATAGTAGACTTTTTCAGAACTAGAGCAGGCACAACTAAGGGGTAATAAGGCAATGAGGAAGATGACTGGGCTCGGTAGAGACATTTTCTAGTTTCGATCGAAAAGGGGGACACAACGGCAGGGAGGCCATAGAAGATGGAGGTGGTCGTTCAGCGCCGACAGCACATGTATAAAGGAAACGCCACAAGACCGAAGAAAGCTTCGTCGCAGTTCATTGCTCCCTCTCACACAGTGACCTGAACCATATGTCAAATCATTCGCAATGAGGGTTATTCACCTGATTCTGGGGTGCCTCTGTGCATCCCAGGTGAGTGCCTATGCTGTCTTTGCCCACTTCATGGTAGGTTTTACTACTCACACCCCCCACCCCTTCTTGATTGGTACATGATCACTTCAACCACCGAATAGCCATGATTGACTCGCTTCTAGGTGACAAACACGGCCAATTACACGCTAGAGGATTGGGAAGAGGACATCAGACTGGCCCGAGATGCATCAATCGACGCCTTTGCACTCAACATGGCATACGAGGATCCCACCAATGACATTGCCTTACCGCTAGCATTTCAAGCTGCGGCTAGTGTAGAAGGCTCTTTTCAACTCTTCTTCTCATTCGATTATGCGGGGAATGGTCCCTGGTCTAAGGCCGTGGTGGCTGCACTGATCCTCCAATACAGCAGCCACTCTTCATACTATCTATACAACTCTCAGCCTTTCGTCTCAACCTTTGAGGGACCTGCAAATGCAGAGGACTGGACCACAATCAAAGAGCAAACAGGCTGTTTCTTTGTCCCAGACTGGTCCTCTCTCGGAGCCAAAGAGGCCCTAGAGGCCGGCGGGGGAGGCATCGTCGACGCCCTCTTTAGCTGGGCGGCGTGGCCCTGGGGACCACAAGACATGGACACCTATACGGATGCATCCTACCTGCAGTATCTCAACGAGAGTGGACAGGCTCTTCCCTACATGATGCCGGTTTCTCCGTGGTTCTACACAAATCTACCGGGCTATAAGAAGAATTGGCTGTGGCGCGGTGACCATCTCTGGCATGACCGATGGTTGGAAGCCTGGTACCTGAGGCCGGACTTCATTGAAATTATTAGTTGGAATGATTATGGCGAGTCTCACTACATTGGCCCACTTCGAGATAATGCCATGGCAGCGTTTCAAATTGGTGAAGCGTCCTACAACTATGTGACTGGAATGCCCCATGATGCCTGGCGTGACCTCCTGCCGTACGTGGCTGACACCTACAAGGACTCAATCGCCACGGTTTACACCGAGACCCTAGTGGTGTGGTATCGTGTGCAGCCGGTCTCGGCGTGTGGCACTGGGGGCACCACTGCCAACACAGCCAGCGAGCTGCAGCTTGAGTTCACCCCAGCCGAAGTACTGTCGGATATGGTGTTCTTCTCTGCGCTCTTAGAAGATACGGCGGACATCGCGGTGACAATCGGTGGAGTGTCAGTGGAGGCCGTCTGGCGGAACGTTCCCAACGAGAAAGGTCCTCAGACGGGCCTGTACCATGGACAAGCTCCATTTGGTGGGCATACCGGGGAAGTGGTTGTTACCATTTCCAGGGATGGAACGACAATCGCCCAGGTGGCTGGTGAGACTATTAGCACAAGTTGCACTGACGGCCTCGCGAACTACAATGTGTGGACAGGCTCGGCCAAGGCGTCCACCAGCGTAAACGCCATCACCCCGGTTCTTCTAGACAATCAGGTGTGTATCAATGGCACCGGGGCAAACAACTTTGCTGGCCTGTGCGAGTTTGCTTGTATGTACGGTTACTGTCCCGTCAGTGCATGTACGTGCTTGGATATGGGGGTCCAAAAAACGCTACCCAATGCCACCGGTGTGCAGGGCTATCCACTCGAGGGCCTGGACGCCAGTTATAGTGGTCTCTGCAGTTTCGACTGTAACTATGGGTTCTGTCCTGACACAGCCTGTGCCACCGTCTCGGCACCGCTGTCCGTGCCCACTGTCTCTGACTTTGATCCTCCGGCTTGCGTGTCAGGGACAGGGAGTGGCAACCTGGCGGGACTGTGCAGTTTCAGCTGTGCCTTCGGCTTCTGCCCTATCAACGCCTGTACATGTACCGGCCAAGGTGCTTTGACGGTCAAAAACCCAACCTCGTCAGACGTGGGAGTGGCCATTGACCCGGAAGATGAAGCTATCTATGGTCCACTTTGTGAATTCGCCTGCCAGCGCGGCTACTGTCCCGAAGGCGCCTGCAAAATTGCCTCAAGCTCTTCCTCTTCGTCCTCTTCTCCGTCGTCATCATCATCATCATCGTCGGACACGGCCAGCGATAATGATGGCAGCAACATAGTCTACATCGATCCCACCATCTGGGGAAGTCCATCACCCACCGTGAGCTGCGTACCCCCCTGTACCTTCATTTTGCCTCCTTACCCTATCGATCCCACAACCATTCATTGGCCGCCTGTCACCACGACGTTCTACTCCAAGAATCCCGAGGAAAATCAAACCTCTACCGTGACCTCGACCATTACCATTAGCAATTTCCCGGAGAGCGCAATACCATGGTGGCCAGTGACTGTTGGCGCAAACGATCCTAACACTACCACCTTTACTCCTGAGCAAAGCGTTACACCCCCAGCGACTGTGATAACTCTTGGACCCTGGGAAGCTCCCATTCCCCCCAGTGTGACCCCATACCCGACCTCAAATCCCTCCGACACCAACAATCCTTCCTCCAGCAAGTCGTCTTCAACCTCGCACACGCCGGCCCTCATTGTCTTCCCCAGCATCTCTCATCCAGTGATCGTTCAGCCACAGCCTACCGTCTCAATCGACTACCCACGCGTAACCCCACCAACCGTGCACTATACTCATGGCAGTGACAACGGACCCGCAGCCACGCCCTCGTGTGCTGGGTGCGGGACCTACGACTGCGGGCCTTTTGGCTGCCCTGGTCAAGGATGCGGCTCGTTCGCCTGCAATGGCGGTTGTGGGACCTATGGGTGCCCTGGGTCCAGCGGATCGGCTGGCTGTGGGCTCAGTGGATGTAAAGGCGATTGTCCTCTGGAGGTGTGCGGCGGCCTGGGCTGTGAGGATGGCTCTTGTGGGGATACCGGTTGCCCTAACGGCGACTGCTCGATCTCCTCATGTGAGCCCACCACCGCGACCAATTGCGTAGAATACTGCACGGTGACTACCAATGCGGTGGCACTGGCATCAACGTCGTGCACCTCGTCCACTTGCTTTCCCTTCGTGGGCTGCGACGCCACAGCGACTACCAGGACCGTGACCTCTACCAGCGACGCTGCCTGTCCGGCCTTCACTACCACCCCGCCTGCTACCGTTGGTGAGGACCGTTTCGAAGGCTGCAGCCCGTGTGCCTGGGCTGAAATGCCCCTGACGACCGATGAGACGGACTATAATCTGGAAAAGCGGTATGCAGAGCCTACCGCTTACCGTGCTATGATGGAGCCCCCCTCACCCGAAAAGCGAGCAGCAAAGCCCAAATTCAATCCAATTACGTCCCCTACTATAGGCGGCTGCGCCTTGCCTACTCCCCTGACGCTGACATGGCTAGGGGGGCCCTCATTCCTGAAGAGTGCACTTAACAACAAACTTCAACCCAACCAGGAGAATATGCCCAGGTGGTACTCAAAAACAGTCGAGAATTGTGTCCCGACGGTGACACAGATCAGTGACCAGCTTATGAGTACCAACAGCAAGAATAGCCCGGGCAAAGCCCAGCAACCCACTAATGACCATGTTTGTGAGTTTTTCGAAGCAGCGCCCCACTCATTTCCCTTTGCTCGATCTTTTCGCGCGGGTTCCCTCGGTGGCTGTTGCTTCTCCTTGTGGACGCAACTCATGGTACTTGCAAGATTTCTAACCGCGTTGCGCCACAACAGGGGAGCGTAATTGGTTCAATGCTTTCTGGACTTCCATCATTGCCCAGGAGAAATGGAACTGCGACCTAATGAACAGCGTAATGTTCGGCGAAGGGTGCTCGACCAATCTCCTACAGAAGGTCTTCGATGCGGTGGCGAACAATAAGGAATGGGACTTCATCGGTATGACTCATGAGGTCAATAGCGACTACAAAGGCTTGGTAAGTACCTTTTGATTATAACCGTCCGCCAACTCTCCCATTGTTGGTATCGAAGCGAGTGGCCGATAGAGCGGCAAAGAGGCGATTTGACGCGGACTTTAGTCCACCGTGATGTATGAAGAACCAAAGCAGAGAGTTAACCAAATCCACCAGATCGGGAGCTACGAGTCCATCCCAGGCGTCAAAGACAATATAGTCAAGAGGAACAGGATCTCGGCTACGATGCCGTGGGGTCCCGGCAAAAATGAGATCGGGATTCGACAAAAGCTAGCCACGAAGCTGAACTTCCTGGAAACGTTGGCGATGAGCTGTTATGTCTGGACGGAGCCGTGGCTGACCCCCGTGCTCGACTCGACCAACAACAAAATTTATACTGAGCTGTAAGTTCGCGCCACACTTACCGTCCTACTCAAGTCATGTGAAAAAAGAACAAAGAAGCTAAGGAATGTTCCCAACCCGAATCCAGTCTTGCAGTCGACGAGTATACCGCGGACAATAAAGAACTGGAAAATACTAACCTAGCTACTCTGTATCAAGACTTTATGACTACTCGTATGGTGGACATGATGGAAGAGGGATTGAGTACGGCGAACCTGATGGTACAAAACCTGGACGCGAGCTTCATCACTGCTGCGAGTGTTGCCACAATGGCCGGGGATGATGGCATCTCAGAGCTCACCGCGTTACAGAATGCATTCAACACTTTGGTCACGCAATTCGAGCTAAGGTCCACGGCAGAACATGTATGTTCCAGGTCCATCACCTTGAGCTGGACGAAGCTGGACAGCGCCAAACGCGACCTGGGCGATGAGATTTGCGAATTGCCTACCACCGCCACCACCACTTCATCGTCCAGCACGTCGAGCGCCACCACCACCACAACTACCACCACTGCCGCGCCGTCTCCCGACCCTACGGCACAAGTGGTGATCGCACTTGCCGAAGATGCCAGTTCCCTTAACCCTTTCAGTTGGCAGTTCTTCGATGTCGCAATTGGGGCAACTCTGGAAGCGTGCGACGGCACTGGTGAGATCTTCGCGCCCAACGACGAGGATAGCGACGGATATCCGTATCCGGATGGGGACTGGACGCTGGGCTTCAACGTCGACGGCATGAGTGGCTGCAGCTACTCCGGCACGAGCGACGGGCCCGGCACGTTGACCTGCCCCGCTCTGTCGGCCCCCGTGCAGTGTCAGACTGCAGGCAACAAGGACACCGTCTACTGTTATGGCGTGGACGTCACGTCCATCACCCCGATGGTCGTGTGTCTGTGGTAACTAGGCGGCGCTCTCGATAGTGTCCGTGTGCGTGTGGGTTTGTGTTTGTAATTTTGATGTTGTCATATTATATTATATGGATGGAAATTCCAGTACCCCCTTGTCTTCTTTCAACAGATTGTCCGCAACCGTACCGTTGAAACCAGGCCCATACCGCCTACTACTAAGCTCTGGGCACCAGGCAGTCAGTCTGCTTGGATCAACATCCTTCTCCTTGAAAAGAAAATCCTAAGTAGCAGACCTTGATGGCTGGGGAAAACATAGATATGGAGCAAGTAGCAAGGCATTTCAGAAAATACTGCACCAATGATAGGGTCCAGTCATGCAAACTGGCATTGATACGTGTAATCTACTAGATAAAATACTTTGCACACTCATTGCAGCTGACTGTAGGTCTCTAGTATAAATCTGGTTCTGCTTGTACCACTATCTTGTATATATGAAATAAGCCACTGAGTGTAGAATTTATTCCAATAGAATAATTGATTATTATTGGAACAGTACAAGGAAAAGTCTGTAACAAGAAAAAATACTAATGGTTAAGATTCTGTGGATATGGGAGGAATAAGCAGCTAAAATATTTGGAGTTTTGTAGCGGTTTGCTTGGAGATTTCAGTAATGTTGATAGTCTGCCGTTTGTTTCTGCCTAAGGTGATTTGTCTTTGGTTCAACCTCCCGTCCATTCCCTTACTAGAACAACTAATGGCCCATGCTATCATGAAGATCTCTGCGGGTGCACCAGCCACACCTTATGGGACACGGAGTGTTCATGCGGACTCAGGTAATGTTGAGTTTCTTTATGATTGTTTAGTGGAACGTGCTGCATATGACTCAAAAGAGGCTTCCATGGGCTTTTGTGGCTGATATGGGGCATTGTATACTAATGGTGATTATGTGTGATCTTTGATCAGTCCGTGTCATTGGCCGGGAGTTACCTATGCGCTCTGTGGTTTGTTAGCTTTCCAGGAGGAATGGAAGAAAGGTAGATGGATTGTTCTTATTGTTGTTTTTCTCCAAAGAGATTTTTTTTCTTTTTTGTTTCTGGGTTGTCCTTCCGCTCTCAGTCTCTGGTTCACCACATGTCATCCTGGTCGTCTTCCTCACCATACTCACTTGCGGCTTCAAATGCCTCGTCTATGACGTTCCCTTCCAGATCCATGCTAACATATTCAACCATTGGAAGATTGAGATTCTGAGCCGGCAGACGGGGTATATCGGTAACTGGAACCTCGGGTGGAGGGGCAGTGTCGTCGTGTAGCAGAGGGTTATCCAAGGTTGCGCCTTGAAACGTTGGCCATGGCATGTCTGTCGCGTATACCCCGCAGCAGGGGCAAGTTGGAATCAGCACTCTGGAGTCGCGTGTGTCAGGCCGGTAACTGGAATAAGGCCTCCGTCGATAGGAAGTGGAACCGGGCCGAGTTGTGACCTTAGGGATGCTCAGTGCCGGACCGCGCCGCGGATTGCAGTTACATGGGACAGGGCGGTCGACTCGCACCGGCGTATCAAGGCGAACAGCCCAATTCAGCGGCCTTCCGATTGCCTGCCGCATTAGCAGCTTCTGGATTGCAATCGCCGTGCTCGGGGCTACCTCGCGATCTCCATATTCCTCGATCAAAGCCAGGTAGGACTCGGGTATGGAAGATTTGAAAATGAAGCGTATGATGTCGACGGTCGATATCACTGGAGCTGGGTCTGGCTCTGCCCACCGAGCCGTCTGCAACCGCTCCAACGCTCGATCTCTTGGGCCGGGGTCACCGTTAGTGGTGCTGCTGATACTCGGAACCGCATCTTCCGAATCTTGCATCCCATTCCTGGAATTCAGCTGCTGCACGACCTCTCGCTGTAGATACTCTCGTCTATCACATTTCTGGAGCTCCTGAAGAACTTCCCACTCGAGCATCTGTCGGTTATACTGCATCCAACTCCAAGCCCCCCGGGGGTCTTGAGGAAGGCCCTCGCTATCGCGGGCCGTTCTTAAAGTGGGCATGGGCACCCCCAAATCAAGTCGCTCCCCGGGAAGCGAGCGTTCGTATTCGCTAAGGCGGGCTTCCTGTTCCTGCGTCATGATGCAATATATGGTGCGGGGGCCCCTGATCCCACCAGGAAACTGGGGGCCAGGGGGAGGAGGATCGTGCCGGTCAGGATCGCGTGCCTGCTCCCGGAGGACGCGAAGTCTTCGATTGCGGTGGCATTCGAGGTTCTGACAACTCGGCTGCATGAAGCCATTTGGCCCACAGCACGGACACTGTCCTTCCAGCACCGGCGGAAATCCATGACTCGCGAGCCCTCGGCGGGCGCCTAGCGCCGTCCTGCACATTGCACATGTCTCCGGTTCCGTACTCCCTGGGTGCCAGAAGCAGTTCAACCATGTCATCTTGAAAGAGCTCAAGCTTCTGCCGAAGCAGAGCTTGCGAGGAGCTTTGTTGTGTGGATGTTGTTGTTGCTGTCTTGGGAAATTCCTAGGTGGGTGTTTCTAGAAGTGCTCCGTCGAGGAGAAGGGGCGCTCTGAAGGAGCAAAGAGAGATGATGGATTTTATATTGGCTTGATGGCTGTAATGCCATGTTGCTGGACAAAGACATTTGACGGAGATCTTCCTCCTCAAGGGTTTGTAGTTGATGCGGAAACTCCAGCTGGAGAGCTCCTCTTGCTGATACTTACTACCAGTAGATGTCCCGCACAAAGGTTGAAAGGATCATGAACTGGAAATCACCCTCACATGAACGCAGCATCTGCAGTATCACAGATTAGATTGGCTCAACTGGATTTGGGGTGAGGGGACCTTTCCACACTATTCTCGGCAGCGATACACATCCAAAGGGAATATCCTCAACCTGCAGATGGCTGAGACGAAGATCTGGGTCGTTGCATCATGGCTCGAACTGCTGCATTCTCATTTTATGATCTAGGTGCCACCCTCTATCTACCCTGCGTCGCCGAGAGAACACACCGGTTGAAGAGGATACTTCTGGAGCCTGATCCGGATCACCTGGCACCTTTCCTTGAATGACGTGGATGGGTATCTCAAGATAGCATTTTGGTAGCATCCGCAAAATTCTGGATTCTGCTGCATTGCTGATACTGAATTCTAGGTACATATTCGATAATATCTACTACCAACACTCCAACAGCACCCGCCGCAGACGCCCCTCGCGCAAGGCCATATAGACCTTACTCACCTGCGACCCGATGGTCAGCTTGCCCGCGCTCTGGGCCCGATCGACCGTCGGGTGATCGGGGAACCCCCGGTGGAGCGGGACGCCCAGCTCTTCCCGCACGAAGGCGTAGAGCCGTTGCGACGCGCCGCAGAGGTAGGTTGGGGTGGGAAGAGAGGTGGTGGTCTGCGTGAACCGCGTGGCGCGGACGGTTTCGTAGCTCTCGCGCAGCGTGCACGCGAGCTTGCGCTTCCACTCACGGATCGATGGCCCCTCGCTCTCGGGACTCTCGGGTGGCAGCAGGTCCAGCAGGGTGCCGGCGGTGCTCGTGGCGGTGGTGGTGCAGCGGTCGGCGAGGTTGGAGGTGCTGGTTCGGGACCAGTGGTACATCAGCTCGGCCCAGATGGTGGTGCGGATGTGTTGGAGGGTGGTTGGGTCCGCCGCCGCCGATGCAGCAACAAGCTCGCCGGTGAGCGCGTCGACCTTAGGCTGCACGTCGCGCAGAAACTCCGTCTGCAGCACGCGCAGGTCCAGCGCCTGGCACAGCACGTACAGGAAGGTGGCGGTCATCAGCGCCAGGACCTCGACGGCGTCGGCGGCGTAGCGGCACCCCACAAGAGCCAGCGAGTTGAGGCTCTGGTTGTGCATCTCGGCCGATTGCACGTGGTTGCTGACGGGGTGGTTGAGGTAGCCCAGCTCGGAGAGGTAGGCGGCCATGTTGATGTCGAGGCCCTTGAAGGCGTACGACAGGCTGGGGTCGTCGAGGCTCAGGTTCGGCGGCAGCCCGTGGCTGAGCGCCGGGTTGAGCAGCTCCGAGCACTGCGCGAACAGCATCTTACCGACCATCTGCATGCAGCCCAGCGTCTTCTCCATGGCCGACGTGATGGCCGCTGCCTGGAAGTTCCCGCCGTGGTGGACGTGGCGGCCCGCCACGCTGATCAGCGGGTTGTCGGTCGTCGAGTTGAGCTCCGTCGCCACCTGCGTGAGCGCCAGCGCCATCGTCTCGAGCTGCGGCCCCAGCCACTGCGTCGCGGTGCGCAGCGCGTACCGGTCCTGGCTGAGCCCGGCGTGGCCCGCGGCGTCGGTCATGCTGCTGCTGCTGCCCGCCGACCCTTCCTCCGTGGACCGCGTCGCGAGCCGGGAGTCGGCCAGGAAGCCGAAGATATTCGCGGCAGCTTCGATCTGCCCGCCGTGGGGTCGCACGGCCGCGATAAATGGGTGGTAGTTGTCCGCCTGGCCCGCGAGAGCCTCCGTGGCCATGGCGGTCAGCAGCTGCGAGAGGAGGAGGAGCTGGTTGGCCTCGAACAGGACCAGACTGGCGGCGCCGCAGCTGAAGGCCGTCCCATTGAGCAGACCGAGTCCTTCCTTGGGTCCCAGATCGAGCGCGGGGAGTCCGAGCCGCTGGAGGGCTTCGTCCGCGGGAAGGATCTGGTCGGTCGCGTGGACATGCACGGAGATATCGGGGTTCCCCTCCAGCGTGCCCGCGATGTAGGAGAGCGGCGCCAGGTCGCCCGATGCGGAGATACTGCCCCGGAGAGGCACGACGGGCGTCACGCCGTGCCGCAACAGCGTGAGGATATGTTCGACCACGACCGGCCGCACGGCCGAATGACCGCGGAGCAGGGAATTGCATCGCGTCAACATTGCCGCCCGGACCACGGGAATCGGCATGCGATGGCTTCGATGGCAGGGGCTGAAAGTGGCGGGGGCTCCCAGGGAGGACTGTCTGCGATCGCTGGGCAGGAGAACGCACGAGGTTTGCATCTGAATGAGGGCTTTCTGGAGGCCGGCGTAGTGCGTGGTCCGCGTGTCCGCACTGCCGCCGAACCCCGTGTTGACCCCGTACACCACTTCGCCGCGCTGCAGCTGTTGGTCGAGAAAGTCCACGCTGGCTTTCATACTCTGACGGATCGTGGGGTCACTGGTCATGGTGGCATGCTGGCCGTGTCTGGACAGATTCGATTAGGGGTGGAGGGTGGAGGGTTGAGGGGAAGTGGACTGCCCGGGGTGGAAAACATACTGAGCCACGACAACCACCCCACCCACATCTAAAGTACTTCCGTTCAGCACAATCGGGGTTTGGCTCTTGAGTAGGTCCTCTACCCTTTGACATGAGGAGAGCACACTCTCAGTGAGGGACAGGCCGCGAGAATCGCGGAATGTCAAGTCTCCCATTATGTTATGGCACGATGGTCGGGTCACCCGTCGGTTTAGGGTTGAGGTTGAGATGTGGTGACCGGTGAGAGCCTGTCTATAGGAACAGCTTTATCATCGTTCTTTTTTTATAGTCGTCCCAAGACAGCCTGACCTCTCGCCAAGGACAACCTCAAAAGGGTAAAAGAGGAAGTTTCTGCAGGAGTGGACGGAGATTCGTGAAGATGGACACGGTCAGTGAAGAATGACTGTACCTATGCCAATGCCTTACTCCGTGGTGAGGCTGTCCATGTGCAAAGACTGGGGCTGGGTGGCAGTGGTAAGTACTAGCATTTCATTGCATACTTAGTCCCTGTGGCGGCAGCGAATGCAATGCTAAGATGGAGCAGAATTATTGGACACGGGGCCGGCCGACCGGGCCGTCAATGGCTTGCACGGCCATAAGCAAACCATGCAGAAGCAAAAGGGAAATAGCGGTGTACATCACAATGGCGATGGCTGAGGTAGACCAGGGAGGGCCCTTGCAGATTTGCAGATCATCGGGCCAAAGCCCACCCTTACGCACAGATCAGGAATGCTCAGGCATGTGAGGTGGCAACCGCTGCCTTCCGTTCAGCTCATGGACCTGAGACAACAGCAAAATTTAACGGAGCGATATGCTCCCGATCCACGCCCAGACCCTTACTTTACATTTTGATGTTTAAATTGCGAACGGAAAGCATGGATCAGGTCTGTATGAAGGAATAATTACAAGGTTGGCCCCGGACAGCATGTGGATGAATGCATTGAGTCCCAAAAGCAAGGGCACAAGCAAGACACCCTGCCTGTCACTCATTTACCACGATGCGGCGAAGACTATACCCATAGACGAACACGGTGGGTGAACTCGTACAGCATGAATGAGACATGGTGAACCCCATCCAGATCAAAAAGACTTCCTGCATGGCACAACGCCCCCGAACCAGAACAGTACAGGGAAGGCCGAAACCCCAGTCAGCAAGCCCAACACCCCCGTCATCGTGGCCCAGCCTGTACTCTGGCGAATGTATCCCGCCAGCAAAGGGCCGGCAACGGAGCCAGCCGCGTAGGCGGAGTTGGCCAAGCCGTACGCCAGCCCCATCGCCCCTTGAGTGCCAAAGGTCGACGACGGTGCCTCTTGCTCCTTCTCAGCCGCGGCATACGAATTCTCGGCTAAGACCAAGGGGAACAAGAGACTCACGCACACTCCCAGCAGGAAGAGCAGGGCGCAAAGGAGAACCTTGCGCGCCAGATCATTGTCGGACACCAGACGGAGAAGGACGGCCGGGGGCACACTTAGTAGCAACGCTCCGCCGGCCAGAAGCCGTCGATGCTTGGGGCATCGGTCGTTGATCCACCCGACCAGCGGGCCCAGAAGGCTGGGCACGAGGAACGGGATGAAGATCAGCCCCTGCGCGGTCTGGGCCCATCCGTACGCGTCCTGGACGAACAGCGGCAAGGCACTGTCGAACGCGGAGATGATGATCGAGATCACGACACACGTCCAGAGGACGACCAGGATCCGCGGCGAGGAGAGCAGTCTCCAGACGCCGTGCAGACCGGTGTGCGATTGCAACGCTGGCGGTGCAGCAGGTTCGGGGTCATCCTCGTGTCGAGCGGCCAGTTCCAGCGGGGAAGGTCCCCGGTCCAAACCGCGAGTGCGCTCGGGGGCATGCGTCCTCTCAATGATCAACAGCCGAAGTGCCAGGTCGATTCCGATCAGGACAAACGCCACGATGAAGACAGCGTAGTACCCGGCGTGTTCATAGACCGCACCGCCGATGAGCGGGCCAACGAGGTTCCCGATGGTCATGCCCATGCTCATATACCCCATGGCGTGGCCCAGCTGCTCCTCCGGGACCGTGTCCACCAGCAATGCGCACGAGACGGTCCAGACGATGGCGGCGGCGGCCCCCTGGAGGAGGCGACCGGCGATCCAAAAGCCAATGCGGTTCCCCGCGCAGAGCAGAGCAGTCCCCGCGCCCAGCGTCAGCACGCCGGCCACCATGGGCCACCACCGTGATCGGATGCGGTCCGAGATGTAGCCGCTCAGGGCTGGAAGGGGCGGCGGTGTTAGCATCGGTGTTGGATCTCTGGTCGCGGCGTACTCACGTGCAGAAGAGAATTGAGCAGCGCCGTAGAGCGCGATCAGGATCGAGGTCCATCTTTGCTCTGTGCTTGTGGGACGAGGGTTAGCGACACGAAGGATCAGACGGCTAGAGGGGATCATCACCATCATTTCTGGATACCCCGAGTCGATCATTGAGCGCAGTAGGAACCACCGGTACAATCTAGAGCGGCTTAGCTACGGGACTGACTGCGCTGCCCGGATGAATTGGAAGTTCTAGCAAGCATACCAGTCCATACAAAAAGCTATCCTGTTGACGTTTTGTCAGCCTTTGTAAGGATTGCATCTCCGAGGTTTACGGAGGGGCCGCATACGTACGGTAAAGACCGCGTAAGATGCCACAAACGTGATGAACGAGACAGAGGATCTCAAGTGGAAGAGCACAGGACGTCTTTGCCTGGGGATACAGTCGAGCTGCGAGTGGCTCACTGTCGCGCTGGCCATTGGAGTTCACAGCCAGCTATTACAGTTGGCAACAAGCCGTCGAGGTCAGGAGCCGGGGAAGTTTCCCGTGCTTTAGTTAACTATTGATGGCCAGCATATGGAGCATATGGACGAGACTGTTTTGAGCAAAGAGCATTAAACTAATGTGCCCACGCCCACCCCTTGCTTGATTGAAATGAGCAATTTGCAGACTATGGACGGGAGGGCCATCGCCGCATGCCATGCACCGTGCTGATCGCTACTCGCCCGCACGAGCCCTAATTCGAAAAGGTAAAGCAATTCCCCAACTGCAGACCCCTACCTCAAAAAAAAAAAAAAAAACCATTTACACCACGGTCCCAATTTAGCCCTGGTGATACTCCGCGGCCACCCGTTTGGTCAGCCACTCATAGGAAGTCACCGGCTTCTCCTGGTCCCAGTCGGCCATACTGGGCCTCCATTTCCCCGGCACGTCACAGCCCGGCAAGGTCTCGATCATGACCTCGGGGTCCACCGCCCCGGTATACGCGATCGAGTAGCGATCGAACACCAGCTTGCCCTTGTCCGACCGGGCCCCCAGCGTCTCCTCGCGCGGCCCCACGACCTGATGCAAGGCGCTCTTCCACCGCCCATTCGACTGACGCTCCAGCATGTCCCCGACATTGACGACGATCGTGCCGGGCTTGGGCGCCACCGGCCGGAAGACGGCGCCGTCGTGCACCTCCAGCCCGCCCACATGGTCCTGGAAGACGAGGGTCAGGCCGCCGTAGTCGGTGTGCGCGTTCAGGCGGCGCGCTTCTTGGCCCGCGGGGGCGGTGGCTGTGGCCGAGGCCGACTGCAGCACCATCTGCGGATAGTGGAGGAAGCTGATATGCCCGAACCGCTGGCTCTGCATGCGGCACAGCGTGTCCGTCTCGATGGCCAGGATGTCGCACAGCGCGCGCCGCAGCGCCGCCTCGACCTCGTTGCACGCGTCCCAGAACCGCGCGTAGAAGGCGCGGAACCCCGGGAACAGGGGCTCCGGCAGCCACCGGTTCTTCGGGTCGGCCGGGTTGCCGACCTCGAGCGTCTCCTTGTGGTCCGGCGACGCGATGCGGTGCGCCTCGACGGCCGCCTCGTCGAACACCAGCTGGCTGATGTGGCCCACGCCGTACTCGGCGTAGCCGAGGTGGTCTTCGAGGGCGTCGCTGGCGGGCCGCGGGATGAGGTTCTTGGTGGCGGCGTCGAGGTGGAAGAAGCGCTTGGAGTGGAGAGGTTGGTCAGTTTTGGATGTTTAGATGGGGTGCAGGGCCACTTATCCATTTCAGGGCGTTGTCGTAGACTTCCTCGGGCATGCCGTGGTTGGCCAAGTAGATGAAGCCGTAGGTTTGCAGGGCGTGGTCGAGTTGTACCAGCGCTTCGCGTCGTTCGGCGGCGGACCCCCGGAGCTTGGAGCAGTCTAGTGTGATCATGTCTGCGGCCTCGTTGCTGGACGCGGAGGCTGCTAGCTGCGGGTCATGGTGGGAGGATCCGATTGAGCCCATGGTGATGGTGGTGGTGGTTTGGAAGAAGAGACGAAGCAGATCGGTTTTCTCCTGTTGTGTGGTGCGTGCAGTTGCGGGGGGCTGGCTGGGTATCAGGTGCGTTGAGCTTTATATGATGAAACCGCGGGGGACAAGCTGACAGTATTCCGTGGCAAGACCACGACAGGATGAACGCAATGAACTGGACTGTACAGTACAGTGCAAGGATGAGGCCCTCTTTCGCAACGAGGGCACACTCGCACGATTTGTCTTTCGATGACAATGCGAGTGCATCGTGTGGATTACGTGCAGGACGCGCGCTACACCGCTGGTGTAGCTGAGCGCTGCGGGATGAGTTGAGTTATATTGGCTGCATGCACTGTCGATCAGCAGGATCTGGCACAGCAGCCCCACGCACGAATCAATTATTCTTGCAGTCGACCCAAGCAGTTACCAATTCCCCAGAGCAATCGTGGTCTGTTCTTTCTCTCACTCATTAGTCTACCCTCCGTGGCTACGAATTTCACAACGCTCAGCACTTGATATGCAGCCACATATGAATATTGCCTTTTGCATAGCCTGTAATACATGTACAGTCTGCACCTGATCTTCTTCCTTTATTCGCTTCCACCAGTTGAGCGCGGGGAACTGGAAAATTTGTGGGTATCTCTCGGAGTGCCCTTTTACAGGTCCGATGTCCCTTCTCGATCCTAGCATCGACCTGGCTGGACTCCGCTGCAAAGAGGCATCCGCCACTCAAACAATGGTGAAAATGAGAGGCAGGCCAATCTGTACGGACTTCAAATCGGCTCCGAACCCTTGCCTGTTGGTGCAGCGAGTCACTGCAGAAGACTTTCTTCAAGCTCTAAAGGAATGTGAGACGATTGCTCAGGGCTGTAAGAAGCCATGTGACAGTCGGCTGCGGAGGGTTTGATCCCGGACGTCGACCCAACAGGGCATACTGTCTCGCATATAAGTAGTCGCCATTGGATCAATATCGCTGCAAGCCTGCTATACACCCCCAAGCGACTACTTCCAGTCTGCACCACACCAGCAGAATGGCCAGTCCAAACATAGGAGGCAGGTTCATGGAGTTCGAAGGCGTGAGGTTTCCGCCGTTGCCGTCCGACTCCTACAGCCCTTCGCTCGATGGCCAAGTCACGAAGTGGATCCCCCATGATATCTCCCAGGAGGAGCTACCCACCTGCCTATGTTTGAGCTGGGCTTTTGTGCTGTCTCTCTATACAACCTCGTCAGATGTGCTGTTTGGCGTGCTCGATGACACACAGGGTCAAGGCAAGGGCGCGAATGCCCTCGTTCCTTGCCACCTGAACCTGGACTCGGTCGACACCGTCCACGCTGGCTGTGCGATGGTCAACCAGTACTGGCAGATCAGTCGCCATTTCGAGCAGATGGGGCTGGACAATCTGCGCACGAGCAGCGCCGAGGCGACTCGTCTCTGTGACTTCCGCCACGTCTTGGTCATGCGTCCGATGGCTGGCCTCGACGAGCCGAGTAGTTCCAGACTGTCTGTTTCATTGAGTTCCCAGTATCCACTGGTCCTAATATGCGGCCTGGATCGCGAAGGTGTGACGGTCCATGTGCATTTCGACTCCACGGTCCTCTCTCCCGAGGTATTCGAGTCAGTTCTGCACACCTTCTCGCACACTCTGGCACAAGTCACTTCCACGGCCAACCTCGACACACGTTGGACGGACATTCAAACCAGTAACCCCGATGATCTCAAGAAGAGTCTCCATTGGAACACGCAGAGCAGCACTGAAACAAGCCGTGAATGTGTTCACCATCGGATCGAACGCCATGCCACCGAGCGGCCCCTGGCACCCGCTATCTGCGCGTGGGACGGAGACTTCTCATACGGCGAGCTTGACCAGAGCGCGTCTTACCTTGCCCATCAACTCTTCCATGCCGGGCTCACATCCGAAGGCCTCGTCTTTATTCTGTCGGAAAAGTCCAAGTGGACGCCCGTCGCCATCCATGCCGTCCTCAAGGCCGGAGGGGCTTTCTCGTTGATGGATCCCTCGCAGCCGACTCACCGGCTTGCCACGCTCTCCGACCTCGCGTGCCCTCATCTGATCCTGACCTCCAAGCAGCAGTACGCCAAGGCCTGTTTCCTCGGACCTGAAGTGATGATCATCGAGGAGATGAGCGCCGAACCTCCCGCCAAGGACCCAGAGATGCCGCGCGGGCGGGAACGGGTAAGGGTTGAGAGCCATCACATGCTCCATGTGGGCTTCACCTCCGGGTCGACAGGCACCCCCAAGGGCGTCGTCACCGACCACGCCGCCTTGACCAGCGGAGAGTCCGTCGCCGGGCTCGACAGCTCGTCCCGCGTGCTGCAGTCGACATCGTACTCCTTCAGCGCCTGCATGTGGGAGCACCTGGTGGCCTTGACCTACGGCGCCTGCCTGTGCATCCCGGCCGAGGACGAGCTGCAGAATGACATCGAAGGGGCCATCCACCGTCTCGGCGTCACCTGGGCGATGATCACCCCATCCGTGGCGCGGGTGCTCGAGCCCACCAAGGTGCCCAGCATCCAGACCATGTTCCTGGTGGGCGAAGCGATCGGCCGGTTGGAAGTTGGGAAGTGGGCGCATCAGGTCGCCCTGCACTCCATGTACGCGCAGTCCGAGTGTGGGAGCCCAATCATCACGAAGCGGATCCTCGAGCCCCGGGACCTGTCAACGGTGGGATCGCCCGGCGCAGCGATCGGGTGGATCGTCGATGCGCAAGACCACAATCGCCTGATGCCGCTGGGCGCCGAGGGGGAGCTGGTGCTGCACGGGCCGTGTCTGGCTCGGGGCTATCTCCACAACCCCGAGCAGACGGACGCCACCTTCATCACGTCCCCGGCCTGGACGAGGCAGGTCGGCTGTGCATCCACCACGCGGTTCTTGAAGACGGGGGATCTCTTTTCGCGCAGCCCCGTGGACGGGTCTTACCAGTTCCGCGGCCGCAAGGGGGGCAAGGTCAAGGTCCGGGGCCAGAGAATCGAACTGGCCGAGATCGAGTACCACCTGCGCGCCCAGTTTCCGGAGGCCTCCCATGTCGTGGCGGAGCTCGTGCGGCCCCGCGACGCGGACTCGCAGTATGGCATGCTCGTGGCCGTCATCCCCGTGGCGTCTGCGCGCCCGAATGGCGGAAATGCTGCTGCTCACTGCCAGCTCCTGCCCCCGGACACAGCGTTCCTGGCCCGCGCACGACGGGCGTTAGACCAGATGAGCGAGGTGCTGCCGTCCTACATGATCCCAACCTCCTTCATCCCCGTGGCCAGTCTGCCGCGCACCGCGTCCGGGAAGATGCACCGCCGCCTCTTGATCGAGACCATCTCCCAGCTCTCTCGCAAGGAGATCCTAGCGTATATGACAGTCTCCAAGCTGTATCGCCCTCCGAGCACAGAGAGGGAAGCACTCTTGCAGTCCGTTCTGGTCAAGACACTGTCCCTCGCCGCGGAAGATGTCGGGATGGACGAGTCATTTCTCAGCTTGGGGGGTGACTCGCTGTCCGCGCGGCAGCTGGTAACCCTGGCGCGTGGCGAGGGACTCAGCCTCACGGTTATAGACTGTCTTCAGCAACCCAGTCTCAGCTCCCTCGCCGAATGCGCGAAGACCAGTCACCCAGAGCCTGTCGACCATACCCCGGCAATCCAGGCGGACCCCTTCAGCTCGCTGCGCCACGACTTCTTCCACAATCTTCCCCCCGATCTAACCGCCGACATGATCGAAGACATAGCTCCGGTCCGCGAGACGCAGCTCTTTCTCGTGCAGTATCAGATACTCGACTACCTTCAGATCCGGATGACGGGTCCGCTGGACCCCGTGCGACTGCGCAGGGCGTGCGAAGACCTGGTGCAGAGCCACCCGATTCTGCGCACGATCTTCCTCCCCTTCCAGACCGAGCACGTCCAGGTCATCCTGCGAGCGGTCGACGTGCCGTGGCGTGTCGTGAGCCCGCCCGCCGCTGGCCACGACGCCGACCTCTGGGCGCACGCCGTCTGCGCCGAAGACCGCAGCACGCCGACGCCGCTCAGCGGACCATTCCTCAAGTTCATTCTGCTGCAGGATGCCTCCCTGCAGCAACACACGCTGATCATCCGCATCAGCCACGCGCAATTCGACGGCCTCTGCCTAGACACGCTGCTGGGCGACCTCGCCCAGCTCTACCGCGAGAGAAGCAGCCCGCTCAACATCCAAACCACCTACGCGGACTTTGTGCGCAAGTGCGCCACGCTGCGCACGCCGCCGGCCCTGCAATTCTGGCAGACCCTCCTCGCCGACGCCACCCCGACCGCACTCCCGCTCACCCCGTCCACCGCGCCCCAGGAGGCGGCGTGCATCGTCGCCACGCAGGACATCCCGACGGCGCTACCGCCGCCGGCCGGCACGACCTGGGCGACGGTCGTGAAAGCAGCGTGGGCGCAGGTACTCCGCGAGCGGACGCACCAGGCGGACGTGATTTTCTGCCAGATGGTCAACTGCCGGTTCGTGGACGTGCCGGCGCCGGAGCGCATCGTGGGGCCGTGCCTGAACCCGGTGCCCGTGCGCGTGCGCGCCCCGCCGACCTGGACGGTGCGCGATCTCCTGCAGGCCGTCCAGGACCAACATGTCGCCTCGCTGGAGCACCAGACGCTCGAGTGGGGCGACATCGTGGCCCACTGCACGCCGTGGCCGCGCGACACCGAGATCGACTCGATCGTGCTGCACGAGAACATCGACGCCAGCCCCGTCACCACCGCTGAGGGGCACGCCGTCTGGCGGCTCAAGGCCCACAGCGTGGATAACCCGCCCGAGCGCACCATCTACCTCTACACGTATCCGCAGCCGGATTCGCTGTACGCCGTGCTCGTGCTGTCCAGTGCGGTGGGCTGTCAGGCGGAGGCGCAGCGGCTGGTGCGGCGGTTCGGTGAGGTGGTGGGGCTATTTGTACATCGGCCGGGGGCGATGCTCTCTGCGCTGTGAGTTCTAGTTAGAGATTAAGAGGGGAAGGGGGTCTATACATCTAGAGCTTGGATTGGTGTATGACGGTCTCCTATGATTATCTGCATGGATGATGGCGGATTCTCTTGTCTTCGCTCCAGATCTAAGATACGTACGTATATACGTAGTGTTCTCATGCAGTCTTTTGGCCAGACCAGTTCGGAGTAGATCCTTCTTCCTCTGTTGGTAATATGTGGTAGACATCATTCTATCTGCCTTCCTGAGCCCTAAAGAGCCCCCTCACTATGGACAATGCGGGGAAAATCGGGGATTTATACGGGGTGAAGGCACTACTCCCAAATTGGACTAGTATCATTCATTGCCTTTTGACATTCATTGACAATTGGCTATTGTTTCCTCCTCCTCTTCCTCCTCAATCCAGCCTGATTCACAAACGCAATGTCTCCCGCATCCAGACGTAGAAGAAGTCGTCTAATCACCGGCTGGTAATTTCTTGACCTTTAACCCAAGGCACGAGAAGGATTAAGCTCATCAGCTAACAATTCGCCTTAGTCAACGCTGCAGGGGTATGTTCATCTTCTAGGCTCTTAATGTCCTTTGAATACTGGTCAGATATAGTCTTATGACATTCCCATTGCAGCCCGGCACTTGAAGTGTGAGTCCATACACGCACACAATAGCAGCTCTTATCCTTGACAATCCATCAGGCGACACCAATCTGCCCTCCTGTGCACATTGTCAGCGAGCAGGCGTCGATTGTAAACGAGGCTTCAACGTCCGCTTTCGAAGAGGGCTAGATCTGCCTACGGATAGCGCGACTGCTTTTCCCGGGCAAGATCTGTGGCCGGACTTGATGGGTCCCGGTAAAGTTCCCTCCCGACTTGGAAGATCTGTTCTCATGGCCGTTGATAGTCGAGTTCCTGGATGAGACGCAGGCCATCCAGCGACTATATGAGGTGGGTCAGTCACCGCAGCTCTTGGACGATGATTGTCGGTTCGTGTGGTCGCCGTGTGATCTATCGTCGAGCCCTTTCACCGACGATCTGAGCCCAGGTCATCCCGCTGGGTCTACGTTAAATGGCCACCGCTCAGTCTGCGTGAGCGCCGCCCAGAGCAGTCACGATAGTGGGCCGGTGGCCGTGAGAGAGCGGGATTCTGTTCGGCCCATCATCGGTCCTTCAGGAGACCGAAGCACAGACAGTCCGCCAAGCATCATTCAGCCAAAGACGCATCAACCGACATTCAGCGCGCGGGAAGCTATCTTGATGCGTAACTTTGTCGAGAACATGGCGTTATGGGTGGGTCCGGTGGGAACTTCAAGCCTCTTCCCCAACGGTTGCTGATGCTCGGCGGACCATGCACAGGCCGATATCACTGATCCCGATCGGCATTTCGAGACCGATGTGCCGGTAAAAGCGGTTCAGGAGCCGGCTTTGCGCTCGGCGATCTTCGCCTTCTCCTCCCGACACATCGACCGACAGCGCAGAGTCGATGCGTCCGAGGGTCTACAGTACCACAACCACTGCCTGCAACTTCTGATTCCGGCCCTGTCCGGCTCGAGCACAGACATCACGGATGTCGTCCTTGCAACGGTTGCGATTCTCCGACAGCACGAAGAAATGGAGCGTATGATCAACAACCCCGTGACGTGTTGTGCGAGGCTGAGCTGACAGATTCCAGCTGACGACAATCAATTCCATTTGACGGGTACAGCGCGCATCCTAAACACAATATCGTCCTTCGGCTCATCGGGAGGGCTGGGCGAGGCAGCGGCCTGGCTCTGTCTCCGTGAAGATATATACATCTCGCTCATCGCGCAAAAGCCGCTGCGGACGAATCTCGAGAGCTTCCACCGGTCCACTGTCTTTGTGAGGAATGACGACTTTGCATGGGCCAGTCGGATGGTCTTTCTGCTGGCGAAAGTCCTCAGTTGTGCGTTCAATCCTGGTGGTCACGAGCCATCTGGAGATCCTAGCGGGCTGCAGGGATTGGCACAGGAAGTGGAGGCCTGGAACAATGCAAAGCCTGCGTCTTTCGACGCGATACGCTCCGTACCACGCGGGAAGGATGTGCAGCAGCGATTGCCCGAGATCTGGATGTTGCTGCCTGTCCACGGTGAGGGCAAACCAACAGTGCTGGATGCGATATCAGCTAACGCAGTCCACACGCTGTAGTTGTCGGGGCACAGTACTATCACATCGCCAAGATCGTTCTGGCCGTCACCACTTGCCCCAGTCCCGCGCTGGTTGCTCAGAACTTCCAAGTTTCCAGACACATCGAGGTTCGTGGATCTCCGCAAAGCCTGCCTTTGGGATTCCGTGCTCACGATGCACGCGCAGAAAGTAGTCAGGCACCACCTCTTCATGGTCCTCGGCTTGGCCAAGTCCAACCCCAAAGCGGAGAATACGCTGTTCACTGCGCGTCATAGTCTTGTGGCATGTGAGTGCTATGATCCGCAAACCGTTGAGGGGAATGTTGATCACCCGCATGACTGACATATCCAGGGGGTTGGGTCATTCGACGGCGAGAGGATCAGGAAGCTGCCGAGGCTCTTTTACGTGACATGGAAACGAGGACTGGCTGGGCTGTCACGCAAGCGATTCAGGCTTTACGGGAGCAGTGGGCCGACGATGATTCGGACTGCTAACACCAGATTTCGGATTTGCGGAGACGGTGTTTTGCAAACGAACATGACGTGACGAACGCCATTGAATTATGATTAGGAGAACATGTTCACACTCATGGTACGCCTTTTGTTTCACCGGCTCGGGAAAAGGGCGGTCACGGGGATGGGCATCTCAATATGTGGAGATCAACAGGGCACCGCAGATTGTTTCAACCCGATCAGAGGGGCGTTCTTCCTCCCATTCGCTCCGAGCTCATGCAAAGTCAAAGCCAGCCCAAAGCTTATCAAGCTGCGGCGCTTCCAGGAGGTTTTGCCATGACATTTCGCCGATTGCGGAGCAAATGCTCCGTCAGGACCAGGTTCCGCGACATTGGCGGAAGTCCTCCTACCGATAGCTCATGTCATCGCCTCCGTGAGAGATCTTGGTTTCTATCTTGCAAATGGCCTCCTATGGGTTCATCAAGGCAATGGAGTTGGGTCTTATGCACAACGGCATTCCTTTCGATTTCAGGGTCCTGTTCTAGCGGTGAACGGCTCTTTGACAGCAACCCCCGATGAAATCATCCTATAATAATAGAATCAGAATGCGCTAATATCCTTGCATGCGTCTCCAGCCTGGAATGAGTTGTAAGGATCTGCACGACGCAAAGGATCGATCAACGTCCTGGATCGACTCTGATAGGGTCTGAGCGAGCCGAGAATTGGACCCTGCGTTCCATCATCCATCTCAGGCTCACAAACCGGCTGTCCTGAGCCATGACGTCCCATCCACGTGGTACCATAAATGAGCGCAACTTTATACATGAAACGCCTGATGTCCCAGCCGAGTGACCTTGACCTCTCACGCCTTCTATAGCATTTCTTTTCTGTCTTGACAACGTTGCCGGCCAAGGCGTTGCTCCAGTCGGTCGGGTTATCTGCAGTGTCGGTCTCGCGCAGCAGCCCACGCATGTGAAAACAAAGCCTTGTTCAAGATAGGACCTCTCACTTGCTCAGCATAACAGCTGCTCACCGTGTTTCCCTGATTCAGCGACCGGGGTAAACCTACTTTCTCCGTCACGCTTGTGAGACCAAGCCGGACTTCTTTTTCGACAGCCCGATGCCGTTCTTTCGCAAGCAAAAACGAGGAGGACCATCCACTCCACCATCGCTGCCTGATCACCAGGCCAGCAAGCCTTCAAAGACGGGCAGCCACTCGATCCGTGCCCTGTTCACCGGCAAAAAGCCCAGGCCTGCCGCCCATCCTCATCCCACCTCTCCAACGCTACCCAACGGCAGCGAAACAAGTACCACCACCCCCAAACCTCAGGGACCATTCTCAGTCTCCTTCCACCCCAAGCCCCAACCCACCCTCTGCTGGCAGAACATCGATCCCCCGGACAATCTACTGGTGTCTCTAGACGAGAAAGCCCTCGAACAGCAATTCCTGTTACACCGACCCCGACCCCGAGCCACCGCGATGATCGACACCAGCCGAACCACCTCGCCCACGTACACGTCCCCGAAGGCAGCAGCAGCAGCAGCAGCAGCAGCAGCAGCAGCCACTCTCCTCCCCGGCTACAACGACGTGAGCGGCTCCGTCATCGTCGACTGGAACGGGTATCCGCATTTCCTCTCGCCGCAGGAGGAAGTCGACCGAAAACTCCAGCTGGAAGCTGCGGTGCAGGAGCGGATGCTGGGGTTGCCGCGGCGGACGGAATTCGCCTGGGAGCGGCCCGGTACCCAGCAGCAGGGTTGTGGTGGGCATTATGCGCCCCCGAGGTATACGCCGGCGGGCGCGAAGTCGGGTTCGCGGTCTTCGTGTGAGAGTACGAGTAGTAGTGGTAGTGGGTCGTCTGGTCGAAGGTGATGGGGGTGGGATTGGGGTTCGGGATAAGCGGACGACGGCTTCACGGGCACGCACTCACTCCACGGATGCATGATTTCGGATCCGCGGCTGGTGATGCGCTAGCGGGCAAGGAAGGCCACTTTTCCTCGACTCGGGTTGTCGTGCCCCGTGAGACTCGGCTTGCAGGTTTATGATCGATGACTTTATGACAGCGTGGAACGAGATATGCGCGATGGATGGATGATGAAGAATAAGAGGAACCAGAAGAATGGTGATGCTGATACTGGGTACGGATTACGATGATGCTGGTGATGATGATGACGATGATAATGATGATAATGTTAGGCCGGGTTGTGGCGAAACGGAGGCTTTTGTTGATTTGCAATCCAATGCGATATATACAGTACATCCTTTTTTGAATGGCAACCTCTAAATAAGAATCGAGTATCTATGCTAGAGCACAAGGCTAGTTCCGGAAGAGTCTCAAGCCACCCTCCTCACGATCGACATCGCTATCCTCACCAGCCGCATCCACATCCTCGTCCTCGTCCTCCTCGCGTAGCATACCGCTGGCCGTGTTCCCCAGCAGCGAAGCGAAGAACTCCTCGCGCGCGTGGCGGGTCCACGCCCCGCGGTCCTCGGGCGCCATGAAGTTCTGCAGCTTCTCGTGGATCTCGAACTTCATCTTACGGCCCTTGGAGGCGCGGGTGTCGACGTCGCGTTTGACCTTGTCCTTGCGCATCCCAGTGACCGGGTGCACGGCCGACAGCCGCGAGGGCAGCTGCAGGTGCAGGGTGTCGAGGCCGTTGGTGATGGCGTCCGAGGAGGACATGCGCTGCTCGACCAGCTCGCGCAGCAGCGTCTGGTAGAAGACGGTGTCGTCGTAGAGGGGCTCCGCCGGCTCGTCGGGCTGCTCCGCCGCTTTGGTGGTGGTGGTGGTGGTCGACTTAGCGGCAGGGGCAGTGCGGGCGCGCTTCACGGCGCGAAGCCCGGCCGCCGTCTCGGTGGCGACCTGCGCGTCCAGCACGGTGGAGATCGTCTGCGAGGCCGTCGAGGCCGATAGCAGCTTGCCCCGGGCGTTGGCGGTGGTCGCCGCGGTCGCGCCGCGCACCTTCTGGGACCACTTGTCCAGCACCGCGCGCCGGTGCGCCAGCGACTCGGCCTCGAGGGCCGTCATGCGCTTCCAGAGCGAGGCGGACGAGGTGGCCGGCGTGACGGGCGCCGGGCGCTTGCGTTTCTTGCTGTCGTCATCCCCCTGCTGCTGCTTGTGGTGCGCGTCCGCCAGAGCGAGGCGCAGATCCTCGAGCGTGGACCACAGCGCCAGGGCGGCGGATTCGGCGGACTTGATGGCTTCGCCGTCCAGAGGCTCGGGGACGGCGTCGACGTCGGCGGCATCGTCGGAGGTGTTCTTCTCGTCGGGGGTGGATGAGTGTTGCTGGGCCGCCAGGGAGAGCTGGTTGATGGCGGTGAGGCCCTTCTGGAGCTTGATGCGTGTGTTGAGGAGGGCGTCGAAGGTGGCGCGCTGCTGCTTCACGGCCTTCCCCTTGGCGGCGTCAGCTTTGGCGGCCTGCGAGATGGTCGCGGCGATGGTCTTCTGGTCCGAGGCCATCAGTTTGCGGAGCTCCTCGCGGTCGTCGGTCTTCCCGGTGCGGCGGGGTTCGTCGTCGGAGGCGTCGGAGTCGTCATCCTCGTCCTCATCCTCATCGTCCTCGTCAGCTGGGAGATCATCCTCATCCTCCTCTTCGTCGTCCTCGTCCTCGTCCTCGTCCTCGAAACCGTCCATCTCATCCGACTCATCGGTATCCATGTCGTCAAAGCTGACCTCCTTGGCTTTCTTTCCTTCACGCTTGGCGGGTTGGGGAGTCTCCTCCTCGCTTTCGTCGTCGTCGGAGATATCCTCCGCGTCCTCGTCGCTGCCTAGCTCCTCATCGTCATCCTCGTCGTCCTCGTCGTCCTCGTCTTCCTCATCGCTGGACCGGGCCGCGAACGGATCGTCATCGCTGTCGGCCTCGAGCGCCTGTCTGCTAACCTTCGAGCCGGCGTACTGTTTCCCCAAGGCGACGGGATCCTGTTTGCGAAGCTTTCCCTTGCTGGGACCAGTTAGCGCCGACCTCAATCAACCCAGCGACCACGACAAACGACCATCCCAGACAATCCACAGCACACCTTTGGGGGAAGATAAACCTACCCAACAGCCTGATAGTGCTCTCGACCCGCATCAGCATCCACAGCCTTCCCTCCCTCCTCATCACTCGACTGAACCCCGCGATCGAGATCCTCGGGATCGAAATCTGCAATTGGGCGCAAAAGAGACAAAGTCAGTCAGTTAGTCAACACCACACAAGACAGAAACCCCCCCCCTAGAAAAAGAAAAAACAAACCTCTAGGAGTAGGATCCTCCAGCTCCGCGAGCTGTTGCGCAAGTGACTTGGGAGCCATAACGTACAGACACGAATTACAACAACGGCCAAAAGTTGCTGTATTGGTTTTGTTTCCGCGTCGACTTTTTTTTTTCTTGTTCTGCCCGCAAAATTTCGGGATGCGGTCACGGGAGAACTATCCCCTTCAAGTAGGGAAGCAGCCACGGAAGGCAGGTTTGGCCGGCGGTGAAGGGATCAAAATCGGGCAGTATTCTTTCCCTCGCACGTCAATGCGGCCAAATCAATTCTCACCGCCGACACAAACATTCCCATCACTGTCATCATCATGCTGGGAAAGAGGTTCTTCTCGACCTTTCGGGCGCTGCAGCATGATAACCCTTTGGTATCTTTTCCTTCCCGAGACTGGGGATAAGATTCGCCGCTAATCCGTCGTGAAATGCTATAGGGCCTCCCACGCTCCGGCACTCCGCCCTCCCTCCGCAGCCGCCGCGGGCTGCCCGAGAAGCGCAAGATCCGCGATGTGAAGAAGGTGATCGCCGTTTCGTCCGCGAAGGGGGGTGTCGGGAAGTCTACGATTGCTGGTACCTCTTCCTCTTCCTCCTCCTCTCCGATACTTGGAACAGGACAACAAGAAACTGATACGAGTGCGACAAAAGTGAACCTGGCCCTCGCGTTCGCGCGGCGCGGCATCCGCACCGGAATCCTAGACACCGATATCTTCGGGCCTTCGATCCCGACGCTGTTGAATCTGAGTGGGGAGCCGAGGCTGGACGAGAGTGCGTTCAATGCGTTTTCCTTTGCCCCCTTTGTGCTATCAAGCCAAACCCCAACCCACCCGCTAACCACGAACCCCTACACCAAATAGATAACTGCCTCCTTCCACTGACAAACTACGGCCTCAAATCCATGTCGATGGGCTACCTCCTCCCACAGGCGCAGCAGCAGCAGCAACAAGAACAAACCGCCCCTGCCGCCACAGACCCCGTCCCGATGGACAGCACCCCGATCTCGTGGCGCGGGCTGATGGTCACGAAGGCGATGCACCAGCTGCTGCACAGCGTGTCGTGGGGGCCGCTGGACGTGCTCTTCCTGGACCTGCCGCCGGGCACGGGGGACGTGCAGCTGACGATCAACCAGGAGGTCGTGCTGGACGGGGCGGTGATCGTGACGACGCCGCAGGACATCGCGCTGCGCGACGCCGTGCGCGGCATCGGCATGTTCCAGCGCATGGACGTGCCCGTGCTGGGCATGGTCCGCAACATGGCCTACTTCTGCTGCCCCGGCTGCGGCACCCGCACCGAGATCTTCGGCCACGGCCACGACCACCTGCGCGGCCGCGAGGAGGCGTGGGGCGTGCGCGCCGAGTGTCGCCGCCTCGGCGTCGAGTTCCTGGGCGACGTGCCGCTCGACGGGGCCGTCTGCAAGGATGCGGACCGCGGGGTGCCCACCGTCGTCGCGGAGGAGGCGAACCCCGACAGTCAGCGGCGGGCGGCGTTCCTGGGGATCGCGGAGGAGGTGGCTCGCAAGGTTGGGGTGCAGTGGTGAGGATTTACTTTTCTAGGTGAGGTAGAGGAAGGCGGAAAGGGGGTTGTGTGTGTGTATTATATGGTCTCTTTTGGTTGATTGTGTATATATACCCTGGCAATTGAGTATGATTCTTCAAGTCTTCTAAATTGATAATAATGCCTGCGTTGTGAACAGAGAAACCAGAACTAAAAGCGCGACTATGTAAAGCTGGGTATAACAACCAACAGACCTCCCAAGAACCCAACAAACGAAAACTGGTCATGCCTATATACATCTTATGAAGAGGAGACATCACCTGTACAATGGAACGGCAGCAAACCTCAGTGCGCAACGTACTCCTCCGCCGTCTTGAAATACTCCCGGTCAGGCAAGCCAGGCCGCGGCGTCGACTCGGCCTCGTGACCAGCAGGACCAAGCCCCGGGGTGCCTACCTCACCGTCCCCAAGCTCACTAGGCAGAGCCTCGAACGAGCGATACGCAGATTCGTTATCGCTGGCCATGCCCAGCACTCCCTTGGCATTGAGCACAGCACGGGTGCTCGCGGCATCGAGCCCATTCGTCGTCGTCACGGCCAAAGACTTCTCGTCGCCGATAGTGCTCGTGTCCTCCGGCGGCTCGGTGGTGAGCCCGCTGCGGATGGTGCCTGACCCGGCATTGGACGAGGCCCGGTGTCGCAGTCGTGAAGCCCAGTGAGAATCGCCTGTGTTTGGGATAGCGCCCGCTTCATGGAAGAGCGCGCGGGTGCTGGCGTTTTCTTCTTCCAAGTTCTTTCCCTCGTATCCCGGCAGAACGAGCATGGGAGTGAAGTTCTCGAGCGAAGGGACTTTGGTATGTGAGTTCACTGATTGATCGCGCGTATAATCATCTTCCTCGGAGGGCGCCTTCGTTCCCGACGAACCACCCCCATTGCTCAGGCCATTCGACCGGGGCTTGGTGGAGAAGTCCTGTACGGAGGCGCCGGTCACGGCGGCGGCGCGCTGGGTGGCGGACGCGTTCTCGTCCGTCTGCTGCGCGGCCTCTGCCTTCATCGACGCTCCCGCCTGGCCGGCATCGACGCTGGTCCGTGTGGACCGGTCGCCCTTCAACTGTTCTTTGACGACGGTGCGCTCGTCATGCTTGCTGGCCATCTTGCTCCACATGGTCATCGGGTAGCTCTTGCCGCCAGTCCTGGATGGCAACACGCGCGGAACGGTGCGCCGGGCAGCCAGAGAGCTCGGCGGTGGCAGCTCGCCTTGGAAGTTCTGGAGTCCGTACGCCAGCTCCTTCATGCGCTGTCGTTGGACACGGAGCTTCTCCTTGGCGAATCTGGTATCCCAATCCTTCTTTGCTGACAGCCACTTCCGCACGAGCACGGGGTTGAACACCCCCACTTTGGACGGGGGAATTTGAAGCACGGAGCACGCCGACGGGGGATCCAAGGGGTACACGTTGCCCTTCTTGTCCACTCGCTGCCGGATCATGCGGTCCTTGAACGCGGGTAGGGGGTCCCCGGCCTTGCCAATGCAGTCGACGGGGGTGTGAGAGTTCTCCGATTCTCTCTTGGTTGGGTCCTCGCTGCTGTCCGTATCGCTGGATACACCGTGGTCGTCGACAATCTCGACCTCCGTGTCTTGCGCACATGCAAGAGCCCAAGCACCAAATTGCGCAATCGCCCGATACATGTACTTTGCCGGATGAGTGAAGCTCAGAGTCGGTGCCACATGGCAGAGGTCATCCCAGGACTGGAGTTGAACGTAGGTTCCCTGATACTTGTGAAGGGTGTCCCGGTTGGGGTCATGCTCGTCGAGAAACGCATCGCCAGGCGGGTATGCGGCCGGGTTGGCCGCCTTGTGGGCCACGTAGAATTGCTCGTCCCTCAGCATCTCCCCGCCACCGCTTTGAATCAGCAGTGGAGGCAGTCCTCCGAGAGAAGGCTGGAAGATAGGGGACACGAGCGGGTGGGTTAGAAGTTCGTTGGTCGCATACATGTGAATCTGGTCCTTGATCTCGACCGTTTCTCCGTCAATCGGGATGCTGATCTTCTCGTTATGGATTTCGGTGGACTGGCGATCCGAGTTGGTGCGGTCGGCTTCGGAGGAGCTGCTCTTGTGCATCGAGTAACCCCTTTCCGCCGTCTCTTCGTCTCGCCTACTTTGCTCAGGGACAGCATCGGTGGGTTTCTCCGGGGTTCCTTTAAGTGCTTTCTTTAAAGAAGCGAGCTCATCTGCGTTAGGGGGTGGCCATGCCGGAGATGGCTTATGCATAAAACCGTACGGGGGGATGTAGTCTCCGGGATTGTCTTTGACGATACTGGGGAATGAATGGGTCAAGTCCACCCAAGGCGAAATCAAGATTGCCCCCGCCGGCAGAGGAAGCCCTTGGTCGCGTAGGAGAACCAGCATACTTCGAACCATTAGTTGCAGCTTGCATGATTGACCAGACCTCAAACTTACGAGAGAACCAGCCCTCCTCCAGCAGAGTCACCGGCAAAGAGGATTTCCTCAGGCTTATGCTCCTTCAGCAGGAACAGGTAAGCCGCCAGTGAATCCTGCATCCCACAAGGAAAGGGGAATTGTGGCGCCAGGCGATATTTGGCTGAACAGGGGGGTTAGTTTCATTCGAGGTGGACACTATAACCTGTGATAAGGTCGGGGACTCACTAGAGCACAGTCAGTAAGAGATGCTTTAATTGGTCGAATATACAAAAGGCTCACCGTGCAAACACCCTCCCCTTCAACTTCCGCGCATGGCGCTGCATCTGATACCGATGTGTATCCAAGCTGCCGAAGAAGTACGCCCCGCCATGGATGTACAACATGATGCGCTTCTGGCTAGGATGGTCGCGATCGGTGCGCTTCCGCTCATTGTAGTCCTCCTTCATCTCGATCCATTCCGCTTTCAAGTCCTCCGCGGGGCCGCGCCACTGCCACCAATCTTTCCCGCCCACGCGGGCGATGCCCTTCGGGCCGAGCTGCTTGTTGATCGCATCGGCTGCGCCGAGGAGACAGTCCTCCGGCACGGTCACGGTCTCGAGCTTCACCCAATGCGGCGCGGGCACCCGCTGGCAGGTGAAGGTTTGGAGGTCTTCTAGGCTATGCTTGGAGGCGTAGATGAGGAATTCGCGTAAGATGCGGATGCTTTCATCGTAGGAAATGTGGACGTTTGGTTTGTGGTGGAGAGATTTGCGGTGGAGGTACTGATAGCATGTGAAACGGGAGTCAGTTGGTCAGTTCGGGGAAGGGAGGCATCGACGAAAGGTGAAACGCGATGGAGCCATTGTTGGCAGCGGATGGGAAGGATGAATGACCCACATGAGAGATCAGGGTCTGGAGGACGGTCGGAGTGAGGGCCAGACTCAATGCGAAGGTATTCAGGGGCATGGTTCTAATGCGCTAGGTGAGGAAGGAAGAAGCCTCACGGAAGGTCATGAAGCCTTGAAGAGCGGAGAGGAAGAGGGCGAGGTATATATGGGGTGGATGGAAGAAGACTTCTGGAGGAGAGGGGGTGGCAGCGCAAATAAACTAAAGGGAGGGAGGGAGGGAGGGAGGGAGGGATAGGAAGCAGCGGAAACACAGGGAGACAGAACGGAGTGGGCCAGGAACCGATCGATATAATCTTAATGGATCAGTCGACCAATGTCTGGGAGGAAAGACAAGGGCTGGACCCTTTTGGGAGGGAATGGATGACTGTGCTGCGAGGAACAACAACGCAGTGCATCATCATCATCATCATCATCATCATCCATTGATTGTCTGGTGTGTCTCCATCCCCTTTGATTGATGGATTGATGGATTCCTCAGGCCCAACCGAGATCGGACTCAATGATGTCATCACCGGCCACCGTCACACTAGTCCCGTTGCGGAAGCTGCGTTGGCTCGCTCGATGGCAGTCGTCAAAACGCTCGTTCAGGCAAGAGTCGGTTGCAAATAGTCAGGCATCACAAAAATGTAGTATTCCAAGTCGCTGGAGGCAATTTGCGAGATTGCGACCGAGGGTGGTGGTGGTCTGTTCGTTTGAGAGACGCAGAGGGAAAGAAAGATGATCTGTATGACGCCGACACGAGTGCGCTCCAGTAGGTGGCTTCTCCATCGGCCCACTTTTGCAGCCAAGCTTCTGATAAGGACCCCATTGCTGCAGCTGACGAATAGCTTGAGGCGTAGTCGGTGACCGCTATAGCTTCAGCTGGCTTGAGGTTGGGTTCTGTGTTGTCATACTTAGAGAGAGGTCTGACAGCAGGAGGTTGTTGGACAAACTGGACTCAGGTCATCCTCACCGCCAGCCGATTTGGCTCATTCGCTTGAATCACCTGACCAATCTGGTTTGAACAGTGCCAGAGCATACAATTAGATGCCAACTTCACATTACAAGCATACAATAGCTTCAATTAGGCGGGAAAAGTATTTTGCGGAGTAAGAATCCATGCCAATACAAACATCCCAGTCTAGAACCGCCCGCCATGACGTCTCGTCTCCATTAGCGGAATCTCCTCGCAGCTGCCGTACGGTAGCACGCTATCTTATCGCAACTCCGACCAGAAAATCAACCACTAAGAACATTCCCCTTCCAACCACTCCCTCTGCCACTTTCACTTCAACTCCCCTACCATACCATACCAGTAGCAGACTCTCACTTCACAGACCTGTACACGAAACACCCACCCAAGATGACGACGACAACAACAGCAACGACCCCCTTCCCAACCACAATGCGAGCCTGGCTCTACAGCCACACCAACCCGACCCTCGAAGCCAACCTCACCCTGGAGGCCTCCGCGCGCGTGCCTCCGGGGCCACTCAAACCGTCGCAAGTGCTCATCCGCGTGCGGACCGCGGCCCTCAATCCCGCCGACTACAAAGTGCCCGCCATGCCGATCGTGACGACCGCCCTGATCCGCAAGCCGGCCAGCCCGGGCCTCGACTTCGCCGGCGAAGTCGTCGCCACCGCCGATGACCACGCCTCCCCATTCACACCCGGCCAAGTCGTCTACGGCACGCTCGACCTGCCCACCCAGTTCGGCTCGCTGGCCGAATACCTTATCGCCCGAGAAGAGAACCTCCACCCGGTGCCCGCGGGGGTCGAGGTCGACCACGCCGCGACCGTCGGCGTCGCGGGCATGACGGCGTGGCAGTCGATCGCGCCGTTCATCGCCCCGGACACCGGGGCCCACGTCTTCATCAACGCCGGGTCCGGCGGCTGCGGCATCTACGCCATCCAGATCGCCAAGGCGCTGGGGTGCACCGTGACGACGACGTGCTCGACCAAGAACGTGCAGTTCTGCCAGGAGCTGGGCGCGGACGAGGTGCTGGACTACACCGCGGAGGATGTGGTGGCCGTGCTGAAGGCCAAGGGCCCGGTGTTCGACCACGTCGTCGATCACATCGGCCTGCCGGCGGAGATGTACAACGAGTGCCATGCGTTCTTGAAGCCGGGCAAGGTGTTTGCGCAGGTCGGCGCGACGCGCTTCCCGACCTTTGCGACGCGGCTGCTGCGCCCGAGCTTCTTGGGCGGCGGGAAGCGGCGGTACCTGCCGATCTTCTGGAAGCCCAAGAAGGAGGATCTGGTGAGAGTGGGTGAGCTGATCAGGGATGGGAAGGTGAAGGTCGTGCTGGATAGTGTCTATGAGTTTGAGGATGCACCCAAGGCGTTCGAGAAGTTGCGCTCGGAGCGGGCGCGCGGGAAGGTGGTGGTGCATGTATCGAGTCGAGAATGAAAAGAGATGGGATGGATGAATGATGGAGAGTTTACAGATTCGCCATGCAACGCTTTTTTTGTGTGCTCTATGTACAGTACGTTGATTATGATACCACGAGGGGTTTTGATCGATCTGTCACACCCTTCGCAAACGAATAACCCCTCACAGAATGTCAATCACTTTTTCCGTTGCAAGAAGGTCATCGCCGCCACGGCCATGGCATCCACCGCGGTCTGCAGCGTAGGTTCGATGACCGGGGCGAAGAACGGCGAGTGGTTACTCGGCAGCTCGCGCACGACATCCCTCTTGACGGCATCGTCCCAGGTCTCGGCATCGACGCCGCCAAACGTCCACATCACATACGGCGCGCCCACCGCCGTAGCCAACAACGAGAAATCCTCACTCGCGGCCGCAGGCTCGGACTCCACCAGCCCATCCTCAAAGTACGCCCCAAACGAACCCTTCAGCGTCTCGACCAACTGCCCATCATTAATCGTCGCCGGGGTGGAATACGTAAGCCTGACCAAAGGTTTCTCCACACAGCCGGCGGCCTCACACTCGGCCTCGACGATCCTGCGAATGGACTCGACCACGCGCTTGCGGATGCCGGCATCGTACGTGCGCACATTCAGCTTGAGATCGCAGTAATCCGGGATGATGTTGTGGGCGTGGCCGGCCTGGATGCTGCCGCAGGTGACGACGGCCATCTCGCCGGGGGGGACCTCGCGGCTGACGATGCTCTGCAGCTTGGAGACGACGGCGGCGCCGGCGACGATGGGGTCGATGCAGGTATGGGGCGCGGAGCCGTGGCCGCCGCGGCCGTGGATGCGGACGTCGAAGGCGTCGGCGGCGGTCAGGAAGCGGCCGGCGCGCACGCTGACGGTGCCGGTCCGCATGCGCATGACGTGCTGCGCGAGCACCACCTCGGGCGCGGGGATCCTGTCGTACAGCCCGTCCGCCAGCATGGCGCGCGCCCCGTCCAGCTGCTCCTCGGCCGGCTGGAAGATGCACACCAGCGTCCCGGCCCAGTGGGCGCGCGCGGCCTGCAGGAGCACGGCGCTGGCCATCAGGCTGGCGACGTGCGTGTCGTGCCCGCAGGCGTGCATGACCGGTCGCGTCACGCCCTCCGCGTCCGTGGTCGTCTTCGTGCTGGCGTAGGCCAGCCCCGTCTTCTCCTCCACGGGCAGGGCGTCCATGTCGGCCCGCACGAGCACCGTCGGGCCCTCACCGTTGCGGAGCACGCCGGCCACCCCGTGGCCGCCCAGATTCGTGTGCACCTCAAACCCCAGACTCCGGAGGTGCTCCGCCGCCACCGCGGCGGTCTCCTGCTCCTGGCCCGAGAGTTCGGGGTTCTGGTGGAGGTGGCGGTAGATCTCCTCGAAGGGCTTGAGGTCCGGCCGGTATTTCGCGATGATGTCCTTCATGGTGGATGATGCTGATGCTGGTGCGGAGAAGGGTGTTAGGGAGGTGTGGTGCGGTGTTGATAATGGTACCGTTCAGCGGATGAGGGGCGGGGGATGATGCAGTGGTTATGTAGTATGTGGTGGGTGCTCACCTAGGATCTGCATTGTTGGCTGCTGGCGGGGATGTGGGAGGTTACCAATGCTGGTTATATAGAGGGGCTGGCGAGGGAGCAGGTGAGAGACAGCGAGTTGAACACGACAGCGTCAACATTCCTGGTGAGATTCGGATTGTCCAGGATCGGCAGTCCATGCGAACCAGCGTTCAGGACGATTGCCGAGTAGAAGCAAGCGGGGAAAGGGTCGATAAGCCAGATTGCGCTGCTTACCCCAACCCGTCTCCAATTGCGCGCTGTAGCGTCATGGCCGATAAGCTCCGGTGGATCGGCGGAGCTGGCCGCGAAACCCTTGCCTTTTCCAGCAGCTCGGCTGTTTGCAGTGGTGTCAATTGACTTCGGTGCTCGGCTATCTGCTTCTTGGCTGGGGAAGAATGAAGTATAGGTAAAAAGGATCGAGGAGAAGGGAAAGTGTTGGCTCTGTTTAGTCTTGTACACAAAGTGAAGATGCTTGGAGTGGATAAATCACGGATGGCAACCAGCGAGAAGCCAAATCACTTCTGAGATGAGAAAAAGACAAAAAGACAAAAAGGAAGATCAACTGCTCACACTCGGACTCGAACCGAGGATCTCAGCATTACTAGTGCTGCGCTTTACCATCTAAGCCATGCGAGCTAATTGGTCAAAGGTAGTGTTTTTTGCATATATGTCCCCTTTGCCAGCTGAGTGGTAAGGTTGCACAACAGCTGCAGTCCCCCGACTTTACCCCGCACAATCGTTGCGATTCGATTGTTGCAATCAAGCTATCTGTCCCCAGCCTGGGAGCAAACAAGTGGAGATGTGGTACTGGGTGTACACGGAATGGAACCATTCATCCCAACCCTGAACCCCGTTGCCGAGCCTCCAGGATGCAACGCGGGGCGGACCTTTGGAGGCAATGAAACACCAGCTGTTGTCCTCTTCGGGGATCTCTAAACATCGTGCTTCCAGATACGCCTGCTCTAGGTCGTAGACAGTCCAAATAAATCATGTACCTGTTGATGGTCTAGCAGGAGTCTCACCAAGGTTGGTTACATTGTCTGAAGTTCCGAACAGATAAATATATGTCTATCCTGCTACCCTAAGACCATGAAACCTATTTCCCAACGCAAAGTACATCAATCCAGTGCGTGAGATGAGACCCCCCCAAGCTTTTCACCTCGCGACACACCGGAACGAGTAGATAGTCCCCATGGTGATATCTCTTGCAGTGTCAATACCTGGCGCAACTAGTACCACTGCCGGCGTGTTTATGGTGAATGATTTGGTATCTGTAATCACCGAACAGGTGAATAGATCTCCTCAGGGAGTTTGGGCTGCCATAGTCCTGTGTTTCTCAACAACACCATCTAAACATCACCCTCACCTGCCCCAGAAATCGACATCTTTCCAACCTTCTACCAACTCGCAATCCTCTACCTCCAAATAAACTCGTCTACTACACCAACCTTTCCACAATACAAGAAACAAACCTCAATCCACAGCTTACAACAAAAATGAACCTCCGCAACTTCACCCTTCTCCCCCTCCTCGCTGCCCTTGTTCACGCAGCCGTCATGAACCCCGTCAACGACCTCGCTGACCAGGCCCTGGATCCCGGAGCCAACTACTGTAACCGGAACTGCGTCAGCAACGACCGCTGCCGCGGCAGATGCGGCGTGTGTGTGAACCATAAATGCAAGGCCAGGGAGTAGTACGTCATCCATCGTTTGACAGTCTAGACCCTGTGAAGAGATATATACTGACAATTCACCGCTCATTGCAGAACCGAAGCTAAAGCATCCTCCGTGGCTTTCGTCCCGTGTTCTTGCTGGGCATTGGAGCCTCTGCTCTAAGAGACAGACATGATCAAAGGGTAAAGGACTTTCGAGATGACCAGGTGCATGGGATTCTGGCGTTGAGCCTTGCGAAAAGGAGGGGCCGTGTTACAACCGGCTTTCACACGAGGGATATGTTCTCTTTGTCTTTGGGAATATGGAATTCGAGATGGGTTGGTTTGTACCGGACTGGGACTTTCTGATCTGCTGGAGAAGGTGTTGACCTCCAAAATTGTACTCTGGTCCCTCATGGTACCGGTTGCATGTTGGGTGGTTTGGACGTCCTGGGCCGCTAGATCTTGACTTCTGGATCGGAGACAAAAGTAATCTATCTGCTCATTTGTCCACGCATGAGATTTTTCATCCCGCTGGGTAAATGTAGGCGGTATACCCAGCCAAGTAATAAATAGTCCATGGAACCGGACCGACAGGTCGCATGCATGCAGTCTGACAAAATAGCTGAAAACACTAAGGCATGGGATTAAGTGGCTAGGGTCCGACGCCGGCGGGCTTGCAGCGGAACTAAAGCAGGTACAGCGGCGGGGGAGAAGCATCGCAGTCCTGAGCCATGATGTCCAGGGGTAGAGTATAAAGTGCTTCATTATATGACATAGTATTCAGCATACCGTTGAGGTAGACATACCACAGGCTGGATTCATCGAGGGGCTGGTTCGTCTACTACCGTGACTACACTTGGGAGCGCCCATTCGCGTGACTGAAAAGGTGGATCCCGGGTGGAGCTGCCGCGCCGTCGGCGAACCACACACGGGAAAAAAAAAGAATTCTTCGCGCAAACCGCAGTACAATGATGGCAATGTGCGAAGCCAAAAAAGCAAAAGAGAAAGCCCAACGCGGGGGTTGAACCCGCAACCTTGAGATTAAGAGTCTCACGCTCTGCCGATTGAGCTAGCCGGGCTGTTGTTGTTGAAGGCTACCCTTGCCTACAACACATATTTGCAATTGGTCTGGCCTCCTGGGCTCAACTCTTCAGCTCGAAGGGAGCACGATCGACGATGGCGTTGAGCTGTGAGGGAAGAAAAATTGTGATGCCTGGGTCCCTGGTGCAAGGCAGGTCTGTCGAATGTCGTGAGCAGGCGGCTGAGTGAACAGTTCGAGAGTTGTTTGTGCTCGTGTGTCCAACTGCTGATATATATTCCCGCGACGGGGATTGGTGCGTATACCAGCGGTCGGATTTGAGCTTCTGGTTTGGGGATTGCCCCAGGGTCGCGAAGAGGAAAAAGAAAAGATGAGATCGCGATCGCCCAGTGGCGAGCACAGTCATCACCATTCAGCCTGACCCGCCAGTTTACCGTTCTGCCTTGGGGTAGTTGACCCAGCATGAGCACGCGCCCATGCGATCATCGGATCGTTCGCATGCGGCGGCTTCTCGCAAGGAAACTCCCAAGGCAGCATCCGATAAAGCATAAGTCGACAGCTGACTCCTGGCGAGGATTAGTATTGCCTGTAGGCAGGTGGTTTTGCATTGTGTAAGGATATGCGAGTGAGGACCGCGCAAGTTGATGACGACCTCGAGTCTCAGACAAGAAAAGCAGCCCCGGTGGCGAGCCATTTCCAAATAAGACCCAAGGCCACCACGATAGGATACGAGACACACTCAAGGGTCATGCCGCGCGGTACTTGAAACCAGGTTCCCTGCTACTACTCTTCGTAGCCCACCATCCCCATCGAAGGCAGGGAACATCTCGCAGATGGGTAAAGCGTGCAGGTTGCATAAATCTCGCGATCCAAAACTCGTGGTAGCAGGGATTACAAACAAGCTCCATGGCACGTAGAGCCATATGGATGGGATTGGTTGGGGAGAAAAGAAACCATCCATGATGACCAGCTGTTGTTGTTGTTGTTGTCGTTGTCGCTTTGACGGAGGCTGAGTTCAGGAAGGAGTTTCTGGGCCCTGTGCGAAGAAGCAAGACATGATCGGGACTAGTGTAAGGGGAAAAGAAGGGCTGGGCGGAGGGTGGAGGGTGATGGGGCTGAGACGGTTACCCCCCCTAAGCACATGGAAGTTGCCAACGATCGACAGGTCGCTCGTATAGCGCAGGGTTGGCGGTTGTCACCTAGCACTGGACTTGCGAGCGTTTATTGTAGGTATTCTTAGAATGTTAGAATTCAGCATGAGAGATCGATAGGGTATGCGATAATTGTAGACAGACCCGACAGTTTGGAACGGATGGACTCTGTTGTTTTGAGTAGCGCTCCGCGATGTTGACAGCGGCTGCGTAACAAATGAGCGTGGGGACGGGTGTGGTTGAGCCATGAAGCGGGGAGAGCTCGCCGGGCATACAGTACACAGACAGGGGATTTCTCAAATCATGGGGGGGGGTCAAGCCACAGTCCGTTGTAGCTCTTTTCTTGTGGAATTATGGCGTCATCAGCGACACAGCGAGATTCTGAGCAACAAAAGAGGCCTCGTGTTGGGAAGGTTGTTGAGGAAAGAAGAAGAATGACGAGGTGGCAGTTAGAGGATTGCGAGGATTGCGAGGAACGCGGCGCAGGAAACACGAGGCTACAAGCCACAGCACCAGCCATCCTTCAGTGACTCCGATGATGAGTGATGACTCTCTCTCCATTGAACTCAGTTCTTCCCCGACACCTCGAAGAGGTATAGACTATAGAGGTGGGTATAGACTCAGACCCTGTTGATAAGCAAAGTGGACGGGGGGAGACCGCTAGTCCGTGGCATTAGGGATGGACTAACCCTATTTCTCTCCTAGTGGTGTCCACCCGGTGCAGTCAGAGTGTCAGAGTGTCAGATGAGGACAGCCAGGGAAGGGGAATGATCCCAACTTGACCGACTGTTGCGGTCCCTCTCACCAATCAGCGTACAGTAATTCCATCCAAAAGGCGATCTGGTTGTGAACACTGCGTTTCCAACCGGGAAGTGGAGATTTGAACCTGGAAATGCACTGCCTTCACCACCATCATCCACTCTCCACTCCACTGCACCAGCCACAGTACACACACACACACACACACACAGCAGAGACAGCCTTACGGTCACCAGGCAGCACTTTCTCTAGGAAACTTCTACCATCAGCTGCCACACCCTCCTTTCCCATCGTTATTATTTTTATTCTTTTTAATTTTAGATTATGACTGATTCCCCCCTAGCGTCTCCACCTGTGACCAGATCCGTCATGAATCCCTCCTGCAGCTCATTTTACTCACTCTCTTTCATGGATGCCTTCCACTCTCGTCATGTCCAACTATATAACCTCCTCTGCTCCCCCCCCCTCTACTTCTCAATTTCAACTTCATACATCTGCAGTCAGCCCATCAACTCAAACCGACTACAGCTATATAGCTACTCGCAAGCGCACTTTGTTTGCGATTCTATTCATTCGATCCCATCACTGCTACACATACCACGTGCTCACCCAGGGCTCAACTTGACCCATCCGTCACACTGTCGCCTTTCAAGTCTACTCGGTTCCTCTGGCCCCCTATCTACACCTCCATAAGGGAGTCTGTTCCCCTGCGATCAAAGCCTCGTCTCCGTCGAACTGCAAGCATGCCTCACCAGGTCGAGCAAGCCGCCGAGCCCGTCGTGCTCGTGCGGGAGCTGGAGGACGACGAGACATATGTCCTCAACAGCTTTGAGAGCCACGCCGGTCACTGCTCCCGTTGTGCCAACCCCCTTCAGACTCGTGAGGAGGACCGGTCCCTTTGCAAGCGCGGCCACCAGTACGCCCGCGACGTGGCTGAATACCTGCGCAGCAAGAACGGCAAGATCTACTCGGTCGTCGACCAAGAGCGCAGCCGATCCACACTGGTCAAGGTGCCTCTCAAGTACGCTGCCGCCCGTCAGCTACTGCTGGCCATCGAGGACGGCCTGCGCGTGGAGAAGAAGTCAGCCGCCGGCGTTCGCGCCTCTGCACCCCCAGTCATCAGCTACGACGCCACTTATCCCGTGCCCCCTCGACGCACCACCACCCAGGAATACCTTCACCCTTCGCAGGCCATCATCGAGCGTGAGCCACGAACCATGAAGCGTCACCGGACCATCATCTACACATCCCCTCGCAGCTCGCCCAGCCGAGGGTCGCTGTACGAGGCTGATGCGGCCGAGCGGTATGAGCGCGTTAAGGAATCGTCCCGCATCTACCGGCCGACCGACTACCACCGTTGAATGAGCGCAACGCACTGGTTTGGAACTAGTCATTACGGTCTTCTCTCACGCACGACACTGGATACCTGGCTGGTGGCTTTGATGCAGCCAAGATGCTGTTACCACGCTGTCCCCCCATATGAACCTTGTCCGCTGGCAAAGGGCTTTTCATCAGGCCCGCCGCGGCCCCCAGCCTTCCCATATCTGCCCGATCGCATTGGATTTGGCCATGGAGAAATCGCTTAGCTACTGCTGCAATTACGCGTCTGTTGCAGTGCACTGCATGCGGCTGGAGATTTGAAGAGGATCCCGATTACTTTCCTTTTCTGCAATCACCGCAACGATACCTTCCTATGTCTCATGTTTGGCATTCTTCGGTTCATCCCGACATCTCAAAACCAAGAACCACAAAAAAACAGACAAACTCAACGAAAAGAGTCAGAAAACAGAGGAGAGAACAAACAAAGATGAGAAGAGGGACGAAGAGAGAGAGCGAAATCTGTCGTGCGACCCTGCTTCATGCTGTCTACACCGGGGGGAAAGCGGAAGACGCCCGCTCCAGGTCGGGGGCATTCCAACATTGGTTTTCTGGCTGCAGCCAAGATGTACTGTAACTTACTGTATGTTGCATGCAAGCAGTGACTCATCCGTCTCGGATGCAGGATTTGTGTGCTTAGTCTAGAGCACGATGGCTGCAGCTTACCTGCAGGCCGCGCCTTTCCTTTGACTTTTTTTTTTTGACTTTTTTTCTCTGACTTCGGATTTCCCCTAAGGAAACCGTCCCCTCCTTTTGATGTCCCCAATCAGGGATACTAGCTTAGGAATTGAATTTCTTATGTCGTGATTGGTGGTTCCACGTGTCTACCTAGTAGTTATGTATGCAGTATGAATTAAGGCTCGTAAATAATTCGCCAATTGAGAAGATGTCTGATGCCCGCTGACGATTGGTCTTCTGCTTTAGGCTTAGCGTAAAGTCGAGGCTCCTTATACCCTGTCCTCTTTAGTGGCTTGAGACAAGGACGCTTGACCTCATCCTACGTATACATATACGTATGTAAGATGGACTCTCTTCAGAAAGAAGAATTCGCTCACGTGGTGTCTAAGTATAGCTCTGACTTTTGTAGCTAACTGAAGATTCGCAACTCCGCTCGAGACGACCCCTACAAAAGCAACTCGTACTTCGCTCGCTTGGCCAGACCATCCGCCCTTACCTGTTCTCTTGCCCACCGCATTTCTTCAACGGGGCATGAAACAAAGGGCATCAATTCTCCGAAACCATCAAAATCCGAGAACCACTAGCTCTTCCAAACTGGAAAGAAGCCAGGCCTCACCGATGTCACGATCGGAGAATTTTGTCTCGCCTTGCCCGGGTAGCAAATCCCGCAAGTGGGATATCCGAATCTGTGATCCCGGAGCGAGACTCGCGACACCGGGACTTTGCAGATACTAAAAAGTGTAAAGGTGCAAGATATGCAAGAATGCATGCCCAGGGAGGAGTCATACCGCTCCGCTGCAACCAGCTAACCTAGTTTTGATGTCTCATGCATGCTGTCAAGGTTGAGGAAACCTTGTGTTTCTTTTCTCTAATGCATGGCGGGTGTCGGTAGGTGGTTGCATCTCAGCGACAAGACGACAACAACAGCAATATGGCCAGGATTGGGACTGACGCTATCAGGTCCATGCTCCCAGCCAAGCACGGCGCGGTCAGTAATTTCTCGAACTCAATTGCAGCTCGTCGTTTCTAAGCATAGACCAAATTCGACAGGACCGGCCATTGCCCTGCCCCGAGTTTCGACATCGGACTGCCCAGCTTGCATCGTCGAGTCTCCACCTGCCCGCCAACTAAACACATATACACCGGATCTTCGACATAGCAACACAAGTGAATTCAAGTCTAGAACCCGCCTCCGGGGGCGACTTGGCATCTTGGGTGGTACGTGCCCAACAGAGTGGATCTTTTCCCGGACCGTGGACCCAGTTCCCGGGATCCACTCCGACTGAGCTGTCATGCCTCTATACCGTCTCCATCCCTAGCCGAAAGTGCGTGGTGGTAATCTTGGGACTGCGATTGGGTGAAATTCCAACAAAGCTAGGGAGTGAGGCTGGATGGTTTGGAGTCCGGTGCTAATAGTGCTATACCGGGGGCGATGGGGTGGTCAGGTAGGAAAGTCTGCACTCTGCTTATGAATTGTGGGGGTGGGTTGCCTCACTATTTGAGTTTTATATAGATGGTTTGATGTGAGGAAGGGGTCTGTGCACCGAGGTTGTAGAGATTGAGAGGTTGGGATACGATTGGCACAGAGGGTGTGGCTGGTGAGGGTGTAGAGTGAATATTGGGGAGGTGGTGCGGGTGTAGACTCATGGAGTGAGGGCTATCGCCAGATGAGAGGTAGTAAAGGGGGATGAAAGATGGATAAGTTCTTTTCCGCGGATCAATTGAATGTAGAGGATGATTGATGTTGGAATTCATTGACAGGATGGCTGCATTCGCCTACACGAATGCTTCCATGCGCGTTTTATGGATACCTCGCCTGCCTCCATATGTTCTCCTTCCGGACTACCCTTCTCTCCCAGATACTTGGACTGATTTAGGCCTCAAATGATTGGTGCCAGTAAAGTAAGAGCTCGCCAGTTCCCTGAGCACAATTCTAACAGCGTGCAACCAGAAAGCCACGCATGACCATCAGGGCTTTATCGACCAAAGATAGCCTCAGCTCAATTGCTTCATCCGTCCTTGGTTAAATAGGCCTACTGATGAGGACATCGAGGTCAAGAAGGTCACTGGAAGTGTCAGAGACTATGAGCTTCCGGGGAAAAGGGTTCTGGAAAGGGGTTATGATTACAGGTATGGTAGCCTGTTCCGCCCCCGATCCGGAACTTCTTGCTAATATCCGGCTATAGATACTTCGTACTCCCTTGTCTGTGAGGAGCCTGCTGCGTCTCCGTTGTTGGTAATGGTGCCATTCTGAATCGGGACAAGGATATTTATGGGAATATCGCGGAGTATTCTTGAGGGTAGCAAGGATGAGACTGTGTTTGATTCAAATTTATGATGCCATCCGTGAGTGAGACAGAGGTACAACAATGTCGAAGTGAGTTCAATCAACTGCAATCAAAGTACGTGGGTAGCATGAGGCTACCCCAGCATCATCGGTTGCCGGTGCGAGCTGGACGGGCAATGCTTTCAAACAGACCAGACCCGAATCGAGTACAAGCAACAAGCCCATTGTCCCACGGAATGTATGCCTCAGCCATCCAGCCAGTCAATCTAGTAAGCCTTGCCATCCGCAGACCTCATTTCAATCTGAACGCCAGCATCCCTGAGCCCGTCCACATACTCCATGCCCAGAAAACTCGGCGTAAAGAAGCCGCCCTTCCTAGCCGGCTCTTCTCCGCTCTCCTTGCTCTTTCTCTCCAACAAGACCCTTGCCCCAACACAGGTCAACAACGCTGTAAACTCATATAATGCTCCCTCCCGCAGCAACGAAGCCTCAATGACTCCCTTTTCAGTCCCCTTTAAGCCTCCTATCCCACCGACAGCCCGATATTCCGCACGCTCAGCTCGCCTCAGCACCTCTTGATCAGGCAGATCACCATCTGTCGAAGCCATAAGTTTCCGTACCAAGCCCCTTACAAGCGGTATCCAGAGCAAAAGTATAAAAATCTTTGTAGCACAATGTATAAAGATCGCATTCCATATTCCGGTAGCAGGAAGGTACTCCTTGTACTGGAAGTCCTCGCCATAAAGCTCTGGGTTCTGGGCTGCGCTGCGGTGTACTACCGCAGCGTTCCCGGGGCCCGTGAAGGACGTTGTCAGCGGCCCTAGGACAGGGTTGAGACGATAGCCGAGCGTTCGGGACAGAAGCGGTGATTTGGGGACCAGCCGCGGCGGTTGCTTCCTGGAAGTGAGCACCCACGAGCCCGAGTTCCCGGAGAGGTACCAGGATGCACCCCAGGTTGTGAAACTGTCAAGAACGGTCGTCAGGGAGCCGGGGGTCATTGCTTTGATGCTTTGCCGGGAGAATCAAAATACGTTAACTTGCATCCCTGGGCATCGAAGGACCATAGCCATTCATGGGGCATTTTCTGGCTGAATGGAGAAAGGAGGGCATACCTAAGCTTCCCAGCGGAAACGATTTCGCCCGGTCCCCTAGAGTACCTCTCCCTCGTTGCTTTTGTGATCAGCCACGCAAGGAGATCGGCCGGTGCGGTTGGCGAGATCCCTGGGATAATCTGCTCTCATACCCATTAGCGCACCGTGGGACAAAACCTGACCTCGAACTCCGCCTGGCTGCCATCAATTGACATAAAGGTATGAAAACTCACAACCGCCCCGCTCTCACTCGCAGCATCCTCATACTTCTCAATCAACTCGGCAATCCACAACGTCTCAGTCGAGAAATCAAGATAATGCGTGCCTTCCCGCGAACAGGCCTCGACAATCGGCGTGGAGAACCTATGAAACGGTCCGACGCCATTGACCACGACTTCTGCCTTCCGAACAACCGACTCGAGGCTCTCTTTGGTGAGTTCCACGAGTTCAATTCCTAGGTGTTATCAAGTCATGCACTTTGTCAGCCCCCTCGACCAAGTCTATTTTCAACCTAGGTTGAGGGTTGGGGTGTAGCATTGCAACGCCGTCGGAGACAGGTATGTACGTACCAGGCTGCACCCTATCCGGATACAGTTCTCTCAATTCCCGCGCTAATGCCCTGAGTTTCTGTTCCGAGCGGCCGCCGATGCACCAGTGGACGTTGGTTGGGTAGTGTTCGGCGATGAACTTGGCGCAGAGCGTGCCGGTATACCCGGTTGCGCCGAGGAGGAGGATCGAGTACATTGTTCTGATCTAGCTGCGCAAGTCTGGAACAAAGGTGAAATGGGAAGAGGGATGAGAATGATTTGACTCAAGCGCTCGACGAGCGGCGCGGTCCGGCTGTTATAGACTTGTAGACTCAACTCAGGTAGACGTGGAGGCAACGTGAGGTGAGGCTGGGGGTATATACGGAGTTCCGGGTTTGGACCTGTGTGAGGATCAAAGGGGGTTAGCCTTCTTACAGATTCTGGTTGGAGTTCCCGGACTAGAGTCTTCCCATTCCCAGGTCATCTGGTGATCTGTGTGGGTGAATTAGGATTGTTAGGTATGATCGAAGGTAATTCAAAGGAGCGTAGCCGGATGATCATATTATGACCTGTAGCTCAAGCAGTCCCGCAAGAGAACTTATGAAGAACAGAATAGTAATGTTTGTATTAGCTATAACAACCCTAATCTCACTCTCAAGGAGTTAAGCTTAATGTTTATGAATCTGAGAAAATTTGTGATTGATTTATGGAGCCACCTTATATGGAAAGAATATACGTACTGGAACTGCATATAATAGGTATAATACTTGATAAGATCTGTAATGCAAATAATGATATTGTTGGTGTTTGTACATTGAAAGAAGGCGTAGAGAGTAGCATAATACTGTATTGACTATGTCTATAGCGCCCACTAAGGGGCTGATACTATTTAGATGATCAATGCTCTATTATTGATAAATTCTGGGATCATGTTAATAGTAGATACTATGAAGTTTTTTGATCTTGATACAGTGAGGGTGAGGGATAATCCAAAGGATTGGAATAGCAGCCTACAAAAGAATATTATATAATCTCATAAATTGTATCAAATCTGAAGCAAGGGATTCTTGCAGACCTGGTGCATTGTATCCCTTTAGCCAGATGCAGGCCCACTTAGCAGCACTAGCCTAGATCCAAACCCAAACCTGGAACTCCGGGCTCCGCGGGCCCATTTTCCGAGGCTGGATCTATTATAAGTACTTGTATACATACGCTGCCTTAAGAAAACAATCACCACGCCATTTTATTTGCCCGTCAATTGGTTTACATTGTATCTTCCTCCATTACCAACCATGGACCCCCACAGCACATCCCGCGAAAAGCTCCTGGTAACCCCACCCTCGCCTCCACCTTCACCTTCACATCATCTCACATGAATTGTTTACCTCCCAGATAACCGGCGCGACCGGCTACATCGGCTTCAAAACCCTTCTCACAGCCCTCTCCCGCGGCTATAGCATTCTTGCCCTGGTTCGAAAAGACAGCGACATCTCCGACCTCCAATCCAGAAGCGCCGCTATCACTGAATCCGTTCGGTCAGGACAACTGGAGTTCGCTATTGTTCCGGACTTCCTAGCCGACGATGCCGTCTACGATGTTCTGAGGGGATCCGGGGTGGCGGTGATTGTTCATTTGGCGTCACCGTTGGCTCCTCAGGTGTGTTTCCTAGCTCTTCTGATTAGTTATCTGACATTGGCTGGGGCTGATGCGAGGGGTGGGGGTCGGATAGACGGAGAATTATGAAGAGGATATTATCCGCCCTGCTGTTTCAATGGTAACGGTGTTTCTTGAGGCCGCGAGAAGGGTGGAGAGTGTGAGGAGGGTTGTTGTTACGTCTTCTTGTATGCTGCACTGTCCATTGACTGGGTGCGAGACATCAGCTGAGGTAGACAACAGGCGTGACCCTCATCCCCTTCGAGTGGAACTTCAATCCAGACTCCGAGAGACTCTATACCGGTACTGTACCTCCGCTTGCCCCATCCCCACCCCTATCCTATTGTCTATGAAATCTAATCATCTATAGCAACCGACCTAAATCCAACCCTAACCAGCACCCCAGCCTCCCCCATGGAAGCCTACTGGATCTCCAAAGCGCTGGCCCGAAAAGCCAGTCGTGATTTTGTGGAAACCCATCGCCCTAGCTTCGACTTCGTAAACCTCCTCCCCGGCGTGGTCATCGGACCCGATGACCGTCTTATCCCATCGCCCACGAACAAGACCGTGAAGAGTGGTGATGTGCTACAGGGAACGAGGAGGTCCGTTCTTGCGCCCGTGTTGACCGCTGATCTGAGTAGTTCATTTCCTTATGTGGGCGTGCCGGTGCATGTGGGTGATGTGGCGAGGGCACACATCGATGCTGTTGATCGGCAGAGGATTCCCGGGAATAGCGAGTTTATTCTTGTTTCGGACGCTGATGCTGACGAGGGTGTGGACTGGGAGGAGGGTGCTCGGGGGGTTGTGCGGACATACTATGGGAAGGAGCTTGAGGAGGGATTGTTTCCGATGGAAGGGAGCTTGGAGGCGATTCGCTGGAGGGTTGATACGAGGGAGACGGAGAGGGTGTTTGGGTGGCGTCTTTTGGGGTTCCAAGAGACTATAAAGGCGCTTGTTGCGCAGTGGGTTGGGTTGAAGAGGTTGGAGACGTCAGTGGAGGCTGGATGCGAGTAAAGATTGTCGATAGAAATACACGATGTGCTTGGCTTGAACACTTATGGATCTAAGCCTGGATTCTATCACCACGTAGTTTACATATGAATAGGTGCAGCCTGTTCCAAGTTATCTCTTCCGAGCCTCCCTCGGCGCACAAACAGCTTCCACATTATTCCCTTCCATGTCAACCGCAAACGCCGCGTAGTAGGGATACCGGCTCATCTCCTCCCGAATCCCAGGACCACCGTTATCCTTAGCTCCGCTTTCTCTGTGATGACGGTAATGGCATCAGTGAACTACACATCTCTCTTCCCGATTTGAGACGGGGAGAACAGAAAGAAAACTTTGAGAACTCACAATGCAAGGCGATGAAACTCCTCAACAGCCCCCCAAGCTATTCGGATACACACATCAGCACTAGGGCAACCCCAAACCTCAGAGTGTGTTTGGGAGAACAAACTCGGCGCATCAAACGCCACGTGAACGGGCATCGTGGTGTTCCCCTCCGGCAACGCCTTGATCCAGAAATAAGGGTAGTCGCTCCCGAACCCGATGAGCGTGCTGTTGTACGCGCAGATCAGCTCTGTGTATCCGACCGGGGCGAGGACTTTGCTGTAGAAGGTGCGCAGTGCGGGAAGGTTTTTGGCGGTTGCCCACAGGAAGATGTGGTTGATAGTCATTTTGTGGTAAGTGGTGAGCTTCAGCTGGATCAAGTAAGGTCAGGGAATGAAGGCTAGACAGGATTGATGTTGTACTTGGTCATTTTCGTGGGGCTTTGGAGATGGAGCCGGGTTTTATCTGGCTGCGCATTGCCCTCAAAGTACGGTAGACAGGCGCGTATACTACCTACTACCTAGTAGCCCTGAGTGGAGCTCGGAGTTCCGGGATTAGGCCATATCGTTCAAGGTTCAGGTTGTCAGGAGCCCTCATTGAAAGGGTCGAGAGGCAATCTACTAGGTATCATGGAAGCGCCAACAGGGTAGATGGAAGGTGCTCGACTGAGTTCAGGGACTATGCCAATTGCCCCATGACCATGTGTCGATGGCATAATCCTTGGCTTAATAAAGAGAAATAGTTCCAACCTGGGAGAGCTTCAATACTTTTGTGTCAAATAGTACAAATAGTAATATTGGTTGGTAACTGGAAGTATGCAGTTGCCTCCAGTGGGAATGGGACTGGTCAGGCATGATCACGTGAGAAAGATACAGGACTGCCAAGGCTATTCCCATCAAGGCATAGTAGCCGAGCTCAGCCCGGAGTTCCGGGTTCGGGATCCATCACCTTGAGTGTAAGTTATGCATCGTTGTCCAAATCCCCATCTCCCATCTCCCTTCTCAAATCTAATCTTCACAATCACAATCATGGAACCTGCAACGGTGGAGAAGAGGGCTGAGTGTCCCTTCTGTACCACTACATTCACCCATCGTGAGGCCCTTTGAGCTCTATCTTCGGAGCCCTCTCTTATGCAGTATCAACAGGCTCCTCGCTTATCCGTCACCTCCGGAAGAAGTGCAATCAACCCCAGCCGCAGACTGTACGCCGCAAGGCATGTAGTCAATGTGTCGCGGACAAGACGCGGTGTAATCTCAAGCGCCCTAGCTGCTCGCGGTGCTCTGTGCGACAGATATCCTGCCAGTACTCAACCCCGTTCCTGGACTCATCTGGCTCTCCATCACCAGAGAGGGGGCAGACGACTTTGGCGCCGCAAGTCAACATATCAACTCCACCGGAGCCACGGGCTGCTGATTCGTCAAGTCTCTTCGAGGACCTGCTTGCCGATCCTGCGCCTTGGGACCTGTCCTTTCCCCTTGATGTAAATTCTTCCCTGTCCCCGCGTCGCGACCTCGCAGCGCTGGTTCGTAATGACAATGCCCAATTATACCCTACTGTTTTGATTGGTGAGAATCCAAGCTCGCTGCTCTCACCAGATCCAACTGCAGAATCCCCCGCAGCGGCGTTGGCGAACCACAGCATGGAGTTCATCTTCCGTGTTCTTCGATCCTGGCCTAGAATGCTTGCAGGGGATTTTCAGACGCCCCCGTTCCTTCACCACAGTTATATCGCCGATGGTATGACTCTACCCCAATCCCTCGCCAACTGCTTCACTCTAGTAAAAATGTGGCATGGGCAATGCCATGGAGCCGAGGACTTAGTGCACCGCCTGATCCTGAACGAAGTAACCAGCCTCTTGAACAAGGTGCGTGCGCACATTTCATCTCTGAAACCAACGTCGGCTGATGACTGAAGCTCGACGACCTCGACGAAGCCGCCCTTCTCGCAATACTCCAAGCAGTAGTAATCTACCTGATCATCCTCCTCTTCCCCGGCGAGAGCTCCCGCCCAACGCTGCCCCCACCAACGCTCCTCCACAAGATCCAAGAACTGGCCAACCACGCCGCCAACACGGGCCTTTTCCTCCAGGAGGAAAGAGAAGCAATGCGCCCCACCTGGAGCGCCTGGATCCACGTCACCTCCAAGCGACGCGCAGTCCTAGCGCTCTACCTCCTCCGCTGGGCACTATCCGTCTTCCACAACGCCCCGCCGCTAGATTGCCGCCAGGTGGGGTTCATGCCTGCGCCTGCGGCGAAGATACTTTGGCAGGCGAAGTCGGAGCAGGAGTGGAATTCTCTGTACATCCGGTGGCTTGCCAGATGGGATGGGCATGGATATATCCAGGGTGAGTTTGATCGGATTCGACCGGGGATTAAGATGGAGGAGAGGGCGGAGAAGTGGCTTGAGGAGGCGGATGAGTTTGGGATGATTATGATGTCGATCGGTGGGTTACCCTTCTGGAGGTGTGTGGATAGAATCACCGCTGACGACTGTGATATAGTAAATGCGACGGATTGTCCATTGCCCACGTTTGCGGGTCATTGATGCATTATACGACTTATTTCGTACCCAGTCGATTACACAACGGCTTTCCATCGTCGGAACAATAACTAAGTATTATTTGCAGACTACCGTCCGTCTATACGGACGCCCAAATCGAAGGTTTCTCCGATGAATCCTCCAGCAACACTCACTTGGATCCAAAAGCTAAGGAACAGCCTGGCAGGCTACGCAGGATCCTTCGCAACCCGGGCCTGCTCATAATGACTTCCACATGCCCGCAATATACGGAAGGCAATAGGGAACTTCTTTTGCCGATGTCCGTCTGGTACTTGGAAGACATAAACATCCTCCTACAAGAGTATCTGACGGCCCAGGTGTGCCGTTTAATTCGATAGATGGCGCAAGGTGGAACATTCCCAATTTCAAGGACATGCTATAGAAATCACAGTGTGCCCCCGTATTATATCATCCCTGGCTATTCTGATATCAAGTCTTAGATCTTACCGTTCTTTGCTACGCATATAATGCTACTAGGATAGAGCATCTTAAGTCTTAGACAACATCCAAAGTTTAGATATCTCCCTATTGCAGAACCCTAGGGAGACGGCGCATCGGGCCCGGACTTCCGAGTTGTTCATTCCTGACCAAACCCTAGATGCAGGTCCGTAGCTCGGAGTTCCAGGTGTACTGTACGCATGATCCCAGGATACCATGTGGCTGTGACTTGCTATATCAGAAACACGATTTGTAAGCTTTGGGCCCATATGAGATTGATCAGGTATACGGTATGCGATTCCATCTACAGGACTCCTCCCAAGCGAGAAATATAAAAGCACTATCGGGCAACCTCAATATGTTGGGACCCATATCACCCTTCTGCGGCACATCCCACCTGCAGGACAAGAATGCATATTCCCGACAGAGCAATTCCTATCGACTCGACGGTCGTGGTGGTTGGAGCCAATGGATACATCGCCGTGGAAACCTGCGAGAAGCTCCTTCAAGCTGGCCACCGGGTCCGCGGTACCGTGCGCAATGTTGACCGCCATCGAAGCTGGATGCATGCGCTCTTCGATGTGAAGTGGCCGGACAAGTTTGAGCTCGTTCAAGTGGCTGATTTTGAAGAAGAGGGTGCCTTTGAGGAGGCCTTCAAGGGTAACAGCACCTGATAACCTGAACCGTGGATGACCGGCTATGATGATTGAATCTGACGGGTTAATGCAGGAGCTTCGGGTGTCATCTACCCGTCCATGCCCGTCATCTTCGATGCGGATCCTACCAAGGTAGTGGATCCTCTGATCAGAGGGGTAGTCAACGCTCTCCAAGCCGCCGCTCGCGCCGGGGTCCAGCGCTTTGTTGTGAGCTCCAGCTCCAAAGCGGTCCGTTCGACCATCTACAACGAGCCCTACGACATCCGCGTCGACACCTTCAACCATCAAGCTATCCAGCAAGTCCGCGACGGACTGGTGGACGCCTCCTTTGAGCGAAAGCTCGCCGTCTACAGTGCAGGCCGGACCCTGGCCGAACAGGCATTTTGGGGATGGGTCAAGAGCAACAACCCGCCCTTCGTGGCCAATTGCATTGTCCCGGATGGTCAGTTCGGGCGCGTGCTGGACGTGAACAACCTCAACACCGGGCCTACATCCTCGACTGGGCAGTTGATCCGTGCCCTCCGCGGCGAATGGGAGGGAGTTGGTCTTGACCTTGGTATTGCGCCTTGTCTGAGGAAAGCATATTCTCACTGACTTTTCATTGAAAGCGTTCATCACCGACGTCCAGGACACGGCGCGTCTTCTGGTCGCGACCGTTGCGTCCCGGTCGATCGAGAACGAGCGTATTTTCTCCTACTACGTCAATCGCACCTGGAACGATCTCCGACACAAAGTTCGCGAATTGCTTCCCGATCGTCCGGAGCTGGTAACGGGAGGGGATCAAGGTCGGCTGGGGCGAGACGTGTCTGCTGCGCCTGGGCCCATTGCCCGCGCTGAGGAGATTCTGCGGACAATTGGACAGGCGGGGTTCACCAACGAGGATCAGATCGTTCGAGACTTTGTAAACTCGGTCTTTCCTTAGCTTTGATACACAGGGAATGGTAGGCAGAAACTTGCAATGAGCGTTCCTGGGCCGTGGGCGGCACGAATCAGCCAAAATACCCCTTTTGTAGCTCAATGAATAAAAGTTCATGACCAGGTTGGTCGTGATTCGACCGCAATGGAAAGGTGTTAGCCCCTGAGCTACACGAGGGCTCAACGTCTTGAGAGCCTCAAATCATCTGAGATAGCAGGTAAGCGAGGAAGCACCTACCCAAGACCTGAATAGAGACATTCTCCCTATTGGGACGGGACGGACGTTCGGGGTACCTGAGACAACTTTCACACAGCAGATCCTGTACCCATCTTATAAAGTCACCCATAAACCCGAAGTGGTATTAGCTATAGTCCAGAGTAACTTTCCCCAAGTATGCGCTTCCGTATGTATAATCAAAGTTCGCATTCATAAACTGGCACCTACTGATTCTCTCAGATATTCGCCGATCAAGGGAAGCTACTGATCCCCAACAAGCTCCGCAAACGCGAGCTCAGCACATCCCAACCAGTTCATCACCCCTAAGACCACCTCTTGGTCCCATTGTGACTCCAGAAAGAGCCCCCGAACCCACCCGCCAGGGACTGCCGGTCAACCGCGGCCAAAACACTCTTCGCAGCATCCTCCGGCCGCATGGGAACAACCTTAGCCCCTATATACGCCTCGAACTTCGCTTCTATGCCTTTCACGCGAGAAAGGATCGGCTCCTGCACTATACACAAAACCCATCAGCACTTAACTAGACCATGGCGGGGATAAAAGCGAGTCCAAAAAAAAGAAAAACGTACATTCCGGCATTGGCCCCTCCAGAGTATCCACCCGCCCCGGACAGATTGACATGAAGAGAATGCCTTCCCCTGCGTATGCGGCATTGAGCTTGGCGATCAGGACATTGAGCGCTCCCTTGCTGATTGCGTACGGCGCCGCGTTGGCGAGCTGGATTTCATTGATCATGTCTGGGGATTCTCAGTAAGTGTGTGTCTTGACCACAGCAGCAGCTTTGATCATGTTGTGTGTGTGTGTGTGTGTGTGTGTGTGTGGCTTACTGATATCGCCCATCCCGCTGGAAATTGCGACCACCTGTTTTAACCGGCTTTGTCGCACGAGGTCCAGGAAGGATAGGGTCACCTTTAGGGGTCCGAAGACGTTGACCTCGACACTCCGCTGTGCGTCTTCGATGATTGTCTTCGGGTTGTTCTCGCTGGAGCCCAGGAAGGTATGTCAGTCATGAATTGCTGGCATACACCGGCAAGAAAAACCCACTAATCATTGATAGAAGTTAGGGCTGTCTGCTCGCTCACATAAGCGGCGTTGTGGATGAGCACATCCAGCCCCAGCCCCTGGGAGCCGAGGATACTCCGTGCCTCCGCAGCGGCACCCTTCAAAGCGCTATCATCCGTCACGTCGGCGACAAGGACATGGACGTTGGTGATACTGTCCGCAGCCAGGCGCTGCTCGGCTGCCTGCTTGTTCCTCACGAGGGCCAGAACGATGGTTTCAGGCTTGGCGGCTAGGACCTTGACGAGGGCGTACTAAAGTCATGTTAGGACCAAAGCAAAAGTCTTAGTGATGTAAGGAGATGCCCTTGGGAGGAGACATACTCCAAGACCTCGGGCGGCTCCGGTGACCAGGTAGCTGGTTGGCATCTTGCTCGTGGGATGTTCAAAGTAATGTTCTATGGTTCAGTTCTGCTGGTTTGTTCCATCCAGTACCTGATACTGCAGGTGAGACTTATATCCCGATTTAGCCACTGCTGTACTGTACCTTTGAACCGAGGAACGCTGCATTGGTGATTGGCAAGCATTACAAACCACACGCAGAGAGCCAGAGATATCAAGAGGGTGAGGTGGTCGGCATTCCGAGCCGGTGGATCTGCAACCCGGGGTACCGGGCTGCGAGCCTTCGGCTTCGGAGGTAGTCGTTGGATCATTTCTGCTTGGGGCAAAGGATATCTAACCCTACTCTGAGTTTGACTAGTATTTCGAAGACCATACATCTCGGGTTCGACCAACATTTTCTATTCGCGGTAGTGATGGACATCTGAGGTGTCTTCTTTGGCCTGCATATGTGACTATAGCAGTAAACTTCTCATTACAAGCAGGAAGAGGAAAAACACTCCTCACCGCACAAGAGAAAGTAAACATCTGCAATGTATCGGCGACCAGGGATCAAACGTTTCCAGCCTCCATATCCCAATTCCACATGCGCAGACTCCCTCTCCCTAATGAAGACTGAGGTGAACACCAGTGAACGACCGACAGTTTAGTAAACCGGCATTTTGAACGCATCAAAGTCCCAGGTCCAGGTATCCAGCGACGCCTGGTCATACTCGCAGTGCATCTCGGTGCCATTGAGAGACCACATGGGACGCAGAGGCCACGCACAGATCTGCTGCTCCTGGCCCTCGAAGCTCCCGCTGAGCACGGTCCCATTCAAAGTGACCGGGACGAGGTCCTCTTCCACCCACCGAATCAGGGTGGCGAGCGAGGTCTGCGGGAACGGCCCGTTGGGCTGCAGATCGTTGTTCATGCAGTGGGAGGCCCCGGGGACGAGGAAGAGGCGGTACCAATCGCCCAGGGCGGCGGTGCTCGCGTTGTAGGCCAGATCCGGGTACATGACGCGGCGGACCGACTCGTAGTAGTGCACGGAGGACGCGGTGGGGATGCTCCCGTCCTGCTCGCCGTGGTAGTGCAGGATCTTGCCGCCGCCCCGGTGGAACGGGGTGAGATCCGGCCACGCGGTGTGGAGGGAGTCCTCGTACAGCTGCCAGCCCTGCTGGATCCAGTCCTTGAGGGTGTCGTAGGTGACGTTGTCGAGGGACGAGAGGTTATCGGCGTCCACCAGGTCCAGGAAGCGGGCCACGTATTCGCCCCCGAACGAATTGATGTCCAGCCCCCACAGCCCGGTCGTGCTGTTGTACGTGGACTGCGCATCGTAGAAGAGCGCCCCCGGCTGGTACGACAGGTAGACCTGGTTGCCCTGCAGATCCTTCATGCCCCCCAGGATCGTGCGGAAGACCTCGACGGCCGCAGCGGAGATGGTCGAGTTCTGGACCGGAACGTCGCCCTCAGCCGCGCAGTAGTAGCGCGCTCCGATGGTGGAGTTGAGATCGAAGTGCAGCTTGCACAGGTCGGAGCGCGACACCACCCCGTCCTGCCTGCCATCGTACCCATCGCAGGCCTGGATGGTCTGGTTGACGATCGCGGCGATCTCACACTGCGACGGGAAGTAGTTGAGGGTCTTCTCGACAACGTTGGCCCAGAGGTGGTAGACCATCTGGAAGGAGTAGCGGATGGCCGGCGCCCCGATGACGGCGCCGTCCCATTCCTCGCCGAACCGCTGCACCTGGCTCCATCCCTCCCGACCGCCCTCCGAACAGCTCTGGTAGTAGGCGTAGAGCTTGTCGCTCGCGGTCATGTTGAAGAAGCGCCGGGTCAGGCTCTTGCCGATCGTGCTGAGCTCGTGGTGGGCCTGGTACCCGAACATGTAGACATGCTGGTGGTTCAGCGTGCCGTTCGCCAGAAGGAGAACCTCGTCGACCCCGGTGTCGAAGCTCCCAAAGCCTCCATCGGTGGAACCGGAGACCGCTCCATAGATGACCCCGCCGGGGAGCTGCTGGACGCCTTGATTGATGTAGTAGTCCGCACCCCCCGTGGACAGATATCTCCGCTCAAACCGATCCGGCCGGGGCAGCCAGAAGCGAAGCTTGACCGTGTCGTTGCGGCCATCATGCGAATAGGCCAGGGTCACGTTGCAGTAGTCGATGCTCTGGGTTGGAAAAATCGCGGAACCGCTCGTCGTCGAGTTGTAGACCGGATTGGCTTCGACGAAAGAACGGTCGAGGGTGATGCCTGGGTACACGGAATCGGACGGTAACTTGGATTTCACGTAGGATGGAGTGCACACATCCTCGAGAGTAGTCGCGTGCACGACGACCACGGCTGAAAGCGTAGCAGCAAGTAAGAAGCGCATCGTGGCTCAATGATTGCAGTGGTGCAGTGGTGCAGTGGTCTCCGGATCCAAGCATCAGTGCCCTGTGAAGTGTCCTATGGAATAGAGGGGATAGCCCGCCCCTTTTAAGTCATTGAGATGAGAGCTATGACCGGATTCTGCAGGTATCATCGTCTATAATTTAGAGGATCTACAGTGCAGACCGGAGAGCTCCAGTGGATCGTGCTACGTACGCCCGGTTAGGGTTATGAAGATGGAAGACTCAGATTCGGAAATTCTGAACTACGACTAAAGCCGGGATACTGGGCACAAATCACCAATCAGAAGCGGCAGAATCTGCTCATTCTCCCCACAGCTCGCAAAGAGGGCCTTGAACAGGAAAGTCCAAACCCGACCTCCTGTAACATAATTAAACTCAGGGCTAAGAATATCAGACTGATAAGATACGGTAGGCCGAAAGAAGAGGGATAAAAAGGCGGAATACCCCCCCCCCCCCCCCTCATCAACTCTGACTCTAGGAATCAATTTATGTCTTCTATGTTATTAAGTCTGCTATCTAACTTTGATTCCGATCAGCCAAAGGCCTTCTTCTAATGCCCTTGTAACAGTTCTAGTACAAGAGCTTACAGCTTTAGCTAGTAGGCTTATCTAAATTACCTGTTTTATTGTATAGTTCTTAGCAACAAGTCTTTGTACATCATTTTTATCAATACTTAGAACTTTAATAACCAGCTAACCTTTTAGTATTTCGACTTAAATCTAAGATAATAATCGAAAATACAGTACTTTTTACCATTACAGGAATTGTATATAGTATGGATGATTGCGCCTGCGAGGAACAGCCTTGCGAGGAAGCACGCTCTGGTGCTTTGATTGATGTCTTATGAAGGAATACTCCCGTTAAGTGGGCGGTAACCCAGACGCGCAGCCGACTGCAAGGGGGAAGCTTCCGCTCGTCCTTCCTCCGACGTTGCGCTGCGTTCACCTCGAATCATGCCCTAATATTCGAAGTAATATTTACCATGTATACGTATACTCATTCGGCCTCCTTCAGCGGCGTGGCACTCGATCAGCCTCCCTCCTCCAAGCTCGGATGAAGGCCTCTCTCTTCAGACCGACTTCAAAAAGGTTCGTGCGTGACCTGCTCGAATCGAGCGGCGTTTGGAAGTGCACGAAGTGTTCTTGAACCGCAAGACGCGACACAGTGAAGGGCGATGATTCCGTGTCAATCGGGATTTTCAGAGCAATACTGGGCGTTGGGTTGAAGAGGCGTTGGATTGCACGGGTTGCGAAAGTTGCGTAGACAATCATCCACCATGGCATAGCGGGTCACTGTCAATAGATAGATCGTGCTGGGGCGCGGTGCTGCGCATCGGCGTCGATGTCGGGATTGCTCACGGGAAGCTTGCATTTGCCGGGCTTTTGTCATGGTCGGCAGTGAATCCAGGCACCGACTCCGAGATATACTCTGCGAGTGTGCAAAACTTTCTAGCCAAAATTGCCTTACGGTTTGGGCTGATCCCATTGCTCTCGTCTCTAAGCCTAGGCTGCATGATGTGATAGTCTGTTGGACGCATTGATGTATCCATGGCTAATTATCATAGGAACAAATACAGGGAATATCTCGTGTCTTGAAAGTTATCTTGCCATTTGACTTCATTTCGAATCGGTCAAGGGCCTCTTTCCAATGCCCCTTCAACAGTTCTAGTACAAGAGCTTGCAGCTCCAGCTGGTGGGCTCATCCGGGTTACCCGTCCCGTTATACTGGGCCTGGTAGGGGTAGTGACACACGGGCCGCTGGCGCAGAACCTCCGTCGCCGTCGTGTCGTTCTTCCACTTGGTGGCAATGATACTGTCCGGGGCGGTCCCGTTCTCCACCCAGGCCATCATTGCGAGGATGATGTCGTGCTTGGCGTCCCGGTACCCGGGGACACTGTACGTGCCCGTGTTGATCATGGCGGCTTGGTCCGCGCCGGCAATGTACCAGGGGGCGTCCATGATATCCGGGGTCGAGTAGCAGTGCCTTTGCAGGGACAATTAGCCAGTCGTTTCATGGGAGCCGCACTCTAGGAGTTGATCAGGCAGAAAGAAACGGTGGAACAACTTACTCCATGCCAGGGATCAGAAACATGCGGTAGAAATCATCCATCTCCACGCCCTGGGGCTTCAGCGCGCTGGAGGCTTGGTCGTAGTAGTAGATACTGGCATCCGGGGAGACGTACGAGTCCGACAGACCGTGGTAGTGCAGGAATTTACCGCCGCGGTGGTGGAAGGCGCTGATGTCGAATCGGTCGGCTGTCGCGTTGCCCGGGTTCAGCTGGTCGGCGAGCTGCACGGTGCTGTAGTCCAGATCCTGCCACACGAAGTCGGAGAGACCCATCAGGTCGCGTGGGTACCAGTACTGCTGGTCGATGGTGCTGTCTTCGCCCAGCCCGATGTTGCCGGTCAGCCACGAGGACTCGCTGCCCAGCCACATGTGGCCATAGACGTAGGTCTGGTTGACATCGACCCAGTCGTTGTGAATCTTGTACAGGGTAGAGAGCTGCGCCGCAGTCAGGCACTCGTCCGCCGCGCTGGTGGCATTGCACATCAGGACGTTGGGGTTGAAGTTGCAGCCCGCCGGGTCGGAGATGATGTTGTCGACCAGGCCATCCTGGGGGTCACACTGCCTCAACACCTCGGCGGCGATGACATCGAACATCGCCTCCGGGATGGTGTGCGAGGAATTGGCCGGGGCTTGGTAGGTGGTCTGCTTCAGGTTGTACAGCTGCTGGTGCGTCGTCCACCAGGCCGGGGCGCCCGCGAGGATTCCGTCGTAGTCCTCCGGGTACTCCTGCATGTTCTTCATGCTCTGTCGGCCACCGGTCGAGCACCCATAGAAGTAGCTGTACTTGGCGGCCGAGCCATACCAATTCTGAATCACTAGCTTTCCTAAGACGGTCGCCCCGTGCCAGGCTCGGTAGCCCCAATCGACCACCGCCTCAGGTCGGCCAATGGCCCAGGTCCCTTCGGTGTCGATACCGACATGGCCTAGGTTACTCGACAGGGTAGCAAAGCCGTAGTGAGTGCCAGTGCCCATGTCCACCCAATTGATGCCGCCACCCGCAGCAGCCGAGCTGTGCGTAAGTCAGCAGGGAATTGGAAGGTAATCTGGCGATACATACAGCAGACGACCATTCCAGTCATACGGCAAGATCAGGCCGACTAGGTAGCTGGAGTTGCCCTCCGAAGGAACGTTGATCTGCACGCCACATCCCTCCGGTAGGTTGGTGGGATACTCAGCGGAGGAGGTGTAGTTCATCGGGTTGAACGTTCCATTGGCCGGAATGTAGGTTGCCCACTGCACCTTGGCGTGCGTACCGTTGGCATCAATGTACTTTTGAAAAGTGGCCGCCTTGCAGTTGGCCGACTTCGCCGGGGTGGCTGCCGCCGTCGCCGCCGAACCGACCAAGGCCGTCACAACAGCCACATTCGCAAACCACATGTTGGATAATTTGACAGATGACCCGACCAGAAGAGAACAGATGACTGATAATTGAGAGATGTCTGCAACATCAACAAGCTGGCCGTTCCGTATGATGATATATATAGGCCGTGTAGGCCACTGTTGGTGAACCTCATGGTAGCATACAGCAGCATATTCTGCGGTGTAGGGATGTAGAGACTGGTGACGCGGCAGCAGCGGAGACTAAACTCGAAGCTGCATCCTCCGCAACGTCTTAACCACAGTCAACGGGACTGGGGATGATCTCGGAGCGGAACAGGAAATGATCACCAGGAACTTCGCTGCAGATCCCGATCATGACGCTAATCGCGGTCCAGACGGAGGCCTTGCTTTTGCGGGGAGCCATTGAGAGTTCCCAACACGGACCCAGCCCTATTGTAAATGACGCAGGTGGCTTGCGCAATGGGCTACTGTAGGTACTAGGTACTAGGTAACGTCCTATGTGGCCCGTCTTGGGATGAATGTGGGGAAGGAGAGGAGAAGTCCTGAATGATTGGGTGAAAGCGGGCAGACAATTGGAGTCATGGACGGAACTTGTGGTGGAGAAGAGAAGGAAACAAGGTTGAAAGCTTGGCATCGATGCTTGGAAGGCTTGTTTGTCCCGCGGCGATCGGAGTCGAGTCCGCTGCCGGCAGTCTCGGCCGCTCCTGCGATACCGGAGAAGACCTCGTATGATCATCATCATGCTAATGTGAAACCTCAACGGTATCTTATAGATTATACTCCAATTCCATTCCATCCTAGCACTACTGCTAAATCATGCAACGCTGTCAGGGAAGGATTGTGGTTGAAGTTCACAATAAAGTAGGCACAGTATATGTGGGATGAGGACTGTGTAGAAATAACGCGTAGTTGGTTACCCGTCACTGTTCGAGATTTCCTTCAATTTAGCCGACTGCTTTGGTCGATACGGGATCATGCGATTATATGGCAGCAAATATGAACCTAACTGTTGGGATCTAGTGAGAGTTGGAAATACACTGGATACTCTTGAAGCAAATGTTTGAGTGTAATGACCACGTGATGGCATGACAAAGGGTGGCTGCCGTCAAGTCAAGGCGGTCGGCGCTAGGCTAAAGCTTCCGTTGATACAGTACAGTAAATTTCCATCTTATACATGTCCCAATCCTTCTCATGTTCTTATTACCCCTGATCTACATGCAGTGGAACAATAGACAACCATGGACTGGAATACATTGTGCTTCAATGCCGCCACTCTGATCGCAGGCGTGTTTGTCCTCGACTATGGCGCAGACAAGTTCGTCGACCACACCGTCATTGTCGGGCGGCGCCTAGGCGTCTCCCAAACGGTCATTGCGCTCTTGACAGCGGGCGCGGAATGGGAGGAGGTCTGGAACCCAGTGCAAGCATTTAGGTATTTCCAGGCTAATCTCCTATTCAGCTCGCAGTGGTGGTTGCCGCCATTCTGCAACATCAAAGACCCCTGGCCCTTGGGAATGTCACGGGCTCGACAATCTCCAACATTCTTGGGGCCTTCCCTTTAGGGCTACTATTTTACCCACAGGGCGTAGACTTTGACCGCAGCGCAAGGGTATATTCTGCGCTGCTGCTCGTGGTCACGACGCTATTCGTGATCCTGGCTTTCTTCAATCAACTGAACCAGATAGTCGGCGGGGTCTTGATTGCCGTGTTTGGCCTCTACTTCGGCTCGATCTTCTACGCTATTTACAAGGGTGTAGCGTCGCCCCCAGAGCTACCAGACAGTGATGATGACAGTGACTCCGGAGTGTCCAGTGATAACGAGGCCGACGAATCTGCCACCCAGGCGCCCGAGCTCTGCGAGACCTCCCCTCTCATCGCGAACGAGCGTAACCCTTCATCATCTACAGGGGAAAGCAGCGACGGCAGACGAATTAGAAGCCTCCCGTACCACCTACTCCAACTCATCCTCGGCTTCCTCGCACTGTCACTGTCCGGATACATCATCTCCCACAGCGCCGTGACCGTCGCAGACTCCCTGCATCTCTCCGGAACCGTCTTCGGCGTGACGGTCGTCTCCTTTGCCACCACTCTCCCAGAGAAATTTGTTGCCGTCCTCAGTGGTGCCCGAGGCCACGGCGGCGTTCTGGCCGCGACCACGGCCGGAAGCAACATCTTCCTCCTGACGCTCTGTGTTGGGGTCGTTGCACTGGCGGGGGACCAGGCACAGGAGGTGGGGGGTGGATTTGTCGCTTTTGAGCTTCTGGCGGTCTGGGCTTCTTCCTTCGTATTTTTTGCGGTCGTGTTTTTGGGACTGGGGAGAAGCGCGGCGGTTGCGCTCTTGGGTGCTTACCTTGCGTTTTTGTGCTTGGAGCTCACCGTTTACCGGCGGTGAATAGCTTAGCATAGAATGTGCCATAGAAGAGAGTCGTGATGGGGACGGACAGCGGAAACTTAAGTCCAACTGCTATGTCTCCCTCACAGTGCGAGATCTGTTTATGGTTTACTAATAATCAGACCCACCGTCTTCTTGATTTCCCTCTTCAACCAGCTTCATCGGTTCGACTTCATGGAGGATAGCTGATTGAAGATCTATGCGTAGTCAATCTCCTCTCGACTTCGCCTGCTAAGTATAGCCTCTAAGCAACCTTCCCCCTGCCGCCCGTGGAGCTGACCGCCGCAAAAGCTACTATGCTCAAGCAGATCTGGACATCTCCCTAAGCCTTGGCGCTTCCGCCGCTATGGTAGCTAGGTATCGATCTACTATCTACTTTCCCGGCTATCAGATTTGGTCCAATGATGGCAAACCGCGTTAGAGACTCTAGGTTTACTGATCAACTGATCGGATGGTTACTAGGTCAAGATTTCAAGCTGCAACAGTGCCACGCCGCCCACGTAACCCGGCTCTGGGCTGTAGACGGTAACAGACGCATGGTCTTAACATTGGCAATTACGAACATGGATTCATGCGATGGCCCGTGCACCAACACCTTTCCCTGTATATAGCGCTCGCACGCATCTCCGCTCCTCACCCCGAGGACATCGATGGTTTCGAGGTCCGGACAGGGTGCGTGAAATCGACCGCCGCATACTCCGCCCCGACAAAGTCCGGCACCCTCGCCGGCTCTTCAAATCTTGCGACCTCCGCCTCGCGATGGACATGCCGGCCCGTGAGGGTGATGAGCCGACCCAAGACGGCGAACTCCAGCTTCAGCTTGATACTGTAAACCAGCGACTTCAACGCGACCTGCAGATAGTAGAGCCCGACATATTCCAGCACGAGCAGGCCGACGTCGAGCGCGATGATGACGAAGTTGATGGCCACGAGTTGGTAGATCACATTCCCGGCGCCGCTGCCGCTGCCGCCAGCCCCGTCGGATTGCCCGGACTCGCGCCGTCGACGCAGCAGGGCGGGATCGCCCGCCCACAGCACCTGGACCGCCTCCCGGATATACAGGGCGGAGAGCAGGAGCTCCAGCAGACAGAACCCGGTCACCTGGGCGCGCTCGATGACCTGGTACGCGGCGTTCCAGGGGGGAGTGCCCACGAAGGCGGACCCGTAGGTGGTGACGGTGGTCGGGGGCAGCAGGATGGCGGTGGTGAGCAGGATCAGGGAGAGGATCTGGCGCAGACGGCGCGGGTGGCGGAGCAGCAGGTGCAGGCGGGAGTACAGGACCAGCGACTGCACGGGCACCATGGCGTAGAAGCCGAGGTTGGAGATGAGCAGGGCGAGCAGGAGGGGGCCGAGCGAGTAGAAGTGCAGCACGGGGCCGACGACGCTGGGGATGACGCCCAGCACGGTGGAGACCAGCAGCGACCAGAAGTAGAGGCCGCGGTACTTCTTGAAGGTGAGGAAGATCAGGACAACGAGCTCCACGGAGTTGTAGAACGCAATGGCCAGGATCACGGCCACGATGATCTGCGCCGCCAGCGAGCTGTCGTCGATGCCGGTGACCAGCCCGGCGGGGATGTCATACAGGTTCGTCATGAGGCCGCGCGGGGTTGCGGTGCGCCGCTATCTTCATCGTGGGGGATTTGGTGCTGACTCTTGCTTTGCGTGATTGATTAGGATGTCTATGCACATCGCTTTGGGGCTCTCTGTATCGTCTCTTGTTCTCACCGCGGGCTTTTTCCGCCCGCTCTGGATGCTTTGCAGATACCAAGCGATGAGCGAATAGCGGAGCGTCATCTTTTTGTAAGGCGAGGACCAGTCCATGCCTCGGCCGGGACCCTTCCTTTCTTTTTGCCATCGAGGGAGATCAGCTGATGGGGGAGGGAGAGTGATCAGTGGCACTGGGTCGAGTTGGTAGGCTGACTCCTAACAAGGGCCGAATCAGCATGCGCAATGCGAGTCTACCACCGAAAACAGAGTTGTCGGATCCGTGGTTCTCGCAACCGTAAGTAGAAATACAGTTTCAACCCCCGGATTTCCGGTTGGAGTTGCATCGCCTCTCTAAATCATGGTTAGCAGTGTCTGTCAATGGAGATTACTTCCAGAGAGATGGCGTGCAAGTAGGTGGTCACTCAGCTGTTTTCGTTCGCTGGTTCTGTATCAGACAAGGGATGGACTTGATACGTAAACTGGATGTGGAGGTATTATGTGATTATTAGGCTTAGCCAGTTCATGAATCAATCATCGTGGGGATTCCAAGTTCAACTCAGTCGATTTTCACAATTTGTCCCTTTCAATGCCATGATATATAGTTACGTGCATTCACCGGAAGCCCACACCACGGGCCGAGAAGGGCAATTTTCCGAAACGGGCAAGCAAGCGGCAAGCCAAGCCCCAAAGGTGGACAAATGCCGGGACCGGCAATTGCTTCCCTTCTGGGCCAGTTGGCTGGAGTCCCTTCTCCAAAATCATTCATTTTAATCTTCTTCCATTCACTTCTTTCTGTACCTTCAAGTTACTCACAGCGCTTCCCTTCGTGATGGCAATCAACACAAGTCCCTGCAACCCCGCCGCCCCCGCTCCTCCTCCGGTGGCCCCCCCGCCCGGTCATCTCCATCACGTGCAGCTTGAGCATACGCTACTAAGTTACTGTATGCTATGTCATGATAAGATAAGATAAGTTCACGATCCTCAGATTGAGTAAATAGTACGTAGTACTCGGCGGGACCTTGGTAGGTAGTAAGTGTGCTCACAACTAAGGGAGAACGCCACTGATCACCCAGGGTTGACAACCATATTGGAATTAACAGTGGGATGAATCAAGAATTACCAACTAGGCTATACGCATCTCACCGTGCTACTAACACTCTATATCAACGGGGCGTTATGGGGGAGCCCTATCGTATGCAGGATACGACGGATGAACAGGTTAGATCAAGCTGCTTTTCTCCGCTGGGAGCCAATGTCTCTTCCAGGAGGTGGGACGGAAGAACTCCGAGACTGGAATGCTGGATTCTTCTGGCTGATGTGATGGTACATAGTAGCGACCAATTCGGTATATAGGGGGAATATGCAGTGCCTTGCCGAGTCCGCTGCACGTGGTGGGGCAGGGCTTCTATGGGATCGTGACCGTGCAGAGGGTATACTATCTCTCTACCTAGTACTCATGCAGGCACCCCGTTGGTGACAGCGCCCCAACCCTTCATCGTCCAGTTCCCGAAGCAGGCATACGGATACTGCGCCTTCGCCAGACTTTGCTCCTGAATCCTCAAGAAGGTCGACAGCTCACACCATCCGTCCTCGCGGTACTCGCACTCGGCAAAGCTGGCGTGGAGCGGGATGGTGCGCTGGTTCTGGATGAAATGCACATACTGCGTCGGGCCACTGTCAGTCACGTAGTCACCGCCGGTTGTGCTGGTGGCCCGGGACGATGACCGCCTGGTCGAGACCTTGTGCGGCGCGCTGATGATCTCGATATTCAGACGGCCCGCGAAGGGCACGAGGCGACTGGAGTGGAACTGCTGGCCCTTCGTGGGTCCGGTGAGGGGCAGGGGGTCGGCGAACTGCGTGAGCCCGAACGCCGTCAACACGGAGACAATGTTGGCATCGTGGGTGAACTCGAAGTACAGCTTCTGGTCGAGCGGGAAGGTGACGGGGTTGGTGTCGAGCGTCACGTTCGCCCCGGTGGTGTTGGCGGGCACGTCAAGCAGGTGGCCCTCCACACGCGCCAGGAACTCCTCGACGAAGGCGATGCCCTGCGCGCGGCCGGTGGGGCTGTGGAAGCCGGAGAGCCCCGCGAACTCGAGATCCATGAGATAGGCGTAGTGTTCCCAGTCGTCGTACGTGAACAGCTGGCAGAAGTCGCTGTAGCCGAGGCTGATGGTCTCGTAGGGGCAGAGCGCCTGCGCGTGGTACGTGTCGGTCACCGTCCAGTTGTAGCCCCCCGCCAGCCGCCGCAGCTCGGCGGTGCGCGCCTCGAGATAGGTCGCCATCCAGGTGCCCACGGGGATCTGGATGGATTCCATCATGGTCGCCGACGCCTTGGTGCAGGCGGATTCGCCCGTGGTCGCCGGGTCGATGGTGGCCAGGATGTTGGCGTGGTCGCGCCAGTGCAGCCCGAAGAAGCCCGCCAGGAAGTTCTCGCAGCTCTCGAGCATCCGCGCTTGCAGGGTCGTGCGCACCACGAGCTTCGCGGTGCCGTTGCGGCGGTCGGACAGATGGCCGTAGTTGTAGAAGTTCAGGACCCCCGCGTCGAATAATTCCTGGCGGCCTTGCGGGACCAGGATCTCCTTGCCCAGGCGGTAGGACCACTGGTTCAGAAACCCCAGCTTGCCGGAGAAAACGTGTCCTTGTGCGGTGGCGTTGGCGATGGCTTCACCCCACGTGTCCAGGCCCTCCGAGGATGAGGGATATCGCGCCCCGTGGCGTTGGAGCATGTGCATCTGGGTGATGTTAGCACCCTTGGGCAAGGGATATTCGTTCACCCCGAAGCCCTCGGCCGGCGAAAAGTAAGGACTGTGGAGGAGAGGTCAGTTTTCATCAGGATGTATCAGTTACCCAGGGGTAAAATCTTACCTCAGGTCGCCCATCAGGTGGAAGACGTTCCTCCCCTTCGCACCCTGAACGGGCTCCGAGGTCTCGAGTGGAGCATTGGGAACATAGGTAGCATCCCCGAAAGGTGCGGGATTGATTTCAGCGAGGAAAGGTGCAGCCCCGGTCGCAACAGTGCCTAGTTAATGTCACGTTCAGGGACTTTGGCTCGTTGAGCGGAAGGACGTCCGAAGGCACTCACCAGCATACAGATCAGGCGAGGTCTGGAACCAATTGGGCTGGGTGGGCGTCGCTCGCGGGTGGATTGCGCTCCCCTCAACCGCCGTGGCCATGGCCACGGAGAGAAGGAAGGACTTGAGCTTATACGCCATCACCAGTTCTCGAGCTTGTTGGATAGCCCATCTCACTGAGCCTTGACCGCTGAGTGTTTTATATCCCGATGTTGGGGTCGAATGTCGTACATTGTACGAATCCGATTGGATTGCCTACATCTCGGCTATTTCGCTGGAAAACCTGGAGAACAGGAACGAAGACAGGAACTACGCTGCAATCAACATCCTCAAGCCCACCACGTGGGACAAAGGCACCCTGAACAGAGAGGGCGTTTCAGCCACCGCATAGACCCTGTTTCTGTAAGCGAGGCTCTACGACTCAGCACCAAGGCTTAATATCGTCAGATCTTGTCGGACTTCGCAAGCCATTGGCTCCAAGTACCCAAGGCCGAGAGTCTGGTGTATCGTCTAATCATTAACCGACGTTATCTGATCGATTAGCGAGCCCACGTGCAGGCTGGAAATCTGGGCGATGCGCCTGGTGCCGATGTCATGGCATCAAACTCAACCAATAAAACTTGATGAAGGGAGACCGTGTGTCGATAGCGCTGGAATGCCAAGAACTGGGGAGATTACCTACCTGGATCCCCAGCCCTTCTTGTCGAGTCTTCCGCGTCTTCCGGAAGCATACCACCCACACACAGCTTTCTCTTCCTAGCGCAACGGTGCTATAATGAGCGGGATGAATCTGGTGCTTGTCCAAGTTGCTGTATGCCCCTCTCACACCAAAAATATCCCATGCTCTAGATGTCTCATCATTCAAAGAGCGAGAACAGCTAGACCCTAATCCTCAGGCTTACCAGATTCGTGGCACCAGTCTGGAACTACCTGTAAAGGAGTATAAAGTCTTACCTCCTCTGTAAGAATGATGCGGGATAGGGCAATACGGATAGATATCAAATCGCGGCATGTGGGAACCAGCTGATCTTTGTAAAGATCACTTCCCGTTGTCGTCTAAAAAAAAAAAGGGGGGGGGGAAAGGAAAAAACCATACAGAAGTGCTGGACATAAAATAGAGAAAGGAGATACTTGATACAGTGGATGGATGAGGATGGGTATTGTTGCTCAACCTTCCAACCGAAAAAAAACACTTGAGAAGGTCACACTAGCCCTAGTCCTTTCTTATATAGTAAAGAGACAGACACTGCTATTTTGAATTTTTGGTTTCATTTCAGCAATATATAGATCAGATGGTATCAAAGTAGTATATCCTTTAGACTCACATGGACACATAGACACATCAACACATGAACGGAAGAAGACGCCGTCACTTCCCTCGATTCTCAGATGCAACCGAACCCTCCCAACGCGGGCTCTCGCTCTCTCTCTCAATATACCCTCCGCCGCAGCCGCGCAGGCACCTTACCCTTGGGCCCGGACATGCCGAAGCCAAAGTTGCGCATGCTCATCTCCAGATCCTTGGGATCGGCCAGGATCTCGCAGTCGTACATGGTGGTCAAGAGCGCGGTGGAGAAGATGATCATCATCTTGGCGAAATGCCGGCCGGGGCAGGCATGGTAGCCGCCGCCGTAGGGGATCCAGGCGCCCTGGGCCCGCTCCGTGGTGAACTCCCAGCCACCACCACCACCACCAGCGGGCTTCAGGAACCGGCCCGGCCAGAACTCGTCGACGGGCCGCTCGGCCGCCCAGATGGTGGGGTCCATGTGCGCGTGCATCGGGCTCGTGAGGATGAGGTGGTTGTTGGGGATGCGCCACCCGTCGATGTGGATGTCGCCGTGGGAGTGGTGCCGCACGAAGTACCCGCTGATGCGCAGCCGCAGCGTCTCCGCGTAGATGGCCTGCAGCACCGGCTGCTGCAGCAGTTTCTCCATGTCAAACTGCGGCGGCTGGTTGGGGCCGCTGGCGGCCGGGTCGTCGATCCGGCAGGCTGCGGCCTCCTGTCGCACCTGCGCGAGCAGGTGGCTGTCGCTGAAGGTCTCAACCGCCGTCCAGAACGAGGTGATGATGCTGTTGTTGGTTGTTCTATTGCATGCGAACTTTCGAGTTAGTCGTTGAAACATATTCCACAGAAAGGGGAAACCCAAAGAAGAGAGAGAGAGAGAGAGAGAAACAAGAAAAATCAAAAGGAAAGAAAAACTTACCCCCAGATAAAGGCCAGATCATGGGTTGCAATGGCATCCAGGTCGAACCCGTCGATGGTGTCGAAGATGGTCTTGCGCTCGCGAAAGAACTTGGACCCCCAGACCGGATCGTCCCCATCTGCGTCCACCATCGCCGGATCGAAGTTCTGGAGCGCCCACACGTGCCAGTCCTTCAGCGCCCGCAGAGCGCCATCGCGCGCCCGGTAGGCCCGCGGAGCCAGAAATCTCGGGAGACCTGCGATCATCGACCAGATGTTGTTCTCAAAGGCCCATCGGTTCGTCAGAAAGTCCGGGTGCGCCCGCAGCAGATAGTCCCCGCAGAGGGAATTGAGGAACGGCGCCGCCAGCTCCTGCTCGAAGAAGGTGACGAGGTTATCCCACGGGACCCAGTCGCCGCCGATGGGGAGGGTGTAGAAGCGCTGCGCGATCGCGCGCTGGAATCGCCGGGTGAGAGGCAGCAGGCCCGGCCCGAGCAGGAAGCGATGTAAGCTGCGCTCCAGCTGGTATTCCAGTCGGTTGCGCGGCTCGACCTGGCTCTCCGGATAGGGCTTGGGGTAGGCCCCCGAGTCATCTTTCGTGTAGGTTCTCACCGCAGCAGCGGGCAGCCCAAAGGCGCGGTCGAGCAGGAACCCATGGAGATTGAAGGACGAGAGATCGCGCTGGCGGAAGAAGGCATGTAGGTTCTTCGTCCCTTGGAAGATGTAGACGTCATTGGCCAGGAACCGCGCCCTCACCGGGGTTGCATTCCCGAATAGGTTCCTGCACGTTCCGTGTCAGTCGGGACGGGGCGAGAGATAGCATGGATAGGAGTAGCACCTTGCTGAGAGAGCCCATCCCCGCGGATCCACGATCATTCGGAAAGAGAAGTGGCCCCAGATGGGAAGAACGCTGGGCACCAGCGGTGGTGTCTTGAACCCGGACTTATTGGCGGTTCCTCTATGAAACAGAACGGCACCCACTGCATAGTTCCCAAGGCAGAACAGAAGCGAGCCGGCAATAAGAAACAGGAACCAATCTCCTAGTTCCGGTGCAAGCAATGGGTGTGCATTAGGATAAACCCTCATGGTGAGCATCGGGTGGACAGAATTGATCCCTTGTACAGGACTGGATCCTTGCGTACCTCCTACTCATCTGGCGGACTGGCCTTCAAATACTTCCATTCCTCGCCAAAAGTACTTGTTTGTGCCTGTAACCGAGCTCGAACTTACAACCGAGGAGGAAGAAACCGCCCCCAACGGCGGCAGTGCACGGCTGATGCCATTAGGAACTAGCACAGATAGAGGGTCAACGTCCGGGCGGGGGGAGGGAGTGCCATCCTTGGAAGACGATGCAGATATCATGGATATGACACCGGAGGTATATGGTGGCTCGCTCACTTGCATGAGGGAGACCACTGCAGTCGTCGCACGGACCAACCTATGAGGAGATAGTTGATCCCTGTCGGGCTGTCAGCCTTGGGTGGATAAGGGGGAAGGATGAATTCAGTGGGAAAATCCTGTCGCTAGATAAGTAGCTAAGTGTGCCTTCGGCTGCTCCGTTTTGATCCTGCGCTGCGTCGCTGGACTTCCCCAAACCACCACCGATAACCATGGGATCCGGTCGCGCCTTCATGTTAAGCTATACTCTCGGTCTGCTCGGATTTGCCGTCGCCGCAGCGGTTCCTCCCAATCTGTCCCGTCAAGTGATAGTCTTTCTTCTGCTCTTCTCGGCCCCCTTTCTCGCCAGCTCCGCACTTGCATCCTGTATCGGTGCTGCCTTGATGCGCCTCGATTGATCATGGGCTGCGGTTGGGTGGTGGCCGTCAAGGAGAGAGAGGGTTGAGTTGGCTGGTGTGGTGTGGGTGGATAAGCGGATGAGGGGACGGAGGAAATGGAGGAGACGAGAGCTGCACCCGTGGGTTGACCCCTCATGCTTACCCGCGAGGCTTGACAAGCACTTTTGGACTAAGGGGTGAGATGGGATATCTAGGATAATTGACTGGCTGGATCACGGTTGATCCCTGGGGGGCTGGAAGTGGAAAGGACCCACGAGTGGACAAGTGGACGACAAGTGGACGACAATTAGGGTACTACGGGAGGCCGTGCCTACCCAACTTGCCGTCCACTGCCTGCAAAGGTGGGCTGACTGTGACGGGGACTGCAGGCCGTGCATTAATACTACTCCGTACTTAGGTAGTAGTTGCAGGTACAGGTTAGCTGGTGCGGGTACCGTGGTGGGACCTATAGCTACGAACCTATGAAGGAAACGGGATGGGGGAAAAGGTAACCGCAGTGACCACTGAGCAGCCCTGAGATGACTGAACGAGTTTTTTTTTTTCTTTCTTTTTTTTTTTTGTTTTTTTATAAAAAAAACTTCAATTTTCATTCGTTCTTATTTCTCTGACCAATGATAATGCAACTACATACCACCCACCGCGCATGGACTCAGTCCAGTTGGCCAAGTTCCCACGGGAACTAACCTAATCGCCCCCAACCAGATTCGTCACGGGAGGCTCTGTAAGTGGTACTACCTGTGTACTACCTATGTACAGTACATATAACACTAACTACTATACATAGTGCATGCAATACATGCAATACATATTGTGTTGTGTGTATGTACACTGTGTCCCGTCACCGTCGGCGTACCCGGCTGTTGTCCCCGCCATCCCGGCATTTCACGGGCGGGGTGGGGTCATCTTCAGAAGAAGACGACAGAAAAAAAAAAAAAAAAAAAAAGAAAAAGATAAGAAATGGTTAAGACGTTACTAATCCCAAATTAATCTACAATGTCCCACATAAGCCAGCCACAGTTTTGACGTGAACAATCAAGAACGTTCGGCGATAAGGGCCAGGGCTCAAGTCTTCAACCGCCTACCCCGCTCGGCAGATGGACGCCTGGGTGGTCATGCTTTTACCTCTTATTCATCACGGGTGCGGTCACTCCCCCCGGGCTGGATGCGTGGCGTCGACATTATTACCCGATAACGCTTCCATGTCGGATTCGGGCATCTCGAGCCATGACTCGGTGAGGGTCAGAGGATCGCGCTTCCGCGGGGATTGGAACGACTGCTGCAGGAACTTTTTGACCGAGTAGTGGGCCGGGGCATAGGACTTTTGGTGGGCCACGAAGAGCGAGCGGAACGAGACGGCCGCCGCCAGGAAGACCCCGACCTCCGCGCTCAAGAATTGCCAATAGGTTTCCCAGATGGTGTCGACCATCTCGCCGGCCACGAGCCCACAGACCCGCACAATCGAGAGGGCGATCATGATGACCGTCAGGCAGAGGGAGCAGGTCAGGAGGACCTTTTGCGGCCATCGCACCCGGACCTTCCAGATGACGTGGATCGGGATCACAAGGACTGGTCCGTTGTCAGGATCGTGACGTGGATAGTGAGATACACGATCAAGAAAGGAAAGAAACTCACTCAAAAGGTCGCCCACCGTGTCGAGGACTGCCAGTGCGATGGACTCGTTCACGATCACCTGCTTGTTGCTCCCGGTCGCGCACGCATCTGGTTCTTGTTAGCAGGCCACAACTCGGACCGGTTCCCCGGACAAGGCCCACTCACTCTCGCGGGGATCGAAGAAGTAGGGACAGCTGACGAAGAAGATCAAGGATCCGTAGATCAGCACACAGATCGTGTAGATGAAGATGGCCCACCAGTACAGCTGCCAGGCCTTCATCCGCTCGATCAGCTTCCGGAAGAAGAAGAGGAAGCTCAGTTTGACGGCACTGAAAGCACACCAGGAGATCAAGAGACAGACGTCGCTCCAGAGATGGAACAAGTACGAGACTTGGATGATATCCGCGGGGATGGCGACATCGGCCATGCCTTGACTGATGGCAAAGACCAGATACATCCGATCCACCACCTCCGTATACATGATGATGATACTCGCCAGGAGGAAGCCGAGGGCAACGACCAGGAGATAGTCGTCCGTTGAGGGTCTCTGCCTCTGAATGCGCAGGCGGATGAACAGGCGCGCAAATACGCCCAAGATAGCCGGGACTAGTAGCACGGAAATCGAGATCTTTGCCCTCCAGTCAGTTTGATATGGTCCCTCTTCAGAAGGGGAGCTCAACTCACAATGAAACTCTGCTTGGGAATCCGCCCAGCAGAGTCTTGAGGCGCCATGGTGGACGACAAAGAGCAGGTTAGGCTTGAGTACTCTTGCTGAGATTTCTGGGATTCCTGAGGTTGTTGAGGGGGGTGAGGGGGTTGAGGGGGTTCAGCGGATCTGACATGCAGCCTGTCAGCGGGGTCCACGGTTTGCAGCAAGGCGTGCTTGTAGTACTTATGTGTGGTTCATTGGGGCTGGATGGGGTCATCCGAGACGGTGGCAGGTGTGCCTTATGCCAAGTGAAGAACTGTGTGCTGTAGAGTACTGTACCTGATATAGGTACATGCTGATGTCTGGCTGAAGAAGTGGTGAATAGCATGGGATCATGCATACTAGGTCCTGTAGTTAGTAGGTAACAATTACACAGCCTCAAGCGGGAGAAACAAGAATTGTGCAGAAAACGGGAAGCCAGTTGACTGCAATGCAACCCCTCTTTTCAGGCTTACTCCGGTCGACTAAGTTAGGGCTGCTTGGGGGCCAAATGGCAAAAAGACAAGACTGGGGCCACTGGGCAGTGGGCAGTGGGCAGTGGGCAGCCTCCATCCCGTCCCCACTTAGTGCATTTAGAGCACTTAGCGTGCTTAGCGTGCTTATCGTGCTTAGCGTATCGAATGACTTTTAAGTCGCTGTGAATGGGTGAACACTGAACACTGAAAAGACAAGAACCGAGTGGGGGCTAAGCCGGGGCCCAGCCGGGGCCCAGCTGGGGCCCAGTGCAGCAGCTGCTGACATCTCGGTTGCTTCGGTTCACTCAATTTGTCCTTCCTCCTTCCTCCTTCCTCCCGCATCCTGGTCCCACTAGTCTAAGCCAGGGGTTGCGCTTTTCTTGGTCTTTGTCTTTGTCTTTGTTTGTGCTGTGCAAACCGAAACACAGCAACACAGCAACACAGCAACACAGGAACACAGAAAAACACGCCCTTCTTGTGCGTGCTTTTTCCCGCGCCCGCCGCCGCCCGCTGCTTCTCCGCTTTCCTTTCCAAATTGCCTCCTACTCCTCCTCCCCTTTCTTCTCTACTTACCTTACTTGCCCTACTTACCTTACACCCACCTCACATATTGACTTAGTAGTCACTCGCTTGTTTGCTTGCTTGCTTGCTTGCTTGCTCGCTTGCTCGCTCACTCACTCACTTACTCATTTAGTTGCTGCTACATCTTCCTTCCTTGCCAACTCATCGTTCCCCCTTTCATTCATCTCTGGACCTCGACCATCACCACAACCATGACTGCCCACACCGGGGAATGGGCTCCATTGGCGAGCCGCCTGTTGGTGACAGTAGCAACTATCTGCATCACCTCCTTTGTTTATGAACTCGTCAAGATGCGATTGATGTTTCACCGCCTGAGAAAGCAAGGACTGGTATGTACGCCTATCCCTCCCCCCACCCCCCCAACCCCATGGAAACCAACGGTCGCGATATTGATGCACTCTGCCAGCCCATGCCGTCATGGAACCCTATCCTGGGAAATCTGCCGGTGATGGCTGGGCTACACAAAAAAGGGCCGGCGGATGCCCGTGAAGCCGAGCTTTTTGCCCTACTATCCGCCGAGGTACCCGACGGTGAAGCCGGGTTTTATGTGGACGTGTGGCCTTTCAGCTCCCCGATGCTGGTGGTGACATCTCCAGTTCTGGCTGTTGAGGCCGCCCAAACTTATGACCTCCCTAAACCCGACGTCCTCCAGTCTTTTATCAATCCGATGGCGGGTGGCTCAGACAACCTGTTTGTCACCAATGGCGCCCACTGGAAAAAGTCGCGGGACATGTTTAACCATGGATTTAGCATGGCGACGGCCATGAACCACCTGCCCTGCATCCTCGAGGAGGCCGAGGTCTTCATCCAGATGCTCACACAGCATGCGCACAAGGGAGACACTTTTTCCCTCGACCAGCTGACCTGTCGCTATACCATGGATATCATTGGAAACGTGGCCCTGTGAGCATCCTCCTCCTTCCAGGGCTCGGATCCGGGTCAGACGGGCGTATGCACTAATCTGGGACAATCTAGGAACACGCGCTTCCACTTCCAAGAGCAACACAACCCCATTGCGGCGGCCATGCGAGACACGATTGAATTTGAATGTGGAATCGAGGCCGGCGGCATGCTCGCTCGATGGAATCCCCGTCGATTCTACCGGCAGTGGCAGAACGGACGCACGCTCGACCACCTCATTGGGCTCGAGCTCGACCAGCGGTACCAGGAGTGGTGTCAAACCACCGCCAAACCCTCGGGCAACGCGCGCTCGCAATCGATCATGGACCTAGTGATTGCGGATTATATGAAGACGCGTTCGCCGGAGCAGGCGCTCGATCCAGATTTCAAGCGCTGGGCGACTATCCAGATCCGCCTGTTCCTGTTCGTCGGGCATGATTCGGAAGCGACCACAATCATCTACGCGCTGTACCTTCTTTCGAAAAACCCGAAGGCTCTCGAAGAAGTCCGCGCGGAGCACGACCGGGTCTTCGGCCCCTCGAGCGCAAATGCCGTGCTTCAGACCCACCCCGAGAAGATCAACCAGCTGGCTTACACGCATGCCGTCATCAAGGAGACGCTGCGTCTGTTCCCCCCGGCGAACGGGCTGCGGGGTGGGCGCCCGGGCGTGTCACTCCGCGACGACAAGGGTCGATCGTTCCCCACTGAGGGCTGTGCGATCTGGATCGTGCACCCAGCCGTCCACCGCAATCCGTCCGCGTGGCCGCAGCCGCACGCCTTCCTCCCCGAGCGCTGGCTCGTCGCCCCCGATCACCCCCTGTACCCACCCACCGGTGGCTGGCGCCCATTTGAGCACGGGCCCCGCAACTGCATCGGCCAGAACATCTCGCTGCTGGGTGTCAAGGCTACCCTCGCCATGATTGTGCGCCAGTTCGACTTCCACGATGCATATGCGGAATATGATAACCTGAATCCGTCCAACGGCGGGATTCGGACCGTGTTCGAAGAGCGGGCCTACATGATTCAGAAGGGCGCCGGCCATCCCGCTCAGGGCTTCCCGTGCAAAGTCACTCTGCGGAAGAGTCCTTAAAGAATCAGTTGATTATGCTAAATCATGAGTACCGGAGGAAGCCTATTCTCAAGTGAGAATGAGAGGGTGCTAGGTCAGGCATTGGAAAGTGATCGCTAACTGATGTGGGGACTTTTGCTGGTCATGTATAATAGATATCAAAACTAGATTTCGCCTTGCTTGGCTCTAATATCAAGTTAAATTGAGTGACTCGAGAATGTAAACAATATATTCTCGTTCATTAGACTCTGATACGAATAAATATCGACAGTCGGGACTACATATGGCTTATCTTTCGATGAGAATATAGTCCTAGAAAAGTTGCCGTCATTCTTGCTGATGGCTAGCGCGATTCTCTGTGGCTAGGTACAAGCACGTGATCTAGCTATACCGGGGAACGCTATGTAGACAACGGATGACACGCAACTCATAGCCCTTTACCCTGAGGCCACGGTAGAGGCACAAACTCCCCCGAGGTATCTGGGGCGAATTGGCACAAAACCAATCACATGATACGTAGTCAGGCGAGCCGAGCAGTAAGGTACTGTACAGTACATCATAAATACTACTTGGGCTGGTAAGAAGGCTCTCATGTATGATGCATAAACATCGACACGAGCTAGACAATAGCAGCTAAGTAAATTCCGTCAAGAGCAAAGAATCAGAATTCGCTGGTGACAGCCGGCCCTACCGTGTCCGATCAGCATTCAGATCCTGCTGAGGCCTTCCAGACAAATGAACAAGGGAATCAGGCCCGGTCAATGGGCTCAAAATCTCGGCTAGTGGTAGAGCCAGCTCATCTCAGTTCGTGTGCCTTTGTATAGGGGCCTTGGACAAAGCACCGCCATTAAGTCTAGCCAGGCCAAAAGAAAGAGTCGAAACAAGAAAAACGTCATTCTCCCGGATGTGTTCGAGCTCATCTCCCTCGAAGCTCGCTGTTACTGGGTCTCGGGAGGATGAGCGAGGAATATGAATACGGAGGTCATGTCCGGGCCTATTCAGACACCATGCCCAAACCACCCACACGATTCGATCCTAAATACCGTTTGCTTCGACACAATGCCTGAGTTTAGTCCATGGGAAATCGTCAACCCGACGGTGTATTTCATGGGAGAATATACCTTGGTCCCGTTTTCCGACGACCCCTGCCGCCGACGACCTCCAAGGCTAAGCCGTTCAAATACACCGGCCAACCAGCGGACATAGCCTTGATTGAACAGATCGCCAAGCTCCTGGGGCAGAACAAGATTCCCTGCCATGTGATCAATGACGGTATGTGGCGGCACTTTGGCTGCCAGAATCCTATCAACTCCCTCGACCTCGTCATCCCGCGGTCCCTGCAGGAGCAGGCGGTCCAGGTCTTGCGCAAGGCCAACTTCGACGATGGCTGCCGCCTTATTGAGAAGATCTGTCTTTGGAAGGACCAGGAATACAACTACGAAGCAGCCCCGTGTAACTTCATCTACAATCTGCGGGCGAACTTCCATCGGACGTGGTGGGTGCCCGCTCATTCTTCCACCTCCAGCCGGCAGCCCCGGGGGAAGAGCTCCATGTGGATCTCAACCTGTTCAGCCACGAGGACTGGTTCCCGACCGTGGAGCTTCCGGCCTGTGGTCCGCTGGCCGAAGATGATGAGACCTACCTGGTCTCGACCGATACGCGTCTCGCCTCGTGCGAGCAGGCCACCTACGAGGTCAAGATGTTCCAGCCGGCGCGGATGGTGGAAGGCCTAATCCGCCTCGCCTTCCGCGACTATTACCTGTACGGGCCCCAGCATCTGGATTACATCTCATTGTCCGACAGCTGCATGTGGGTGGAGCAACTCTCCAATATTTTCTCCTCGTTGATCCCGGAGAAAGAAGAGGACGGTACTGCTACTGCTGCTGCTGCTGCTGCTGAGGAGCCCCGCAGCGGGGCCCCGCCTCCCTGGGCCCGTGCTCGCGTGAACAAAGCCTTCACCAAGGCGCCTGAGCTCACCCTGAGGGGTCTTGATCCTCGATGGCTTCGCCTCGAAAATTTCCATGGACCGTGGTTCTACTACTTACAGATGACCAATATGATAAAGGATGGCGGGGTATACCCGACTCCACAAAGGATACTGGACCTCCATATCTTCCGAAGAGCCTTCCAGGTGTGTAGTTGCTACCATATATTGGGCACTCTCGCCTGGGTCCTTGAACCTAATGGCGTCTTTCCGGAAGACATCAGTCCCTTCCCGATGAAGAGTATTCTGGCTTGGCAGAGTTTGACTGATCGCTTCCCGCACCTGAAGGAGAAGAGCGACCAAGCCCGGGGACCAGACGAGTGGCTGACTCCCCAGGACTACAAGAATGCCATCCGCTGGCGCAGGCGCGATTACACATGGAATCTGGATGGCAGCCAGCCCAGATACGAACCTCGCCTTGCGGCAGCAGGTAACACCTAGGTACTTTAGCTTAGCTAAAGTTACCATTACCAGCACTACTAGGCACTGCTAGGTAGTTGCTGGGAGATTTTCTTTCCATCCGCTCTCCAGTCTCTACACCTCCTTGTGGAGTCCATGGATATAATATGAAACCAACGATAACTCCAATGGCCTGCAACTAAGATTCTTAAGATACTCCAATTTCAGTAAGAAAGAAAGAAAGATAACGTCAACGACTCCAAGACTCTTCTAGAACGTACGTGATCAAGGGGGTCATTGGGGCCGAGTCTCTGTGGGAATTATCTTGTAGCTCACGGCCACAGCCGCGCGAGCCACGGGAGGCACGAGCAAAGTCCTGCCACATCCCGCGAGTCCTCCGAATTATCCAAGCTAGGGGTCTCATCCAGTCCGGACTCCTGGCCTTGGCTTCCCTGGGATTTTTCTGGACGTCGGACATCCGACGCCTGAAGCTCCGCCGTGATGCGCTCCGCGCTCCAGGTCACCCCGTACCTGCTGACTGCCGTACGTAATTGCTCCGTGATAGCGTCCTCCGGAATTCGCGGCGCCGTCTTGCCAACCTCGGCGATGTTCTTCAGCCCACATTCTCTGTCGAAGTCCTTCCCAAGACCCAGTCGGTCCAGGGGGATCAAGTGTACGGGGATCATGATAGAGCCTGTCACCTTGGGGTCGTAATTCAACTGATTGTCGATCACCTGAAAGTGCCTCGGCCATCTCTCTTTCAGAAAATTCTTGATTGACTCGATCCGGTCCTCATAATCAATCAGAAGGACAATTGTGCCCTGTAATGGAAGGAGGTTAGTCAATGTATCTAGCAGGGGCAGGAGCAAGAGTGAGCGAAAAGGAAGAGGGGGGGGGAACAAGGGGGAAATTCGATCCCTTCAACAAGGCAACTGACAGATAGAGAAAGTCTTCACTCAGTGCGCAATGATGGGGTCCCACTCTTTATACCCTGCAACCCAGTCACCCATCCTCCCACAAGTTCCGTGCTCCAGTAAGCATGAAGCACTGACCTTCGAGTCTTCAAGACACCCAGGCGCCTAATTCAGGAACAAATACTGACAATAGTTGTTCTCATGCACTTGTGACCCTGCACATGTCCTTCGATGGGCGAAACTATTTCTACTGATGGTGAGCATATCTCACTTGGGTAAATCAGGGCCGCCACGCCACCATACGCCGGCAACATTGACTTATGTAACTCGGGGTAATTCTTTTCTTCTATAATCTGACCTGAACCGACAAGGTGAAAGCAATTTTACCGCGAAATCTTTATAACATGATGGCCTGCCCAGACACACACATAGCAGCTCAGTGGCCCGAGGCACCGGAAAGCATAATCCCGTTTACGCTACGTTGCTACTATTCCAGTTGTACCCTTAGCTCTCTCTCTCTGCTAGCCAGTTAGATGTGTTCTGCTCGGTGACCGGCTTTGAATGTTGCCGTGGAGGACTGGCATAATTGTACTTACTTGCTGGCAGGGGCAACCTCGTGTTTCTGTTTGCAGTACGAGCGACTCATTCCCAACTTCAGAGCTCTTTCCATGTCGTGTGCAATGTGATTCCTAGATGATGAGTCCCTCTTCGTCGTGTAGTTCCGCATCTATATATGGCTCTTTGCCTTGTGCTACGCATATTCTTTTTCCGTAGCGTTTCACATACTTGGGGTAACATGTGACTGGGTGTCCTGGTAGAGTATTTGAGCAGTGTCATCATCATCCCATTGCATCACAATGGGTTAAAGCCTTTAGACATAAGATAAGCCAGCTTCTTCCTGATCATTTGTGTATCCTTTCCATGCCCACTGAACTGTTCTCTTGTGTAGCAAAACCTTGCTACCTGTGATTGGTATATGGTTTCGACATAAGCTCGCTCCGATTTCAGTTTTGTCGGCGTATGTGGCCTGATGTCGCCGGGTCACGTGGCGCCGGAGTATAAAAACACTATATAGCCGTAGCTAATTCCTTCTACAGACAATATTATAAGCAATTTAATAAATTTGTATAGCTTTAAGTTTTTAGCCCCAGACATTATACTCCTCTACAGGTTATAAGCTCAGCTTGGGCCTAAAGCCTTAAATTTATTACTTTTTATATCTCTATATACTTTTTTAGTAGAATAGATATTAAAGATATATTACTTTACTAGTTTTTTTCTACTATTTAATATTAATATATTTACTAAAAATATTTTAACTAATCAAATTTTATTAACTTTTATATTCAGCCCTTACTAAGTAATTGCTACAGTCCAGATTAGCAAAAATATATGATTAAATAATACAGTAAATATAAAAATATAATAAAACTGTAAATAGTAGATATTAATAAAATACCAGCTTTACTAGGTGCAGTAAACTATTAGTAATAGTTTAAAGCTGTAAAAATATATCTAAAAAGCTAAAAATTTTAGTATTTTATTTTAAATATTATAATAATTTTTGAGGCTGCCGGCTGAAGCTATTATAAAGAGTAAGAATATAGCTGTTTAAATAGCTAAAAAATATATACTAAAATATTTAAAAAATATAGCTATAAACTATTTAAATAGTATTAATAAAATAAAAGGGCCTACGGTACTATTTATACTATATTAGTTGTTACAGTACAGATCTAATGCACCAATTCTATCTGCTTTATCTACTAATCTGTCCTATTATAATAATCTAACTGTTTTTTTAACTGCCCTATATATAATTTATAATCTTTTTAACTGCTAGTTTATTTCTAATCCTATTTATAGCTCTTTAAGCTATATTTTATTTATAAATTTAAAGATAGTCTAACCCAGTAGCTAATAAAGAATTTAAAAGTTAGTTATAAAAAATTATGCAGTTTAAACTATTATTTTAACTATTTAGCTAGATTAAAAACCAGATACCAGCCTATTTTTTAATACTATATAGCTTTTACCCTTAGAAATAGTAGTTTTAATAAAATATTAGTAATTTTACAGTTTTTAGTGATACTAAACACCTCTAAAAAGTTTACCTAGTATATTAAAAATATTTTAAAAAATAGTATAACTATTGTTATAAGGGCTAAGGGGTGAAATAGTATGATAAATAAATAGCTTTTGCAAAGCCAAAGGTGTTAATATATTATTTTAAAATATTATTACTACTTTATTTAATTTATAAGGCAGCTGCTGTTTTAGGAGCAGCTGTAGCCGGCTTATTTAGCTGTTATATAACTACTACCTTAAATTATTTATATATATTTTTTTTATAAATATTTATAAAAATTAAAAGGGCTGTTTAGATTTTTACAACTGCTTTTTTTTTTTTATAAAAAAGTATTATTTTTTATAGTAGTACTATTAAAATTTCTACTTTATAAATATTTGTATAAAAATTAAAATAGTAGAAAAATAGTTTATTATTTTATATTTTTATAAAAAGATATACTATACTGCTGCTATTACTATTTTTATAAAGTTTTTTTACTAGTATATAGTTTATTATTTACTAGCCGGCCTTTTTATAATAGCTTATAAATAGTTTTTTTTATAATTAAAAAATCTTTTTTTTAGTAAATAGTATTAAATTTTTTTGATTTATTTATTTTAGCTGTTTAAAATATTTTGCAGTTAAAACTAGCAGAGCTAAATTTACAGAAGTAAGATTTTTTTTAATATAAAAAAACTTTTTTTTTAAATTTTAGACTTTTTTTTTTTTTAAATAAGTTTTTTATATAGTATTTTTTTAGGTGCTTCTGTAAGTTAATATTTAGCTAACTAATTTTTTATAATACTATTTAAAATATTTTATTAGTTTTTTTATAAGGGCTTGGCCCTATTTTTTTTTTTATAAAATTTAACTAATTTTTTTTATAGTATACTATTTAAGCTTTGTATCTGTAGGCCATGTTAGCCTATTTTATTTTATTTTTTTTATATAAATTATTTATAAAATAAATTTATACTTAGTTAACTATTTATAGTATATTTTACTATTATTTTTTATTATAAAAGAAAGTATTTTTACTACTGCTACTACTATTAGATCTATTATTATTAATATTATAAATATATTTATTTTTATAACTACTACTACTATATTTATTTTTATTATATTTACTATTATTATATCTACTACTACTGTTGTTTTTTTTTATATACTATTATTTATATATAAAAAAATAAGATTTTCTAATTTATAATAAGAAATATTATAGTAGCCTCTATAGCTTATATTTTTATATTTTTAAAATTATTTTTATTATTTATAGATATATTTAAAATTAACTAAAATTAGCCGGCTTTTTATTAATAAGCTAATAATAAAAATTAAAATATTTTACTTTTTATTAAATTATTTTTTATAATTTAGTTTTTAAATTATTTAAAAATAATATTTATTATAATATTTGGCTTTTTTTTAAATAGGCTTACAGCTTTTATTAGATTATAAGCAGATCTAGATCTGTAAATCTATTATATTGTTTATACTATATATTAAATAATTAAACTTTAAACAGCTAACTATTTAAATATAGTTTTATAAAAGTATTTTTATAATTTAAACTAATTAGCAGCTACTATTTAATTAAATATATAAATATTATTATAATTTTTTTTAAAAGGGTTTTTATAACTATATTAATAAAAAAATTAGTTAAAAGTATAATAACTATTTATATATAAATAATAAATACTATTTTTTTATAAAATAATAATATATTTTTATATATTTTAGCTTTTAACTATTATAAATAAATACTATAACTTATATTAGTTATATAAAATATATAATTACAGATAGTATACAGTCTATATTTAATCTAGTTTTTTTAATTATTTAATTAAATTTTTTATACTTTTATAAGATAAATTTTTTATAAATTTATAAATAATATAGATTTACAGCAGATTTTTGAGTATTTTTTTTATTATAGTATTTTTTTTATTTAACTAAGATTTTTATAATTTTTTTATAGTATTGTAAATCTAGTAATACTTTTAAATAGTATTTATAGTTATTTAAACTTTTATTTTTTTAAAAAAAATATTTTTATAAGTCTATTCTTTTTATTATATAATATTTATAAAGTAAAAATATATAAAAAATATAATAAATTTAAAAATTTATATATAATTTTAGTTTATAAATCTATTTATTTATTGTTTTAATTATATAAAATAATTTACAATAGCACTGGTCTAGTTTTTTATTTATTTTTTTTATAGTAAACTTTTTATAAAAAACTAAATTTCTTAGTTTACTATAAAAACAGTAGCTTTATAACTTTTATTATAAAAGTTTTTTTAGTATATATAAGTCTACTTAAAATTTACAGCTATTTTTTTTTTATTTTTTTAATTTTTTAAAAATATTACTTTAATTTTTTTATAAAATTTTTTAGTATTTATAAGTTAAGTGCTATTACTTACAGATATTATATAGTTATTATAAAAAATAAAAAGTATTTTATTAATATTTATAAAAAATTATTATAAATAAATTTTATAAATAGTAGTATTTTTATTTAATTATTTTATTTAAAGTTAATATAGTTTTATAAATATTATTTTAATATACTATTTATTTTTTTTATTTAATTATTTATTTACAGGTGGTAGGCTGTACTTAAGTTTTATTTAATTATAAAAATATAAATAAAATTTAATTAAAATTTTTTTATAAAAATTAGTTTATAGTTTGTAATTACCTTTCCAGATATTTTATATAATTAAAAGATTTTTTTAAAAAAAATTATTATAAACTTTTTTTAATAATATTTTATAAATAGAAATAAAGTAAGCTATTTTACTAAACTAATCTATTATAACTATAATATTATTATAAATTCTTTATAAATTTTTATTTTTATAAGTACTTATAGATAGATTTATAATAAAGTCTATAGTTACTTTTTTTTTAAAATTTTATAATAAATAATAGTAGTTTTAATAGTTTTTACTATTTTTTATAAATTACTTATTTATTTTAATATATTTTATATATATAGTAGTAGTTTTATATAAATTTAGCTAGTTCTAGCTATTAAAACTTTTATAAAATTAACTTTTAGATTTTTACTTTTATAAAATACTTTATAATAAAATTATTATATAGTTTTATAAAAATCTTTAGTCTTAACTAGTAGTTGTTTAAAAAATATAATTTTTTTATAAAATAAAATAGTTTTTAACTAATATTTTATTATAAGTAATATTTTTTTGTAGATATTTTTTTTTATAAAATAAGCTGCCTCTACAGTTTTTTTTTATTTTAATTAAAGTATTTTTTTATAAAGTTATTTTTTTACAGCAGCTGGGGTAGCTTCTATATAAAATTAGTAAAAAAACTTTTATAATATATATTTTTTTTATAATTATTTTTATTCTTTTTATATTAGATTTTAGCTAATTTAAATCTGCTGTAGAATTTTTTACTAATAGTATTTTAACTCTTATAAAAATAGCTGTATTTTTATTTAAATTTAAAAAGTTATTTAACTACTACAGTATTTTTTTTTTAAATTTTTTATAGTTTTTTTTATAGTTTTTTTTTATAGTTAAATTATTATAATAGGGTGTCTGCTGGGTTCTGTAAATTTAATTTATATATTAAAAAAATTTAAATACTATAAAATATTATACCTATTTAATCTGTTTTTATAATAATTTTTTATTAGTTGTAAAGTATTTAAAATTTTTATAGTTTATAACTACTTTTACTGGGTATTTTATATTTTTAAGCCAGTATTACTACTTTTTAAATAATCTTATAATTATAAAAAGTTTTTAATTATAAATACTATAGTTCTGCTCTGTAGAATTTGTTTTTTATAAATAAAAAACTACTAATTTTTATTAGCTATTTTAATCTTTTTATAACAGTATCCTACTAAATATAAAGGCTAATATATTTATCTTAATTTTGTAAGGGCCCAAACAGCCCTTCCAACCTTTGCAGATACCTGTAAAGGGAAATATATATAAATAATCTAAAATAGTGGTTATATAACAGCTAAGCAAGCCAGCTGCAGCCGCCCCTAAAAATAGCAGCTGTTTTATAAATTAAATAAAATAATAATAATATTTTAAAATAATATATTAATATTTTTAAATTTATAAAAGCTGTTTATTTATTATACTATTTTATTTTTTAGTTTTTATAATCTTATTAATTAATACTTTATAAAATAGTCTAGTAAATAATAGCTAAATATAATATATAAAGCTAAACTAGGGGTAATTTTTTTAATATAATTATAAAAAACTATATATTAACTGCAGAAAATAAATAATCTATACTAAAAAAAATATAGATTCTAATTTAAAACTTTTATAAATATTTGTGAGGGCGACCCTGTATACCTTGTCTAACCAGCCCGCCTTACTGATCTTATTTAATATCTTTATTGTATTTATCTTATCTGTTCTTCCAGCTGCCCTATAATAAATAAGGTGCGGGTATATATTTTTTTATTCCTATTTTCTTTTTTTCTTTCTATATTTAAAATTTTATATTATTAGTACTAAATTAGTAGAAAATAAACTAATTTAATTAGCTTTAATATAAGTTTAAATATTACCTTTATTTTTACTCCCTTTCCAAAACTTTTTGCAACTAAATATATAAAAAATATATACCTTTATTGCTTTAAAAAGTTTTTTTTTATATATAAGCTGATAGTAATAACAGCCGGCCTTAAAAATTCTAAATCTAAAAAATATAAAATTCTAAAACTATATATTTTAATTAAATTTCTGTTACTGTGGCTGTAGGCTGTACAGTAACTAAAAAATAAAAAATCTAAAATAAACTTTTAAATATAATTAAATTATTACTAAAACTAATAGACTTTACTACTATAGCTGTTAGCTGTACAGAGCTAATAAAAAAAAGCCTAAATTTTAAACAAAACCAGATATTAAAACAACTATAATAGTATATAATATATTAAAATCTAAGCCAACTAAAAAAAAAGCTTAAAAATTAATTTTATTTATAAATAAGACTAGTAAAACCTCTGGTAGAGATATTTTACCTAAAAAATTCTATAATTTTTATAAAAAAAACTTTAAATATATTTTTAAGCTGGTGCTAAAGACTTATAATAAATTTAAAAAGAAAATTACAAAACTATCAGCTAAAATAACTAAGCTAAAAAAAAATTTTATACAGCTAAAAGTTAACTGCAATATCTTGTTTTATAATATTAATCTTTTAAAAGCTAAAAAAGATACTTTTAAAACTAAAAAGACTTAGGCTGTAGTACAGAAAAATACTGCACTAATTCTAGTAACCAGTATAAAAAATAGATTTTTAAATATTAAAAAAACTTTAAAACTTTCTAATCCCTTAATATTTAATAATAAAAAGAGCGTCACCTTTAAAAACTGGAAACTAGTAATTAAATAAAAGCTTAAGGCTAATATTAATTATTATAAAAGCCTAGCTATAAAAAAGATATATATTATTAGCTGTTATAAAGGCAACACCTGTAAACATCTGCTTTTTTAACTAAAAACTAAAACTAAATATTTTTATAAAAATATAACTAATATCCTGTTTTATTTAGTAGTAATCTATATTAATCTAAATAAAAAGCAGAATATCTAATTAAAGTATATATATTTTAAAATAACTTTTAAATAAAAATTTTATAACTTTTATATCCAATTCTACTATTTAGTAGGCAAAGCAGGTATTTTTAAAAACCAGTAAAAATTTAATCTTTATTAAAAGCTTTTTTTAAAGCTTAAAAAACTAATTTTTATTAAATATTATAAGTATAATATTAACTTTAAGCAGTGTACTATAATATATACTAAAATATTAAAAAGTATAGATTAAAATATAAAGTACTGCTGTTATACTTTACCAGCTAATTATAAAAATAATCTAAATAATAGAACAGCTTTAGCAGCCAGTAAAAATATTAGTAAAATACTAACTAAACTCTATATAAATAAAAAAATCTATACTATACTATTAACTAAAGGAAAGTACTTTTATTGCAGAAAGCCCAGATATTTTAATTATAATTATCTAAAAAAAATACTTTTAATTAAAATAATAAAAAAAGCTAAATCTAAAAATATATTAGTAAAAGACTTAATTTAAAAAAGTCTTTATCTTAGGCGCAATAAATATAAACTAGTAATATATTAATTTAAAAATATTATTAAAATCCTTTAAAGATAGTTTTATAATTAAAACCTTAATTTTAAAAAATATAATAGCTGTTTTTATTTAAATACTGGTAGATACTAAAGTAAATATTTATATCTATATTAATACTAAGTTTACAGTTAAAGTAGGGATATTTTTTAAAATAAAATTATCTAAACTATAAAGTATTTAAAATATAACTAGATTTAATAAAAGATTTTCTACCCCTTTAATATATATAATCTGTTTTAATCTTACAGTAGAGAAAAGGCCTTTTAAACAGGTTCCCTTTCTAGTACTGGATTTAAAATTTTATAATATAATCTTAGAAAAATTATGGCTGATAAGGTAAAAAGTTTTACTAGATTACTATAAAAACTAATTTATATAGTTTAAAAAGTTTTTATTTAAAAGTAAAGTTTAAACTGGACTTCTGCAGATAGTCCCTCCCAGGATTATTAAATATTAAAAAGTAAACCAGATATATTAAAAGAATATTAAGTAAAAAGATAGATTAATAGCTAAATTTAAAAAATAAGTAATAAGTAACTATTTTTTACTAAACTAATAAAATGGCCCTGTCTAAAAAGGCTAGTAACTAATATATAAAACTATTTTATATAGCTATAAAATACTAAAACAGCCTATAAACAGCAACCCTTTTTATAATAAAAAAATAATTAAAAAGTATTATAATAAAAACTTAAGTTTTTTATTTTATATATAGGCTATATAGAAGTTAGATAGAAGCAGGACCTATAATATAAACTAAATCCAAATACTATATAAAATAAATAAGATGCTATACCCTAATAAAAAAAAAGGTATAAAAATAAGTTTATAAATAAATAGATTAATAGCCAGATAAGGCTGAAGGCAGCTAATCTAAAGATTATATTAATTAAAACAGCTAGTTTCCAGCAACATTTAAAAAACTTAAAATTAGAGATTTTTATTATATTTCTACAAAAAATTAAAAAAATAGTTAATAAAAAGATAAAAGTATCTTTTATTAAATAAAAGTAATAAAAGATTATTAAAGTTTTTTTTTTAATACTATAATCTAGCTAAAGTATTTTTTAAATAAGTTTTAAATACTTTACTACTATTCTATATCTGCAACTATAAGATCCAGCTTAATAATAAACCCTTATTTAAATTATTTCTACTATATAAAATAATAGCTAAAAAATTAAAAGCTGTAAAATATTATATTATTAAAAATTTAAGTAAAAGGTTTATTATTCTAAACTTGGCCCTTTTTATATTATTTATTCTAATAGTTCAAAAACCTGGAGAAGATTTTTATATATATATAGATTATTAAAAACTTAATATACTAACTAAAAAAAACCTGTATCTATCACTACTAATTAATAAGATTATTAACTAACTAGAATAAACTAAAATATTTACTAAATTAAATATTAGATAAGATTTTTATTATATTTATATAGATCTAGATTTAGAGAATCTAACTATCTTTTAAATATAATATAGTATATTTAAGTATAAGGTTTTTTTTTTGGACTAACTAATAAACCAGCTGTATTTTAAAGACTAATAAATAAGATTTTATATAAGTATTTAAATAAGTTTATAACTGTATATATTAATAATATTCTTATCTATAGTAACAACTCTTTTAAATATTAAATCTATATTAGACTAGTTTTTAAAAAACTGTATAAAGCTGGTCTACAAGCTGCTATTTATAAATATAAGTTCTATATTATAAAAACTAAGTTTTTAGATTTTATTATTTCTACTGACAGAATAAAGGTAGACCCGGAGAAAGTAGCAGTTATTAAAAAATAAAAAATTCTAAAAATAATTTATAAAGTATAATTATTCTTAGGATTCTGTAATTTTTATTAATATTTTATTAAAAATTATAGTAGACTGGCCTGACTACTAATACTGCTTATATATAAAAATACCCCCTTTATATAAAATAAAAAGTACTAGATAGTTTTTAAATTTTTAAAAAATATTCTTATTTTAATACTAATATTAACTTACTATAATCTTAGTTTTTTTACTAGGTTAAAGATTAATACTGCTGACAGAACTATTATAAAAGTTTTTATCTAGTATATTAATAACTACTGGTACTTAGTTTTATTTTTTTTAAAAATTATAATATCTGCCGAATAAAACTATAATATCTATAATAAAAAAATACTGGCTATTATAAAATCTATAGAAATTTAAAGAGCAGAACTGGAAAACTTTTAATAAAAAAAACTTTTTAAAGTATTTATTAATTACTAAGTATTAGAATACTTTATAACTTTAAAAAGGCTAAATATACAGCAGGCAAAATAGGCCAAATTTCTGTTTAAATACTATTTTAGAATTTAATATAGATTTAGAAAAGCCAACACCTTGGCTGATATATTTATTTAATAAAAAAAAATCTATAAACTGCCAGATTAAAAATATAACTAAATTATATTATAACTAGAATAAATAGATTTAAAAATACTGCAGATACTACAACTATCTGCTTTAGTTTTATTAAATAAAAAACTACTACTAATTAATTAAGTACTTTATACTAACTGTAAATTAACTAAGTTTAATTAAAAAAAAAAGTACTGCTAATCTAAATAGCTTATACTTTTTCCAAAATAAACTACTATTATATAAAGAATATCTAGTAGTATCTGCTAAAAAAAACTTATATATAAAGCTGTTAAATAAAATATATTACTAGCTATCTACTGTACATCTAAAACAGACAAAGACTTTAAAGCTAGTTAAATAATACTACTATTAAAATATCTAAAATAAAAATACTTATTAATATCTGGATAATTATATAATTTATAAATATAAAAATTACTAAAAAAAGTTGCTGTAAGAATTATTTTAACTACTTTCTATTGCTAACCAGCTGTAGCAGTATATATTTATAAATTTTTATATACTACTAAAAAATATATAAAAAAATAATACTGTATATATAATAGTAGACTAATTCTCTAAGTAAGTAGTATCTATTCTATATACTAAAAATATTACTATATAAAATATAGTTTAATTATTTATTAAATTTATCTACTTTTAGATAGAATCTTTAGATACTATTATCTTTAACAGGGGACCCTAATTTATTTTAGAGTTTTAGTAAAAGTTCTACTATATTCTCTAAATTAAATTAAAGCTTTCTATAATATACTATTTTTAAACTAATAAATAAATTAAAAATATAAACTAGTATTTAGTCTAGAAACTTATTCTATTTATTAATAACTTTTATAATAATTAGTTAAAATTACTACTAATAATAGACTTTGCTGCAGCTTGCCTGCTGTATATATTTTTTAAAATATTTTTATTTTAAATAAAGTATAAATACCAGCCCTAACTATTTTTTAACTGGAAATCTTTAGCAGATGTTAGGCTAAAAAATATTAATATTATCCACACCCGGAGTACTGCAACCTGTTTTAAAAATATTTAAAAATTTATTAAAGCTAATATTACTAACTTTTAGAAATAATAAGCTATATAGGCTAATTATTATTAAAAGAACATCTTAATCTGGGTTAGAAGCAGAGTTTATATTAATTACTCTAACTGGAACTAGGGCCAGCTGTTTAAAAAGCTAGCTAATAAATAATACAGTCTATATAAGATTTTAAAGTAAAAAAAAAATATATTCCAAATCTAATTATCTACTAATATTAGAATATATCTAGTATTTTATTTTAAAAAATTTTAATTTGTATTAATAAGTAAACTGCTGCCAGACCAGATCCAAAACCAGATAAAGCTAATAAATATAAATAAAAATATAAAGTATAAAATAAATAAAATCCTTAACTTTTATATATATTAAAAATATTTAATATACTGTATTAAGTAGAAGAACTTGGATAAAGCGGACCTAATATAGTATTTTATAAAAAATTTAAAAAATACCCCTGTACTTTTAGAAGAGTTTTATAATTTTTATTTAAAAAACCCTAGTTTTTTAAAATATTTAAAAGCCTAGCTAAAGGCAGCTGTAGAAAAGATTTTTAACTTTAACTATTTTAATAATAATTTTATTTTAGACTCTAAAAAATATATACAGTCTATAGTTATATTATAAAAATAGTTTTAAAAAAAACTATAAAAATACCCCTTACCTGCAGATAGTTAAGGCTAATCTGGGAAATAATATAAAAATAATTTTATATATCTTATTTAACTAGCCTATTTTACTAATCTTATTTAATATTTTTATTATATTTATTTTATTTGTTCTTTCAGCTGCTTTATAATAGATAAGGTGCGGGTATATATTTTCTTATTTCTGTTTTCTCTTCTTTTTATATTTAAAATTTTATATTATTAGCACCAAATTGGTAGAAAATGAACTGATTTAATCGGCCCTGACATATTTATATTTGTTTAAATAGATTACTAAGCTGTAAAAACAGCTAAAGATTAGTAGTATAAAAATATTTATATAAAAATTTAAAAAACTTTAATTTTAGTACTACAGAGATTAAAAAAACTAGTATATATATTTATTTATTTATAGATAAAAAATAATATAGTATTTATAATAATATTATTTACTATATATTTATTACTAAATAAAAGTTAACTATAAAAGCTAATAACTAAAATAAGAATTAAAAGATATATATTATAGTAGCCTATTTAAATTATATTTTAAATAATCTATAAAAAAAATAATACAGTTAAATCCTACTATAAAAAAAAGTAGGCTGGTTTTTATAAGTTTTTTAAAATACAGCTAAAAGATTTTGTAAATAGATAGTAAAAAGCCTAGTTAAAAATACTTAAAACTAAATTTTATAAAAAAAACTAGAATTTACTTATTTATAAAAATAAAAAAAAATAAAAACTAAATTAAATTATAAAATATAAAATATTAATACTGTATAGCTATACTTATTTTTTATATTTTTTTTATAGTTTAGAAAAAGATCTATAAGCAGCAGATTTTTTTTATAATAAAATAAGATTTTATTATACTACTTATAAAATTATATCTAGTATTAAGCTGGTAATATAAATGAATAAAAAATAAAATATTTTATAACTAGATTTTAAAAAAAAGTTGTAGATCTACTGCTTTAATAAATAGAATTTAAAAACTAAAGATTTAAATTAATAGTTTTATAAAAAAAGTTTAAAGGCTAAAGTAATTTTTTGTAATACTATAAATATTTATAAAAATTTTTAAATTAAAAGTTTACTATAATTATAAAAAAATAGATTACTAGATAAAAAAATACTAGTTAACTAAACTATTTATAAAATAATTAGCAGGTAGGATTGCAGTATTTATTTTAAACTAAGTTAAAATTATAATCTAATCTAGTTTAAAACTAAAAAAATAGCTAATTTTCTATAAAAAAAATATTTTATAGAAATTAAAATTATTATAAATAGTAAAGCAGAGGTAAATCTAGTATCTATAATATTTATTAAATAAATAAAATAATTAACTATTTTAATAAAAATACTTATAAAAAAAGTTGGATAAAAAGATATATAGTTAAAAAAAACTATAGTATTTATAGTATATTTAAAAAATATTTAGAAATACTGTAAAAACTAAATAGATCTTATAATTATAATACTAAAAATAGATAAAATAATTTTAAAAATACTTTAAATAAAATAGTAAAAGCCTATTATAAAATTTAATAAATATAAATTTTAAGTTTATAAATACTATATACTAAAAGTACTACAGGTTGCAGTAGAGAAGATTACTCTAAAAAATTTTATAAAAATAAATCTTTATTTAGTAATAGTATAAAAAGTTTATAAAATAATTACTAACTTAAAAATACTAATATAGTACTATAAGTATAAAATAGTATTTATAAAAAAAAAGCTGTAAGCTTATTTATATAAAAACTAAAAATTAATCTAAAAATTAACTTTTATAAAAATTTTCGGCCAAAGCTGGGGTAAGTATATAAAATATTACCTATAAAAAAATCTTATAAAACTATTTATAAAAAATATTTATAAAAAAATAAATTTAGTATTTTAAATTATTAGTAAATATACTGGTTTTATTTATAGATAAAAAAATAAAATCCTATAAATATATATAAACTATTATAAATTAAATAAATAAATAATAAAAAACATTTATCTACTACTATAAATTAATAAGTATATTAATTAACTTATAGAGGCTTTTTAGTTTATATAGCTAATTCTATATAAGGTCTATTACAGAATTAGAATTATAAAAAAATATAACTAAAAAATAGTATTTTATATAAAATATAAACTATTTAAATATTTAGTTATACTATTTAAACTAATTAATATATCTACAGAATTTTAAAGTTTTATAAATTTTTTATTTACAGAATATCTGGATAACTTTATAATTATCTATTTAAAAAATATTATAATATACTTATAGAATCTAAAGGTATATAAAATATAAATCTGTAAAATACTATAAAATATAAAATTATATATAAAATTTAGCAAATACTATTTTATAATAATAAAAATTAATTTTTTAAAGTTTTTAATTAGCTGTAAAAATATATATATAAAACTAAAGTATATTACAACTATTTATAATTAGCTTAAACTGCAGAATATAAAAGATATACTGAAATTTATAGACTTTATAAATTAGTATAAATATTTTATTAAAAAATATTTATAAATTATAGTACTAATTACAGACTTTACTAAAATATCTTATTAAAAAAAAAGAAAAACTAGATATAATTTTTTAATATTACAAATTTATAAAAGCTTTTAAATACTAAAAAATATATTTATAAAAAATATAGTTATAGTATATTTTAAAA